TATAATTATCGCTTTCTTATTTGCTACGCTTTTAAATACAACGCTATTCATTGCTTTATAAGGTCGTCCTTTTCTTATTTAAAATTATCAACTTATTAATCGTAAATTAGATTATCGCGATTAAGTCTTTCTATTAATACTTTTAAATGGCTTTTTTATTAAACGAACTTTTGCTTTCGGACCGACCTTTTTCTACCGATATACTAAGCATTACGGCTAAAAGAGATGACGCAAGCTAAGATAAGTTAATTAATAAAGCAATTGAGAATCAAGCGATTAAGGGTCAAGCGGCTAAAGGTCAAGCGGTTAAAGGTTAAGCGGCTAAAGGTCAAGCGGCTAAAGGTCAAGCGGCTAAAAGTCAAGCAAATAAAGACGAAGCATAAGAAAGTGAAGCAAATATAATACGCGGCGAAAGCGTAAAAAAAGAAAACTTAAATTTGCAAAGTAAATAAAGTAAGTTTATATTTAATTAATCGGAATATTATTAATACTTTTTCAGTTACTTTGCTTAACGCAAATCTTTATCTTTAATCTAATAAAGCTTAATTAGCTACGGATGCGCTAGACTTTACTTTTGCTAAGCGCCGCGCTATTACAACTCGATAGCTATCCGATTAGTATTTAATTAGTAAATTGATTAGTAAATCAATTGCAAATAACTAATAAGCATTTATAGAAATTCTTAACTTTACTTTTGCTAAGCGCCGCGCTATTATAACTCGATAGCTATCCGATTAGTATTTAATTAATAAATTAATTAATAAATTAATTGCAAATAGCTAATAAGCATTTATAGAAATTCTTAAAACTTCGCGCGGTATTGCAAGTCTATAATAAAAAACCGATTTATCTTTGTCTTTTTTTCGTCGAATTTCTTAAGGTCAAGCTAATAAGTATTAATTACTTTATTAATTAATAATTGCTAATTTCTATCATTTTAAGTAACGCTCTTTAAATATTAACAAACTTTCGCGCAAATACAAACTAGCACTTATTATCTCTTAGACTTCGATCCGGTAATATTTTTAACTTATAATTAATAAATATTTATTAATTAAATTTTTTTTTAGCAAACGCAATTAGATTTACTTCGGCTATTCAATTCGAAATAAATAAAAGCATCGTTCTTAACAATATTAACATAAGTATTAACAGCTTTTAATAAGTTTAATTTTTTTAAACCTTTTTCTTTCGTTCGTTAATTATTTTAAAACTGCTTTAAAAGCAATATAATAATCGACGAGCTAAGCGAGTGCATCAGCTTAGCTTTAAAACGAAGATCCGTTTTACGACTTAAGTGCTAAAAACAATTTTTTTGCAGCTGCTAAATCTTCTTTTGCTTTTATTAATAATCGTATTAAAAAAGCTTTCGCGTAAAAAGCTTTTAAAAAGTCTCTTATTATCTCGAGCCTAATTATAGTTATAAAAACCGCGACGAAGACGATGCTTTATAATAATACAGATAAAGAAGAGCAAAGCGATAATAAAGAAAACTTAAATAAAAATAATATTCTTTTCTTTTAATATAAAAGAGCTAAAAAATCACTTTCGACGGCTAAAGCTGCTCGCTCCGTTCTATTAACTAGCAAATCACTTTCGGCAGCTAAAACTTCTTTTCGTTAAAAATCTAAAAAAGATAAGTATCTTAAGAAGTCTGCAATTGTTGCGAAAAAAAAAGGTCTAAGCTAACGAAAGCGCCGTCGCTATAAACTAAGAAGTAAATTCAATTAATTAATAAATTGATTCTTAAGTATAATTACTGATTTATATAGCTACTGCGTTAAAAGAGATCCGACGATACTAAAAAAGCATCGAACTTTTTATTAAAAAGATTTTTTTTTAACGTTTTGTTTAAGAGATCACTTACGATTTTAAACAAGACTTTAAATTTCAAAGCGATGCTTTAAAATGTTTACAAAAAGCTTCAAAGGCATTCCTCGTAAGAGAGTTTGAAAGTAAGTATTTATATATTTATTTACTAATCGATTTACTAATCACTTTTAGTGACGAACTTATGTGCTATTTACGCTAAACGAGTAACGATTCAAAATAAGGATATAGCGTTGGTTAAGAAATTGCGAGAAATCATAACTAAAAGTTTTGTTTAGTAATTTTAGTTTATTATAATATAATGCAATGTAATTGTAAAGTATAATATATGTGATTAATAAATATAATAAATAAATATAATGATTAAGTAAAATTAGTAAATATTCGTAAATTTGTTTTATTTTTAGCGGCCTTATATATATTATTTTTAGCTGTCTTACTTTAAACTCATAAGGTTTCCTCATCCTCCGTAAGGAATTTGACTTAAAAAAATCCTCTTTATAAGGTTTAAAAAAAAAAGTCCTTTATCGGCCAAGACCCTATGGGGGGAATGGGAAGGAAAACCCTATGGGGCCCCCACCCCATGGAGCAGCCTAGTGAATATTAACTTTCGCTAGTTGTTTTATAAAAGCTTCGATCTTTAAGTCAAGATCGACGAACGGAATAATCGAACTCGTAATAATAATACTTGCGCAGTAAAAAAAAGAAGTATAAGTACTATCGGAATAAGTATTATAAAAGAATAAAACGTATAAGTTTTATTTACTTTCGAGAATGATAAACGGTATTTAAAAACGAAAGTTTTCGTTTTAATAAAGATCATAGCGAAAAAAAGCTTTAAAAATCTTTACGTAATCGTATTTTTTAATCCGTTCTGCCGTAATCTATTCTTGCTTAATTAAGTCGCTTATTATAATATAAATTATATTATAAGTTTGTAAGTAATCTTTTTTAAGTTTAACGTTTTTTTAAGTTCGATTTTATATCGATAATAATAAGCAATCGAAGAACTTCTACTTTAGCTGCTTATCGGTAATATCTTTATTAACTAAGCAAGCAAAGCTCGTAAGATTGAATTGTCGAGTGAACTATAAAAGCTCCGCTTTAAAAGCTTTTTTTTTTGCTATTTATTTATTGCTTAAATCGTTTAAAAAGCTAATATTATCCTTTTACTTAGCTAAATCGAAAGCTTTATATTCTTTTTTAACTATTGATTTAAAATCGTTTTAAGTTACTTTCGGATCCGAAAAGCCGCCGAAGCTCTCGATATTACAACGTATATTATAATCGAAAGAGCTAAAAATATTATATTTAATAAAGCATTGCTTTTTCTCCGAATCGTTAACGATATCGTAATCTTTAAATGCTCGTTCGAGCTAGCGAATATAATCCGTAATATTAGCTTTATCGAAAGCAAGCATTTTAAAAGCTTTAAGTTTAAAAAGAAGTTTACGAATACTTATATAATTCGAAGCATTTACGAAAAGTAAAAAAGCTTAAATCTTTTTTATTTTGTTTTCGGTTAACTTACGAGTAGCATCTTCGTTAAATTCGAAATCTTTTTAAGTCGAAGAAGTCATAGCTCTTTTTAATTTTCGAAAGCTTTAACGTAAGCCCGTTAAGTTAAGTTAATAGATATCGATTAAAGTATAAAAGTGTTTTGAAACGGATGCGAAAAGAGAACGAAAATAATATAAATGTAAATAAATAATAAAAATAAAATAAGTATAATTTATAATAAATATTAAATACATAAAGAAATGTTATAAAGATATAAAATCTTAATACGTTAAAAGTGATTTATTAAAAAGTCGAGTATCGATCGCTTCGAGTTAAATAATCGAAATTAAATCGATATAATAAATATTAATAATACGTTTAACTTTTAAACGTAAGATCCGAATAAGCGGAAAAGTAATTGCTAAGATTAAATATATCGAAATAAAAACGAAATAAAGTAATAGCCGAGCTTCCGTACAAGCATATAATTTGCTTTTAGTATAATGCGATATCGAAACGGTTTCGAATTGCATAATACTTATTTCCGCTCGTTATATTTTTTATTTGCTAAAGCGAAAGATATTCGAAAGCAATTCGAGATCTTTATGCGTAATCTCCGTTACGAAGTAAATATTGAATTTTCAACTTTTTAAGCTTAGCGTAATATTTCCGATACTTAGCTACTATTTACTCTTTTAAAAAAGAAAAAGCAATAGACTCGTATTAAAAACGATATTAAATCGAAAAAGTAAAGTATACTAAACGAATAGTACTTCGAGCGTATCGCCGTGCAAAATAGTTTAAGTGAATAGTACTTTATAAATATCGAATTAAACTTTAATTAGCTCGATCTTCGAATTAAAAGAACGACTTTCTAAATAGTACTTATCGAGTATACCGAATAGCATGCTCGACGGATACAAATCGAAAAAAGATCGCTTTTAAAGCAATAGCTTCGAAGCTTATATGTAAAAGCACTTGATTATTAGCTTAGCGTATATCGAATACTTTTCGAAAAAGCACCGCAAAAGCATATAATCAATAGCTTAGCGTATAACGTAAACTCCGAATATATAGCTTCTCGTAAAAAAAGCAAGTCTAAAAAAGGTATGAAGATCAACTTTCGGTTCGATTCTTTACGTAAGTTATTAAATATATATAAAAAAGAAAAGCTCCGACATATACTTAACGTTAAATTAAAAGATATATATAAATATAACTATAATAGAATCGTAAATAAATAAAGAAAGAAAAGGAAGACGATCGAAAGACACTCGAATGTGTACTATAAGTACGTGTATTGTATTATATAATAATATAGTGCTAGTTTAAAAAGGAATCAACTACTCGTTTATATAAGAGCTTGCACGTGACTTAACCACGTGCTTAACAAGGCCAAAGCATGCAGCGCACCTACGTGACAAAGGTGCTTAGCATCAGTACTATATACATGGACAAAACAAATACAGAGCCGCAACTCCACCACAATACACATATATCTCTTGATTTGACGTTAGGTATATGTCGGAGCTCTTCCCCTCCATAATATATAACTTCTTAGCTTGATACGTCGCCGTACTTTATAAGAGGTCTTAGGGCGGCAGGCTTCGCCTGCTACCCGCCCGACGTTAATCTATACAACAACAATAATAACAACAACAAATTATGATTTAAAACGATCCTACCCAAGGATTGTAATTCGTACAACCACCGGGTAGTGCCGTGCCCGCGGTAATCGCCTTGCCCGTGCCGCTCCCCGTCGTCACCCCATTCCGCGTGACCCAGAACCGCGGCGCCCCGGTCTGACCGTTGAACGCCAGACTCTGGTGGGTGATGCCCGCGCCGAAGCTGTAGACGGTCTCGGGGTTGGCCCCGATCTGGACGTGGACCTGGGCCGGGCTGCTGAGCAGCGCCGTGAAAAAGATCTTGTCCAGGAGGATGCTGTTCGGGGAGATCTCGGGCACGCCGTTGTCCTGCGAGCTGTCGCCGCCGACGACGCCGCAGGTGCTGCCGGCGGTGGCGGGCGCAGTGCGGTACCAGTACTGCATCTGGTCCCTGCTTACGGTGAAGGCGCTGCCCTTGTACTTGGCGATGTAGTAGGGCAGGAAGTCTAGCCAGCTCTCGTGGGATTGGCCATCGACGTAGATGCCCGAGCCGGCTGGGATCTCGGTTGTGGACCTCAGGGGGCCGACGTAGCTTGACTCGCCCCAGTCGTTCCAGGTCACGATCCTGCAATTGAGTTTATCAGCGATTGGAATTAAGCGGGCGAGACAGGAAGGAGATGGACGAACTGGATGAACGGAGCGCCGAAATCGATAGCCTGAGTCCAGCGGAGTGCCCAGGAATCGTCTCCTCGCCAAACCCACTTCTTCGGGCTGTCGGCGGAATGAAAGAACCACGGTGAGATGCCCATCATGTAGCTCTTTGATCCGAGGACGGACCGCCACTGATTGTCGAGGTCGGTGTTGATGTCCGAGGCACCGATCGGCCACATGTCCCAGTTGAACGCGCCCTCGACCTTATTCAGATGCTGGGCGAAGCCGGTAGGACCGAAGCTTGTCCACTGATAGGATGAGAGTCAGCGATCCTCGACAGTATAGGTGAGAGAGAGGAGGATGTGAGAGGGAGGAGACACTCACATCCGGCACAAACCAGATTCCCCCGACGGCGGATCTGATGACGCCACCCTGTGCCCAATCGTTGGTGTTGTCCCGGCCTTCGAATGTCGACACGAGAGGGACCCCGTTATAGCGAAAGTAGGCCGGACTGTTCTTGTACTGGTTCAAGTACGAGACGACGGATCGGTCGCCAGTTGCAGGCCACGTTTGACCGCCACCCAGGTAGTCGAAGGCAAAGAAGAGCTTGAAAACCGAGCCAGCAGCTTCGGCGGCAGCAAAGGCGTTGGCGACTGTGCAGGACGAGATCCAAGATCAGCATGAGCCAGCCAGCCAGCCAGAGTGGTGATGGGGGAGGGCTCGCCTTGGCCATAGATATTGGGATCCGGATAGGCGATATTGAGCACAAAGGCGTCGAGGCCCGTGTTGCGAGCCAGCGTTATATCTTGCGCCCAGGTGTCTTGGGTATGGGCGGCAGTGTTGCCGACGACCATATGGGCGAAGGCATATTTCTGCGCCGTGGTGGGCGACAACAGCAGGCCGAAAAGGGCGGCCGAACACGCAAGGAAGAACTTCATGGTGGTGATGATAAGGTTAGTTATGGTGATGAACCTTTGCTATCGAGAGAAAGAAAGAAAGAGATTGAGACGGCTTTGAACGGGGGAAGTGATGAAGGATTTATATATCGCTTCGAGGTTCCCCGGGCCGGTCGATGAGATTAAATCACTCTTCCGAGCCGTCGAATGTAAGCCGTACCTGTCATCAATACGAGGAGTTGGTCACGTATCACGATATATATGCATATCCATATGCATATGCATGTCCATATTTACCCCTCGAACATGCGTACGCGCCTCAACTTAATATATATATATATATACATATATATATATAGATATATATAGATATATAGATATATTCATATTTATATATCCTAAGCGGATATTGACGGGTAAGTTCAAGCTCACACTCGCTTACTCCATACATATGCACAGCACATGCACACAGCCCGAACAAGTGTAGAATCCAATCGTATGCGACTTGTACGGCCGGGCTGCTGACAGATAGAACTTACATTGTACGACAGTCAGCGCATGCATGCACGGAGCTGAGAAGGGAGCCTTCTTTCCGGATCGGGATGCGAAACGGCACGTCTGCCAAACATGCATGCATACACACGCTAGATTCCTTTTCTCTTTCGTCGCATTCCATCTTCATTTGGTGGACGACTCGCACTTACTTGATATCGAATTTGCTGTACGATTATTATTTGCTAGGTAGTAAATTATATGTAGCTAATCACAATATAGCTTATATCAGGGTTGTAGCTAGATCACGTAGTAGATACCTTATGATCCGATCTCTGGTTTTAACCGAGAGCTTGTTTATCTTGACAAGAGGATTCCACTTTTTTAAGTAGATGCTTGATTTGCATACGTGCACTGCCACAGACGCCACATGCACCTACTAGCCTCTTGGCAGCTGGATTAGGCGAGGTCCCACCCCCGCCAAGCTCCATCAGCCCCACCTATCTCAATCATCTTTTCCCAACGCACCCACGTCAGCACCTGGAACAACCTTAATCCGAGCACAAGCACCGAAGATCAGCCAGCCATGGAGCCGGCACCCAACGGCCCCGCGCCAACGTCCGTCCCCTCCGCTCCCATTGACATTCCTCCTCCCCATCATCATCGTCGCAACCTCGCCGCTGCCGCCGCCGCCGCCGACACCACCACCGATTCGTACGTTGTTGGCTCTCCTCCAGGTGAAACCCCGCCAATTGAGAGAATTCGCCGAGGCAGAGAGCCAAGGGACGAGAGAGAGCGACGGAAATACAACCGTGAGAGCCTCATCCATTCCCTTTTTTTTTCTTTTTCTTTTTCAAGATCGATCTGCAATAGAGTTCTATACTGACTTAAACCCCCCCCTCCCTCCACCAGCCCCGGACTTCCTCGACATCCAACCGTCTCCCCCCGCCGATATCATCACATGGACGAATTCGCCCAGTCGCGAGAGGACGACGACCTCTTCGCCGACGAGTTCGAGCCCGTCTCTGCCTCTGCCGGCGAGAGTATCGGTGTCGTCGAGCAGCAAACCAAACCCGCAAGTCTCCCTGCTGAGCCTCGGTCTGGCGCAAGCCAGGCTCAGCAGCACCAGCAGGCCCAGCAGGCCCAGCAGTCCAGTGGCCAGCAGCAGCAACGCAATGGTCGTGTACAGGGGGGGCGGGGACAAGATCGGAGAGGGAGAGGACGAGGAGGCGGCGCAGGAAGAGGAGGCGGCGGAGGGAGAGGAGGAGGGTCCAACGGTCTGAGCCAACCCCGCTACGCACCAGCACCGGCCGAAATCCCTCCTCCGTCCCAGGCCGCACCTCCTCCCCCCCTTTCGCCAACACGACCATCCACACAGCTCGAGTCCACCCCACCCACCACACCCACTGCACCCACTGCAACCACAACTCCCGACACCCGCACACATGCAGTCCGAGGCGACCGGTCTGCTACTGGCGGACCGGCGCACAAGAAATTGAGCGAGAAGGAGTTGTCCGAGAAGATGGCCAAGATGGCGATATTGAACAAGGAGAGGGCCGAGAAGCATAGACTTACCGAGGCCGACCAGGCAGCCTTCCAGCACCGAGAGAAGGAGCTGGCGAAGGAGCGGAAGGAGAAGGCGATTGCCGAGAAGAAGAACGAGAGAGTTATGGAGATGGAGCGGGCGAAGAATCGCGAGCGAAAGATGAAAGCGCAAGGCGTTCGCGAGTGGGATAGCGAGAAGGTGGAGAGTGATATCGTAGACAGAACGCGGACTCGGACCTCGGAGTATGTGAGGGGAGGCCATGGGGGCGTCATTCGAGGTGGGCTGAGTGGAAGCGGGTATTCGGTCGGAGGTGACGATGGGTCGGACTTGCAGGCGCCCAGAGGTCGTGGTAGATTCGAGATCCGGGGACGAGGGGGAAGCGGTCGAGGAGGACGTGGAGGACGTGGAGGCAAACAGCAGAATCCCGTTCCCAGCTCGGAAGATTTTCCTTCATTACCAACACCTACGAAAGTCGAGTCGACCGAGCCGTCAAAGAAAGCACCAGTGTCAGGAACGACAGAGGCAGAAGGGGCACCAAGCTCAGAGGGGAAATCGCCCGAGGGTGACAAGCTGGCTCGTGATTGGGCGGAGGAAATGGCAACATCGATCGAGGAGTCTAACCCCAAGTCTTGATCATGGATGGGAGCCTTGGGAGGAGGGATCACTGGTACAGGCGTTACAGGATACAAAACTCGTCCACGGACTTGAGCGGCAATGAATTCCACAGTTCCGTTTGTGAACCTATTGAATCGTGGTTGAATTAAGCGAACCCATCTTCCTTTGATCAGAAACGAATTGGGAAAATACATTTATGTATCACTGTATCATCTACTAAGCCAGGATGTTCTTCCTCCAACCTGCAACCAATGCAGCCCAGCCCGTAAGACGGAAGTGAACACGACAACTTCAAAGCTCGCTTGCTACCTGACATTGTCCCAAACCTGTCATCTCACCACTTCTTTTGGGGATATCTCCTTCTAAACTCTCATCTATGATTTTGATTTTACTCACTTGATGGTGGAGTGAGTAAGTGGGTGAGTCCTAGCTTAACAGGATCCCTTCTCTTCTCCTTTGGCACCAAAAACCGTGCGCATTGTATGTAATTGTAATATGTGATTTGATTTTGGGCCGCTTATACATTCGCTTATGACCATGATGAGCATGATCGTGCTGAAACTGTAGGGAGGGGAAGGTAGAGAGAGAGGTAGGGAGGTAGAGAGGTAGAGGTAGAGGTAGAGGTAGAGGTAGAGGTAGAGGTAGAGGTAGAGGTAGAGGTAGAGGTAGAGGTAGAGGAGAAGGAGAAGAGGGGGGAGAAGAGGAAAGGGGAAGGGGGAAGGGAAGCGGGTGTTTGTTGAATTGAATTTAGTTTTGTGTCTTGCTCTTGGTAGTGGGTGGTGGTGGGAGATCAGATGGGATTATTATTGGTTGATGGTTGTGGATGGTGGATGGCGTGAAGCAAGGCGGGAAAAGAAAGAAAGAGACGGGAGAAGAGAGGAGAGAAGAGGAAAGGAGGAGAGCGTAAGGGATTGGCATAAGAATCAGGGCCGGTACAGGGTATGTAGTGCTGAGATATTCCGGCTGGACCCTGATGCCGGCGCATTGGAATTGGAGGCTAGAGACTAGAGACTAGAGACTGGAATGGCATGATGTATTCGTATATTATTTCAAGGACGCAGGGCTGTGCGTAAAAATGAGAGAGAAAAGATCGGGAGTATATATATATATATATAGGCCTCCTCGTTTCCATTGATGCCCATGCAGCAGCGGCCCAGGGCTATATATCCTTCCTTTTTATATCCTTTTTATATCTTCGAATTTGGCTTCGAACCTTCTGGTGAGTGCTGTGAGTCCTGCAATGAGATATATTTATTCGGGTATTCAATTTCTGTATTCCTGGCGTCTGGACAGCCGCCGAGCCGATTACGATGGAGAATCGGAGTGGTTGACCTGTTACTCATTGTATACGCGTCTCTTCGTCTTAGCCGAGAGCTTGTTTTGTTTGTATGTTGTGTTGAACTTGCTGCTGCTGCTGGGTGGATCTCTTGATCAGTCTTTGAATCTTTGATCTTGGTACTTACTACTACGAAGAACGAAGTAAAAGAAGAGGAGGAGGAGGGAGAAGGAGAAGAAGAAGACTTATTATCCCACGTCCAGCATGAATACTTCGATGATGGTTTCGCTACTTCGCCATTAGAGTTTCGCCTGCCATTGCTTACTTATCTGCCCAACTCGCAATTCCACACGCCACCAGGTCATGATTTGATGGTTTAAGAGACCTAAAAATGTCGCGGGATTGCCCACTTCTTTTGGTACCTGATACTTGAAGCTCGCCCGGGTCTCTTTGAATTTCTTATTGGATTGACTTTCAGCTGGCTGGTGGATCCGGATCTGGATCTGGATTTGGATCTGTTCTGTAACCGACTGACCTTACGTATCTGGATACCTTGGTGGTGCGGCCTCACTTATGCAGACAACATTAACTGAAAGCTGAGATATGATATCAACTCAAGAGATATTTAATAAGAATTTCAGCGCGATGCGCGATGAGATGAATGCTCGTTGCTTTGCAAGATTCTGCGAAAAAATTGTATTAATAGAGCTACCTCACCAAGTTGTTAACATCGTTCAAGACTGGTATCAGACCGTCCCTGCGAAAGTGCGGATTTCATCTTCTTACATGATACTGGTACAATCAAATCTCTAAGGATATTCCAATACACCGCACTGCTAGACACGAGGACGCTTTCCGGTGTATTCAGTAGTTGCTAAACACATTCATCGGCTTGGAACTCTTTCAGGAAAAATAAACACCAGACCTTGAGCTCGACACAGATTAAGACCAGCGCTGACCTCCGCCAAAGTGAGCATTCAACATATGGAGATGAGTGATTACTATAGAGATTCACAGGCTAAGATCTTCGGCTTATCAAAAGCCATGATTTCTTGACTGGCTGCAATGGGGAAAATAGACTCTCCGAACGCTTGTCGGCCTGTCTTGGGAACTCAAGACTCAAAGATCGGACAAGTTAAGAGACTTTGCGGGGAAGTTGTCTGCTTATGGCTTGGAAGAGTGAAGGCTTGAGAACAATGAATAGACAGGAAGAGGATAGAGAGATATTTGAAAAGCCTAAGCCACCAGACTTCTAATTGTACTCTAGTCCATTACCAATGGTCGAGACTGCGCAATGGAGCTGGAAGGTTCGCAACCTTCAGTATCGAGTAGTTGTGCGAATAGACAGTGTATATGAAGGGAAATTTGTCTGTAAAGACCATCGAGGGAGGCATTCTGATGCCCGGCGCGAGACTGACATCTGCTCGCTAGTCAAATCAGGAGATAAAGACTAAAGAAATCTCAGAAAAGAGCCACAGGATACGAAGGCGACGTTGGCAGCAACGTTTACCCACCATTCATAAGCAAGCAAATCCCCAGGTGGGTTCCCAGCTCCTTAAATTCGCGCCCCTCGATGTGTTGCGCATTAGTCCAACTACCCGTGAAACGGCTATAGACCAAATCTTGTGGAGGGGAATCCGATCTCCAGTTGGGTATCATTGACACAAGTAAAGCCTACATCTTCATCTTCCTACCCCTTCATTCGAAACCCATCCCAGTCGTCGTCTTCGTCTTCGTCTTCGTCTTCGTCCTCTTCGTCGTCCTCGTCGTCGTGGAGGGTGCTCGTTTCCACTAAAGCCGGCACGGGTTTATTCAATCCCATCACACTCTCCTTGCGTCTCAATCCCTCCCTCTTCTCACGTAACCTCTTAACTCTCGCCTCCAAGCTCTCCATCTCATCCAGCTCCTCTTCCATTTTCCTCGCAGCATCTTCCTTGTCGCCTTCAATCTCAGCTTCCATCTTCTCTTTCCTCTGCATGTACTCCTCTTCCACCGTCTTCTTCGCAACCTCCGCAGCCGACATTGCAGGGGCCGAGATCACCGCGTCATTTGCTATCTGAACTTGAGCTTCCGCCGTAGCAATGTCTGCCTGGAAAGATGCCCACTCGTCCTCGTCGACTAGCACTTCTGGCTTCTTGAGCTCCGGCGCTAGGGTCTTGGAAGGCGTTGCTGGCCGCGAAGGAATGTGCAGTTCCATAGGGAGTTGTGCAACTTCAACTTGCTGAGATCCAGTATCGAAGAATCCTTCAGGCAGACCGTTGGCCGGCTTGCTCCTCTTGCTGACCATGCTCGCCCCGTCCTCGTCACTTGCTTTCCTCTTCTTCGAGGGTACCTCAGGAGCTGAAGCTTCGCTTTCTTGGGCTTTCTGTGCTCGCATCATGTGTCCTGCCGACCGAAGATGGCCGTCCCATAATGTCTCGCTCTTGAGCTGGAGGTGGCAGACGGTGCAAAGAAGAGTGCCAGTCGGAGTGTAGCTTGCGTGCTGGTGTTGTATTCTTCGAGCAGCTCTTTCGCTCTTGAGGAGGGATCGTACATCTGCCATTGTGGGCAGGGCAGGGCAGGGCAGGGCAGGGAAAAATAGGGAATCTTATGTATTGAGTTGAAAAGTGCAAGATCAATTAGAGAAAGAATGCGAGGTGAGGCTGAGAGGGCCGCTTCGTACCTTGGCATCAAGGTGTCAACCATCAGCCATCTCGCTTTTCCCGGGTGCTTTATCGATGGTGCTTGTCGCCGATGTCCGATGTCCGATGTCCGTTAGCTCAACACGTGACGCAGCTCCCCACAGATTAGCTTGTGTTTCTAGCTTCATCGACTTGTTAGTTTCTTCCCTCGACAGCCTCACCCTCACCTTCAACCCTCACCCTCACACACCCTCGATGACCAGCGCGCCTACAGGCACTGCGCAACCCTTCATCAGCACTACTACTGCTTCGCGACACCGGATTCGAGCTCGAGATACCGATTGTTCCACGCCCGATCGCCGCACGTCAAAGGCGGGGACGGCAGCTGTTTCCGGCGCACCGTCAACCACAACACGCTCCTGGGGCAGGACTGTGGACAGAAGGATTGGAGCTGCGCTTGAATAGTGGCATACGATTGCTTCGCTCGCATCATATCCATATCTCCTTTGCAATTGCATTGGCTGCGCCTCCGTGCGATCCGCCATAGCTGTTTGTATTGTAGATCCCTAGTGATCGCGTGAAAACGCGTATCGCCTACTATTTAAATAACAAATCGACGGCGGCGCCAACAACGACAACGACAACGACCACCCTCCTCCTCCCTTATTCTAGTAGTCCATACATACGAAAGATCCCTTGAGACCACAAGAGCTCACAATCAGCCTCGAAAATGGCGGGTAAGCAAATGCAGCGCCCCACTCCCCTTCTCTCCATTCCACTTCACTACCACTGCCGCTTGGCATGTCGACAGGCTCGCGCCTCCCTTCTCGACATCGGTGCTAACATCTCCCCAGATGAACCCAGAAGATCCGTTCGCGCGACAAAGGGCCAACACACAATGAAGGACCAGCTGGACCAAACCCCAGAGCCCCCCAAGAAGAAATCTTCCAAGAAGTCAAAGAAGCCCGAGAATGAAGAGCCCGTCGAGACCGAAGTCATTCGGTGCGTTTGCGGAGCACTTGAGACACTCCCCAACGACAAGGAACCGTGGATTGCCTGCGATATGTGTGACGCGTGGCAGCATAATGTATGTGTCGGCATCACCACATTCGAGGAGGACATCCCCGACAATTATCAGTGCGAGCAATGCAACCCAGAGGGCCACAAGGAGCTTCTGGATGGCCTGAAGCGCGGTGTCAAGGTTTGGGAGGATCGTAGAAAGAGATATCTGCTCGAGAAGGCCAGACAGGACAAGGAAGAGGCGAAAAAGGATGCGAAGAAGGATGTGAAGAAGGGGAAGAAGAAGGGCAAGCGGGCCAGTGATTCCAAGACCGAGATCAACGGAAAGTCCAGCGCGCCTGCAACTCCCGTGCCGGAGAAGACCAAAAAGGATGCCGCCTCAACGAGAGCCGGGAGTGTGAAGAGAAAATTGAGAGATGAGTCTCAAGATAAGGAGTTGTTGAAGGTATGTGCCTTGCGTCTGTTGCATCTCAAGCTTGTCACTGATCAAAAATAGGAACCTAAGGCAAAGACTCGCAAGATATCGGCTCCACACGTCCCTCCTCGACAAGAATCCCCAACGTCCGATCTCCCTACCAAAATCGCAGATATCAAGGACCCAGTCAAGGAAGGAGGCGCCCGGATCTTGCAAAAGAGCTTCAAGGTGACCGTACCAGTAGCTATCAAGAACGGTGTCTACGTGCCGGCGCCGAATGATACGGTCGATTCAAAGACGGAACGCCTTGCCATATCGATCGCATATGCTGTTGCGGAGCTCCACCCTTCACCAGATTCCTTTTCACCTCAGGCTCGATCGATCGCCGCAAACCTCAAGACTAACCAAGAGCTTACCAACAATCTGCTCTTGAGAAAGTTGCTGCCTCTAACCTTGGCCGGCATGAGTTCGGACGACATGGCGAGCAAGGAATTGAAGCGGGCGGTCGGAGAGATTAAGGCGCGCAATGACAAGCAAGCGATTATGGTCACAGACGATGGCCCAAGAGTACGCAGAACTCACAAGGGAGAAGAGGTCATCGAGAGTGACAACTTTGCCATGACCAGCGATACTACCTCCACATCCCGCAGACGAAGCATGCTTGATCCCAATGCGTCCATGGCGGCAAGATCACGAGAGAACTCTCCTGGCGACCAGGTTGAACTGCCCGCAGAAGAGGAGGCATACCCAAATCACAACGATATTTCGGGCCTGAAGCTCGCGTTTCCGCCAAAGGCATCACCTTCGGTAAGAAAGTCCTCGCAGGCAGACTTCGATATCCAAAAGGTGTTCTCGAGTGTGTCAGCTCAATCCCCTACCACCCCCCATCCTCGACGTGAGTCCTCAAACAACGCACCGCCTATCGATGGACCAGGTGTTGATCCTGAGATTGATAAGATGTTACAAGATGATGACGGTGACTCTGATGCCTACTCACCCACCGATTATCCCGCTGACCCCGATGTGGTCTGGAACGGAATTGTTACGATGGACTCGGTGGCGAGCTTCCCTGCGTCTGCAAAGCACGTTGCTGGCATGGCTTACGAGACATCTGCCGACTGGCAGAAGTATCTTCAAAAGGACTTGAAAGTTGCCGGACGCATCGACCAGGAGAAGGCCAATGAGTATCTCTGCAGCTTGCGCTACAGCCCTCCCACGGACGTTGTAGTAGTGGAAATCCTCCCAGCCGGCGAGCATGCGCGCAAGCAATTCGTGGAGCTCTACAACTACTTTGAGACGCGCAAGCGATTTGGGGTTTTGACGAACAAGGGACCTGGAAATATCCGTGACACATACCTGGTTCCTGTTCCACCCAGTCCGGCAAGCATGCCTGACTTCATCGGCAATCTCGAAGATCACAAGGTTCCCGAGCATCGACTCGAGCCTATGATACTCATCACCCTCGTTATCCGCAACGAATGGCCACCAGCACCTGTGGAGGCCGTTGCGCAATCGCCGAATGTCATTGATCACTCTCTAAGCCAGATGACCATGGCAGGAACTGGCTTGACACCCAACCCTCCTCTAGGATCGATTGGCCCTCCCATGCAACCGCAACCATACCAGCCCCTGTCGCTGGAGGAAATCCGACACCGCCACCACCTTGAGGAGCAAAGATTGATTGAACAAAGAAACGGCGAGGCGGTTGCAGTAGAGATTCTCGGTGTTTACCGTGATGCACCTACGGTTGCGTTCCTGATGCCGCAGGCATTCCAGATGCGACCAGTTGAGTGGCACGTCATCAAAGGGATTCTGGAGGAGGACGACCAGGCGAGACACGATCTGCAGCACTTGAGTCAGGTTTTGGAGATTAGGATGCAAAGCCTTCAACCGCCTCAGCAGCAATGAGCGGGTTCGGATAGGGGATAGGATGGGAAGGGGTATGGGATAGGATGACCGGAGTTGTCTATATGATGTTTGTGATACCGAGTGCGATGCTTTTTTTTCGTTTTTCCACCAAGGGAGGGGCCAACCCGCTACGGCGATGGATCCTTGGGTGGTTTAAAATTGGCTGTTGGGGAAAAGGGGAGGCGTTACGATACGACACGATACCATTATGATGCTTTCTTCGATGAGATCATGGATAGCTTGATGGTTGGTTTCTGCTCACTCCATCGACTGCGCTGTACATATCTGGCGAGACTCGGATAACGAATGTAGAAGTTTAATAGTATGTTTATGTCTTGTGAGCTGTCATGGGTGAAGAAGACGCGGCCGAGGAAGAATCGTATAACGGAGCGCCCACATTCCTACCGCGGCTCTGTGATGTTCACGATGTCGCGGTACAGGTGGTGCAGGTCAGAGACCAAGTCGGCGTAGGGTTTTGGAGTACGGTACCGGTATGTTGACCTGGTCAAAAGGGGGTCGGTCTGGAAGCACGGACAGTTATGGGTAGGTAAGTTCGAGCTGAGGAGGATGCCGCGGTGCATTGAGGAGAGTAGGGCCGAAGACTGCGGGTATCGTTTCATCTTCTTTCTTTCCTTCTCTCTGGCTTTCTTTCTTTTTCGCCCCGTTGAAAAAATGATTCGCCTTGCTGTGGAAATTTACAGTGCAGTGGAATCAGCGTTAGGAGAGGAGAGGTAAGCGATGTTGATTTACGGCAGATGGCGGCCAAGAACGCCCATCACTCAGCTTCAGCGTCCGGTCCCGACGAGAGTTTATTTACTGTACGGATCGACGGCGGACCAATAGGAATCAGGGGTGTTTCCAGACCCGGCTGCTCCAGCATGATAACGATAATACGTAGTAAGAGGCCAAAGGTAAAATGTACTAAGTTTTTACCACTAAGTAGTACCGGTAGTATTACCGTAAGCACAGTCCGTCAAATGCAATGCCGTAAGTACGTACGTAGTAGTATAATAAAATGCAGAAAGTACTTCAACAAACAAACATACTGGGGTTCTCTTGTACGAGCGGGAGTTCCATCCGTTGTGGAGATCTTACTGTACACTTAGTACTACGTACCGGTAGTACCTTCATATCCCCCATGAATAAATGTCGGACCCAGTTTAGCTCCATAAATCGTAGAGCGGTAATTTCTGAATGGCTTAAAGCCCTATCAACTCCATTGCACAGACTACATACTGGCTGAAAAATACTTTTCAAGGCTGATTGAATCCTTATACTACGTTAGTTGATCGGTTTAACACCTGGTAAGATCTCTTGCAAAATTATACTTTCGACATGTATTCATGGGGGAGAGTAGATACCCTGACGTACCTCGGTAGGCTAGCAACTAGCTAAACTAAAGCGTTCCTTCCTCTTCTGTCCACTCTGTTCTTTTCTCTTTCCTTCTCTCCATTCCTCTCTCTACTCTGTCTACTCTCTCTACTCTCTCCCCTTAACCTCCTTCACCATGACAACTCCAATCCCAGGCCCACCAGGTCTCCCCTTCGTAGGCAACATCAATGACCTCGATCCCGAAGGCTCCATCGCCAGTCTCTCACGGTTGGCAGAAACATATGGCAAGCCCCCTCGTGCCCTCCCCTTCCTTCTCTCCCACCCACGCATCTATCTCTAATGTGCCCGCACCAGGCTCCATCTTCAAGCTCACTCTGGGCGGCAATGAGCGTCTCTTTATCTCGACTCACGAACTGATGGACGAGGTCTGCGATGAGAAACGCTTTACAAAGATGGTTTCCGGGGCCTTGGAACAGGTCCGCAATGGCGTGTCGGACGGCCTCTTTACAGCACATACGCATGAGCATAACTGGGAAGTGGCACATCGAGTCTTAATGCCTGGTTTGTCTCTGCTTCAAGAGCCGGCCTGTGGCTATGGCTGATATACGGCAGCGTTTGGTCCGATCAATATCCGCAGCATGTTTGACGAGATGCACGATGTTGCTTCTCAATTGGTCGTCAAGTGGGCGAGATTCGGCCCCAGGCAGAGAATCAACGTCACGGACGACTTTACGAGGCTGACGCTGGACTCCATCGCTTTGTACGTGTCCTGGAACCTGTATCGGGCTTGGACTGACGATACAGGTGTGCGATGGACACGCGCTTCAACAGCTTCTACCACGAGGAGCTGAACCCCTTCGTCGACGCTATGTTGGGATTACTGCAGGAATCTGAAGCGAGATCAAGGAGACCGGCTGTTGCGAACTTTTTCTACCGATCCGCCCAGCAGAAATATGACGCCGATATTGCGCTGTTAAAGAGTGTGGCAGCAGAGGTTGTGAAGGAAAGGCGATCGGCGCCGAATGACAAGAAGGATCTGCTCAATACCATGATTAATGGGCGGGATCCAAAGACCGGGGAAGGCTTGACAGAGGAGAGTATCCTGAACAATATGATCACGTTCTTGATAGCTGGCAGGTCGTTTATGGACTCGAGTTTTGGCATCTTCTAACTTCCAGCAGGGCATGAGACTACCAGCGGACTGATATCCTTCCTCTTTTACTTCCTGGTCAAGAATCCAGCAGTATACCAGACGGCCCAACGCCAAGTCGACGAAGTTATTGGGCGCGGTCCTATTACCGTGGACCACATGTCGAAACTCCCGTACATCGAAGCATGTTTGCGGGAGACCTTGAGACTCACCCCAACTGCGCCGGCCTTCACGCTGCAGGCTCGAACAGATACTCCTGACGAGCATCTAATCCTCGGCGGAAAATACGAGATCAAGAAGGGCCAGTCTATCGTCGCTCTACTTGGAAAGATCCACACAGACCCCGCGGTCTTTGGGGAGGACGCACAGTCATTCAAACCAGAAAGGATGCTCGCCGAAGAGTTCTCCAAGTTACCGAAGAATGCATGGAAGCCATTCGGAAACGGCTTGCGTAGCTGTATTGGTCGCCCATTTGCATGGCAAGAGGTAATTCTGACTACTGCGATGCTCCTCCAAACATTCAATTTCAGATTCGAGGATCCGAGCTACCAGCTCGCAATTAAACAGACTCTTACGCTCAAACCAAAGGACTTGTTCATGCACGCTTCTCTCCGTGAGCACATTGATGCCATGCACATTGAGAAAATGCTTCACGTGCAGTCGTCGATGCAGAGCCTTTCAACAGAGAAGAATGTAAAGATGCATCAGGCATCGGCAGCGGCTCGACCAAAGAAACCCATGTCGATTCTGTACGGATCGAATGCTGGGACCTGTGAAGCGCTCGCCCAAAGTTTAGCAAGAGCTGCTTCTGGGCGCGGATACGCCGCGCAAGTTGAGCCCTTGGACAGCGCGGTTGATCGGGTGCCCAAGGCTCAGCCCGTCGTGCTCATCTCGTCTAGTTATGAAGGGCAGCCTCCAGACAATGCAGCACACTTCTTTGAGTGGCTGCAGAGCTTGGAGGGGAATGATAAGCTGAAGGGGGTAAAGTATGCTGTGTTTGGATGTGGCAATCGTGGGTACATACACAACCTCGGGATGCATGAGCTGACAGAACCTAGATGATTGGGTCTCTACCTTCCATCGGGTCCCCAAACTGCTGAATTCTGGATTCGAAGAAAATGGTGCGTCTAAGATCACCGAGATGGGACTTGGTGATGTTGCGGCTGGTGACATTTTCAATGATTTCGACAAATGGCAAGATGAGTACCTGTGGTCTGCTCTCGGAGGCGATGCAGAAGCCGAGGAGGAGACCAGCTTGGAGCTTGAAATTGACACCGGAAATAGAAGTTCCAGGTTACGGCAGGATGTGAAGGAGGCAGTGGTTCTGAGCAACGAAATCTTGACCAAGCCCGGAGTTCCGGAGAAGCGACACATTACTTTAAACTTACCTACTGGAATGACTTACAAGGCTGGCGACTACATTGCTGTCCTTCCGATGAATAATGCTAGTACCGTCCGCCGGGTTTTGAAATGGGCGCACTTGCCCTGGGATACGATGTTGACGATCAAGAGCGGAGCGAGCACTACGTTGCCAACAGGGCATCCAATTTCGGCCATGGACGTCTTGACAATGTATGTCGAGCTCAGTCAGCCTGCAACTCGCAAGAACATCGCTCGAATTGCCGCATCCTCCCCTGACGAAGCCGTACGTGCCAAGATCCTCGATCTCGCCGCGAAAGACTTCGAAGAGGAAATCCTTAACAAGCGAAAATCGCCACTCGATATCCTTGAAGAATACCCTTCGGCCGTACTTCCATTGGGGGACTTCCTTGCCATGCTTCCACCTATGCGCATCCGCCAATACTCCATCTCCTCGTCGCCACTTGCCGACCCAACAATCGCTACATTGACTTGGGCAGTGTTGGACACTCCATCCAAGGCAGCAGGCGGTAAGCGCTTCTTGGGCGTGGCTTCGAACTACATGTCTGGCCTGGAAGAAGGCGATCGAATCCATGTTGCTGTCAAGCCCAGCCATGGCCTCTTCCACCCACCCGCGGATCTGGAGGGTACGCCTGTCATCATGTTCTGCGCAGGAACGGGTCTCGCCCCATTCCGAGGCTTTGTCCAAGAACGGGCGATACAATTCCAAGGTGGTCGGAAACTCGCCCCCGCGTATCTGTTTATCGGCTGTGCCCACCCAGAGAAAGACTGCCTATTCAGCGAAGAACTTAGGCATTGGGAGGAAGCTGGAGTAGTCAAGACTTTCTACGCGTACTCTCAGTGCAGCGAGAGCAGCAAAGGGTGTCGGTATGTCCAAGATCGGTTGTGGGAGGAGAGGGTGGAAATGGTAAAAGCCTTTGAGGAGGGCGCGAAACTGTTCGTTTGCGGCAGTAGTCGAGTCGGAGAGGGAGTTGCAGCGATGACAAAGAAGATTTACATGGAAGCTGCTGAGGCTCTGGGTAAGCCGAAGACAGATGAGGAGGTTGAGCAGTGGTGGGCGGGAATCAAGGGTGAGAGGTACGCCAGCGATGTGTTTGCTTGAATGCAAATCTCCAAGTTACATAGAAGGAAGATTTAAGGCGCATAACAGTTGGCGTTTCTCAAAGGATATGCAGTTTTGGATGTTTTATAGACGATGAATCGATTTATTTCAATGTTCCATGTGCGTTACATCGGCCGCCAGTGGAGCCATGGTTGTTGGTGTTAACATGTAGTGTACGATAGACTTGGTGTAAATTTTGACTACAGCAGGATAACCTGTTTCATGATCGATAAGTTATAGAAAATGGTTTCAATTGATATTGGATATTCGTTAGGAATAGGTCATGCTATGGGTCACGGGACTAGAGCTGTAATGGGCGGGTAAAGCATACGGAGTAGAATAAGTAGACAACTCTGCCATCACCTTTATGGGACCCTAAACCAATGATACACCTATATAGTATAGTAAATAGGAACTCATGAAATATTTTGTACACATTCATTATGGCCGACAACCCACTACATCTGATCTTATCTCGTCTTATCTTGTAATAAGCGCGCCACCGCCAGCGCGGAAACGCGGACGCCAAACGCAGATCACGTCGCGAAGCTTTTCATGCCGAAAACTCAATTTATTATTACCATCGTATCTCAAACCACATCCGCACGCAGATAGATAACCATGCCGGCGTGTACCGGTATCCACGCATTCACGCATCGCCAACCACGACTGCGGTCCACGACCGAAGTCCAAGGGGCAGGCGCGGCTATATCATGAGTAGCGGCCGCGGTGACAACCACGGCCATGGACGCGAGTTCGTGCGCTGAACGGACGAGGAGCAGCTAATCCTCTTTCAGTCCATTAATGACCAGTTCGAGCTGAAGTTACGGGAACCCTCCCGTGATATCGCGTTGGCGGTGCATCTCCTCGCAGCTTGAAGATCAAGGCTTCACTCGAAGCCATTTCGCTTGCGAGAGCCACTACAGACGGATTGTCGTGGTCTCGAAGGCCTCCCAGGAGACTGTCCCGGGCTCGAAGTGGTCCGTTACAAAGAATGAGATCCTGCTCGAGATGTGTGAGGATCAGCTGGCGCGCGAGTAACATGATCCCGTGGCTGTGGTCCCATGGCCGACTCTCTGGGAGGCCATCTCCTCCCGGCTGGGGGACGTCGGGTACCGTCGATCGCCGCAGGCCTGTGCTGATTGCTGGTGCCGAGTCAAGAGGCTTAAGAAGAGGGCTGTTCCTAAGGTATTAACGGCAGAGGGTGAGTCCAGCGGCATTAGGATGCACGACTCGGTCATTGAACCGCTGGATGAGGAAATTGACTCCCAGACCCCTCGGGAGGAAGACTTGGACTGCTCGGGAGAACAGCCAGAAGAAGGAGAAAGAGAAGAAGTAGAGGAATGAGGAGCAGGTGCAGGAGGAGGAGAGGGATTAGAAGGAGAAGAAGAGAAAGAACAAGCCCAATATGAAGAGGACCAGGACGAAGAGATTCGGCCGCCAGCCCCGCCGCATATCTTGCCCTCAAGTGCCACATCTGTATTAGCTCCGGCAGCTGCTATCTCGGTCTCCTCTGAGAAGGACGCCTCGGAAGATGAGCATCGCCCAAGGCAACACGAGTCCGCTGATCATGCGCCTCTTTATGGAGTAATAACGGCTTGGGGGGGGGCAAGCAGTAGAGTGTGAGTGTCCTGATATTTGCAGGAGGATGCTGCTGGCGTGTGAAATGGATAAAGGCCAACACCAATTGTCCTCAAATACCTCTCCTGGGTCAAATTTCAACGAGTCTCTCGATGCACCTACTCCCACTGGCAGCTTGAAGCGGAAGCCCTCTAGACTCGACTGTAGAGAAAGTACCCTCTCCATCTGCGAAGATAATATCGGAGTACAGGCTCGAGATGATCATCCATCCAAGAGGATACGTCTAGAGCCCGAGTATGCTCGGCATTGTTCTGGGGAAGCTCGAACACACGTTTCGTCGTCTTCGGCACGAATGTTGCCTATCCAGTCTGACCGTCCGGAAGACGGAGAATTTGGGCAGTCTATTGGCTCGCCGACTGACGCCTCACGCAACTCCTCGAGGGCCGATTCCTCGGAAAGTCGAGAGACTGCAGCCACTTCCACTTCGTCACACGGGACCGTCGTCTCTTCTTTTTCTGCGGCCGACAAGCCGGGTGGTTCTGCCCTGCCAATCCCCGACCAGGCACTTAGCTCCGAGGAAATCACATCTGAGAAGGAGCCTGATCTTCAGCATTCGATGGTGAATGAATTGCCTTCATTCCAGGCACCTGTCTCAGGGGCATTGGGGCACCCGGTCAACACCGGGCCTCGCCTCCTATCGAATACGTCGATACCCACCGTAATGAGTGCAGGTCCATCTGTGAATCCACCACCCCTTTCCCAGAGTATTTCTGCTGCCGCCGCCCTTCCCCTCAAAAAACACCTCCAGCTTCTGGTCCCTCACTTGCAAGCGAATCTACTCCTGGCAGCGAAAGAGAAGTAATCTCACGTAAGGCCAACACATACCAAGCGCAGATCGACAGCTTGAATCGCGACGTCACAGCACGTCTACAAAACATCTGCCATATTGACCAACGCGTAGAAGCGATTACGAAGAAGCAAAGGGATCTGCACCATGAGAGGGATGAGCTGATCAGGCAGACGATAATGGAGATTGAAGCTAGGTATGCCGATTGACTGCAGACTCTCCAAGCGGAACAGGCATTGATATCTCAAAGCAAAGACGTGGAGCTAGAAGCTATGGAAAGGAGCAGCGATGAGCTAAAGAAGAGAAAGAAGTCTTTTGGGCATATTCAGGCGCTCATTAATGGCATGACGAGCCGAATAGGTTTCTATATACATTATAATGGATTATGAATCCATTGCTCAGGCTATACGGGCACGACAATATACATGAGTGTATTTGCCTGAGGAGAACGGGTTGTTTAGTGGTAACATTTGTGAGGTCTTCCTGGCTGAGAAGGAGAAGAAGAAGAAGAGGGAGAGAATTGAAAGGTAAAAGGATATACAAAGAAAAAAAAAGGGGGGGGGTTAATATTTTCATCACCGGTAGTACCCAGCTCCCAAACGCCACCCTACTGACAATGCACAAGAATCGAACGCCTCCGCAGAAACGGCGGCTCAAGTTAAACCATGTCCTTCACAGCCACATCATTATCTGACTTCTTCGAGTCCCGCGTCGAGGCCCGCTTCGCGTCGTGGTACTCGACCCCCACGGAACTCGTGACGTGGATGCCGGCATAGGCCAACTCCTCCTCGGAAGAGTTCATCGTGTCTCCCATTCCCGGCGTCGTCAGCCTCAGCTGGCTGGGCCCCTTGCTGGCCGAGATCCGACACATGCTCGTCGTGGCGAGGAAGCGGCCCTTGCTCTGCGGGCGGCCGGTCAGGTTCGCCATGATGTGGTTCCCGTTGTGGTCGGCCGAGCTTTGCTTGCTCCCGGTCCTGCCTGCGGTGGCGCCGCGACTGGTGGCGAAGAAAATCTTGAGGGAGGGTACGTTGGCGGCCATGATGGCGACCTCGAGCTCGATGCAGGAGACGATGATGATCTTGCCGAGGGAGTGCGTGAAGTCGGTGAACTTCTGGAACTCGAGGAGGACAGTGAGGCGCAGGACGGAGATGACGACGACGATGCCGCCCAGGGAGATGATGGAGAGGAGCTGCAGCCGCTTGCGCAAGGAGAGCTGGACCATCCAGAGGGGCTTGATAGGGAGGACGAGGATCACGATGTCCATGAAGATGTTCTGGCCGTTTTCAAGAATCGTTAGGCCTCATGATTGGCAAGGGGTTTGTTTTTTTTTTTTTTTTTTTTTTTTTTTTTTGAAGAATACTTACGAGCGAAGCCGGGACGAAAGCGAGCACGCTGTTTTCCAAGCATTTGACTGTGGGGTGGTCATTATGGTGGAAGTAGGCGTCGAGGGGAATGCACTGCAGGCAATAGAGGAGCCATTGGACGACGGCAAAGATGCAGTTGAGAGCGATAGAGTAGTGCACCAGGGTTCTGTATACCAACAGCCGGGTATCAGTAAATACCTGATCAAGATTGTTTCGGGAGTAGAGCAAGATAGTCTGAACAATCAGAGTCGTTGAAATACGTACCTGAAACCTTTGGTGGCGAAGCGAAGGTAGAAGAGAAGGAAAGTCATCTTGATGATAAAGTGCATCAAGACGTAGTAGATTTCTTCGACGAACAGGGTCTAAGGTCCGTTAGGATATCATCGTCTGCTATTGTTCTGAGCACTTACGGTGGTGAGTTTCTGGAGCCATTCAGGGTGGTATTTTATTACTTCTTGGGCATGTCTGAACGAGTCAGAGGGTCGGGGCACACAGCTGGATATATTTGAACGACTTACTTTCCACCTCCGTGTCGGATGAAGTAGTACAGGATTACCTGGTGGCCACAATTCAAGAACTGAAGTCCGGTCAGTAAAGTAGTCTGTCTACCAAAGCCCAGGGTACCTACAAAAGTCACTACCATGCACCAATCGTCCCATCCAAAGCCTTTGGTCACGAATCCTCGAGAATAAATCCGGAGTGCGATGGTCAAGGTCGATGCGGCGAAGAAAGTAGAGACGATGCTATAACAGGCAGCTTGCAGATCCGTCATCTTGCCAAACTCTAAGGATGTCGTCGATAGAGTGTGGGATTTGAAACGCGGAAGAAACGAACAAGTACTTGGTGATCAAGGACCAGTGTAGGAAGAGGAGTGGGATGCGACCAGAGGTCTCCTCAAGAAGGTGACGATGAGAGGGGAAGCACGGTTCTTATATTCTTGGCTTTCCGCCACCTGGTTATCTTTCCGGTCTGAACATGATAAAATAATCTGTGCAATAGCGATATAAAGACAATAGCTATCACTTTCAACAGCCAGCTGGAAGAGGAGTCAAGCAACCACGGGTTCGCCCCAGTCCTGAAAGGTCTTAGGTCTTGGTGTTGATATTCGCTTAGCCAAACTCGGTTAGCGATGTACCGTGCCCTGGGGAAGACCTCGGCTACGGTGCGGACATCCCCAGGGGACCTTACTAACTGTAGACGGTGCTGCTCTTGGTTATGTAGAGTAAGGTCATCGTCGGATAAGGCTAAATAAATCGGGAAAGCGGTTGGAGCTAACATCGAGTCGTATCAGATTCAGCGAGGATACGACATCCCATCTTGGATTCTTTAGGAAAGCTGTCATTCGAAGTCCGACTCCCCGAGTCTCCTTTTCAACATTTCACAAGACCCGTACTTTTCTTCTCCTAAGAAATACAGCGATTCACAGAAGAGGAGATGGCGGGAGAGGGATCTCATTACAAGCCGAAGACGGCACGAAGGATGTGTCCGTGAGGTCTGTGAACCGCCATCATGATATTCCAACGCCAAGTGTGGTGGTAGCCAGGCACCGGCTCGCACACTCGATTCCTTCGATATCTGGCATCTGCGGATCGTGCACTGTAGTATGTTCCCAGCATCTCCACGGGATGGTGGGCCGGGCTCCCAGCGATCTGTGTAGTGATCTCAGAAGGGCACCTACTTCAGCTTTGGCCTCCCGCACAGCATTGCACCAACTCGTGCATACGATGAACGCTCGGGACAGACCCACAGCAACCGACGACATGGGGCTGCGTTGAAAGTAATTCGTAAAGATCGATCAGCTTCGGGCTGGAGTCTGGACTCGCTCAGCACGTTCATATCTTGGTTTTTGGACCCTTTCCTTTACTGAACCCTTCAACGCTAAAAATCTTGGCTGCTATCTTCTCTGGTACCAAATGAATATTTGAAATAATGACTTGGCAACGGGAATCAAAGCATAGGGGAGAGATTTCTCTATAGAGGAAAAGAAAACAAGATGGCGCTAACTCTTGAGCCTTTCCCCAGAAAACTTTGTGGTATCCCAGCGTTTCGTTCTAGTCTCCGAGCCGTGTTTTCATGAACGATTTGCATATCCCGAGCCTGGACCTCCTTGTAGATGCCGTCCAGGTATTGCTCCGCTGGGATCAATGACAAATTTCCAGGAGGCCACGGCCCGGGATTCAGGAGAAGGAGAGAGAGCGGCTTTTCTATATAGTTACGAGATGTGTAGACTTGAGTCCATCATCAGCGCACCATCTCAACATTTCTTTCTTTTCAATTTCATCTTACCTTCTTTTGCGCACACCCTATTTGCGACGCTGAAGAACATAGATAAGCGTAAATAAAAATGACAGCCATGGATCTCAAGCTTGTCGAAGAGGGCACATTGGCTCCACAGACACAGGTATGTTTTCGTATACAGCCAGCTACCAGGTACATGCTAACATCTTCCAGAGCAGGACATTCCTTTACCATGCGGAAACCGCGTTCCTCATCACCAAGAGCGATATAAAGACAACCATCTTGCCTGCTACGACCTTTGCCTTCACCGCCGTCTTCTCTGGCCTCATGTCAGACGCTACCACACCAGACGCCAGCAGCGCTCTCTTCGGACTCCTAAAAGCTGTTGTATGGACGTGGGTGAACCTTTGGATCTTCAACCTGTCGAATCAACGCCTGCCCAACTCTGTCCTGGAAGACGCGATCAACAAGCCCTGGCGCGCTATCCCCTCAGGACGGCTCACCCCCGAAGAAGCCAGCCAGATCCTCCTCCTCTCGATTCCCGCCGGCTACCTCTCGACGCTGTTCCTCGGCGGTACCACGGAGTTCCTCGTCATGATGGTGCTCACCTGGGTGTACAACGACCTCGGCGCGGCCGAGGGCCACTTCCTCCTCCGCCACGTCAACAACGCCCTGGGCTTCACCACCTTCGGCGCGGGCGCCGCGCGCGTCGCTTGCGGCGGTGCTCTGAACACGACGACCATCTACGCCTGGCTCGCCGTCATCGCGGCAGCCATCACGTGCACGATCCAGTTCCAGGATATGGAGGACCAGGAGGGCGACCGGCTGCGGGCGCGGAAGACGCTGCCTCTCGTGATGGGCGAGGGCGCCACGCGGTGGGCCAACGCGGTCACTGTCGTCGGGTTCTCGCTCGTCGCCGCTGCGTTCTGGCGTCTGCCTGTCCTGGGGTACCTGCCCCCTGCGGCGCTCGGGGGTCTCATTGCGGTGCGGACCTTGACGAGGACAGATTTGGCGGGGGATAAGCAGACGTTCAAGCTGTGGTGCTTGTGGCTGATGCTGTTGTACGTGCTGCCCTTTGCGAAGATGGAGGGGGTTTGGGATATTGGGTTCGGAGCTGGGTCACTCGTTGCATTGTAAGATATTTATTGAAGAATGAGAAGAAAGAGTACATGATTTTACCAAGCTCCAGTCTTCGCGTGGATAATCTCGTCTGATGTGAAAAATTATATCACGAGTTTTATTTCAAAAGATAATAAGACGTTCACTTTTAGAAACAGCTCAGTAATTAAATCGCTCATTCCAGTATTCATAATAAATATTAAGCGAGCCTTTATTGATATTCGCTTACTTGCATACTACAACCTCGGCTTAGCCTATCGCCGCTTTTAAAAACCTTGGCCTACTTACTTATTCTGCGTCCCCCCTCAACATCTTTTTACTGTAAGAAAGGGCTTTGGTTTTCTTATAGCTCCCAAAACGCCAAACTCGACATCAAACCATCAGTTAAATTTCCCCTTTCTTATGTATCCATTCTTTATTCGCAATTTCCTATCTCCAAAATCTTAGATTTCCTCTTGCAGCCGAGTTTTTTTCTCTTTTTTTTTTTTAAAAAAAAAAAGGCCACCACTTCTTTCACTTTACTTCAGAGTCATTTCACTCGTCTACTGCACATCCTCTATACCATCCATCCAAATCGCAGCAGCAAAGTTCAAGACTCACTCCACTCCGCGTCACTTACGTATATCCCCAAACCGATACAAACCTATACAAGCCCAAGAATACCTGTATATAATAGCTCGATGAAATCATGATGTTTTTTTTCGCTCTTTTATTTATCTATTTATATATAAATCCTACCCTAAGCACTATTATTCTACCTTCTCCATTTTCGCTCTCTTCCTCAGTAACCCCCCAACAGCTTTCGCGACCTTCAACCTCACGCTCCTCAAATCCCACATCTCCGCCTCTTCAATGCCCACAAAGCGTCTCACCAGCAGATTAAACACGAAGCCAAAGCTCAGCGCCATCACCGTGCTCGTCAGGATAATGACGTTGTACGGCATGCTGAAATCGGGAGTCGGGAGCGGCAAGAGCAAGGTCGTCGTCCGGATCTGGGTCTGCTTATCGCTGATGGTGATGATGGCGGGCGCGATGTCGAAGCCGCGGTTGGCGTCAGGCGGGTACTCGGTGTATCGGAGAATCGCCTTCTCGAAGTCGTAGGTCAGGACTACCGTCGAGTTTGCGGGGATCAGGATGCGGACTTCGAGCTGGGTGCCGCGCTTACGGTCGAGGGCTGGCCGGTAGTACATCTCTTGGATGACGGATTGGTCCTGACCGTCGATCTTCGCTTTCAAGGTGTGGAGGTAGAGTTTCATGAACCAGGGCAGAGTCTCCAGGTAGACGAAGTCAACGGAGGAGGTCAGAGATGGGTTCGTGAGGATGGCTTGCACGCCACCGTGTTCCTGGCCGTAGCCAATGAAGGAGCGTTCTGCGTACAGCAAGGGTTGCTCGAGAGGGGATTTCTCGGAGATGGTTTGGGAGGGGAGAGCCATTTCGAAGTCGCCTTCTGGGGCGAGCCCGAAGCAGCGGCTGTAGCCGGAGGGATGCGGATGTTCTTGAACACCATCGGAGGTGTATACGTTGCGGGCTTGGGGGACATGGATACAGATCGGGTCTATGCCTTCGGTTGCTAAAGGGCACGCTCCCTTGAGGGAGTGCCCGAAGATCTGGGAGAGGGACCAATCGTCTTCTTGGGCGGAAGTATCCAGCGGAAAGCAGGTATCGTGAGAATGGTAGGGCTTAGAGGTGTTGCACTTGAGCTCTTCATGGTGTATGGGTCTTGGGATGGGGTTATCTGGAGAATTTAGCAGGATTCTATATGGTGGTCGAGGCATTGCATACCTCTCGGTCGTTTCGACCTCTGGATATCCAAGACCATATCAACAGTCTGTGTGATCTGCAATTGGCATTCCCCTCCACCCGAGGGACAGATAGGTTGCACATCAATCGACATGCTCTGCCAGCTCGCATCAAACAATTTGTGGCCGTCCAACAGACTCGAGATGCCGGCTTTGCCTTTGCACGGCAGAAGCTTCAAGAAAGGGGTCAGGTTCTCGGTGCATACCACCTCCCGCGGCAACGTGCCATGCAGCAAATGAAGATTCTCGGCCGTGGCATTCGGATGGTTCCCTACGGGATCAAAGGACATGACCGGTCGGATGGTCCTGGTCGAGTCGATGAAGTTCAGCGAGGCGCAAAAGAGGCCAGACAGCGCATTCGTCAAGGTCAGCCATCGTCCGTCGGCGCTGTTCGAATTAGCCAAGTACCCTTTCCTTTCCCTCTCTCTGACACACAGAGCGGATGTGATGTATGAATGTGTGAAGAAGGTAACGAGCAACGAGATACACACTCTTCATCCGTCTCGGCCTCCACCCACGCCCACAATTCCACGCCGGTGCCCCCCTCTCGCGCGCCTCCCCACGGCCTGGCGCCCCAACTCTCCGCGTCCCATCGGCCCAGACTGAAGCGCAGGTGCAGTTCCCGCGTGCTGGCATGCTGTAGTATCTGGCCTAGCGAACGGGGGAAGTATCTAAAGTTCTGCTGCTCGAAGGAGGCCAGGCTCGTGTTACTCTGGAAGTTGAAGGAGGCGAGGAGGAGGGAGGGATGGAGAGGCCGTAAGTTGAGCTGCTCGTAGTAGTCGGAGGACGCAGAAGCTGGAGATGTCTGTGAGAAGAGGACGCTGAAGGCGAGGAGTAGAGGCTGGAAGGGACGCATGGCTGCCAGCGCCGGGAAGTTCGTGATGCTTTATAGACTGCGGCGCATTGGTTGGTGTGGTGTAGATACTTTGCAAAAGTGGATGATTCTGTGAAAGTTCAGGGTGACGCGCCTGAAATCTTAGCGCGAGGCCCTTCAAATGTGAGAGAGACCTCATCCCAACCCCAACCACAACCAGCATCCTCGTCGTCGCAACGCGTCCACGGCGACAACACGATACAATCATGGCCGCCGAACAGAGAAAACTGCTTGGTAAGATATAATTTTACATTGCTATCTCCTTCTTAACACAGTATCTCCAACATCCGTTCCCCTACTGGCTCAAACTAGACCCCCCCCCCCGTCCCCCAAATACTATCTCTCCCCCTCCATCTCCAGAGCTAACATCCCCTCCCAGAGCAGCTCATGGGCGCCTCGGCCTCCTCCCGGGCCTCCCAACTCTCCATCACCGACCCCAAAGTCTGCCGTTCCTACCTTGCCGGCACCTGTCCGCACGACCTCTTCACCAACACCAAGCAGGACCTCGGGCCCTGCCCCAAGGTGCACTCGGAGCCGCTCAAGAGCGAGTACGAAGCGGCGACCCCGTCGCAGCAGCAGAAGTGGGGTTTCGAGTACGATTACATGCGCGACGTGCAGAAGTACATTGACGAGTGCAACCGGCGGATCGAGGTGGCGCAGCGGCGGCTGGAGAAGACGCCGGACGAGATCCGGCAGACGAACGCGCTGCTCAAGACCATCGGCGACCTGGGCCAGAGCGTCGCGAGCGGCCTGCTGGAGATCCAGGTGCTGGGCGAGCAGCGCGAGGTGAGCCGGGCCTACGAGGAGTTCTTCCGCGTGCGCACGGCCGTGCAGCAGAAGGGCGATAAGGAGCGTGAGCTCAAGGCGCTGTCGGACACGAGCGGGCCGTCGGGCCACCAGAAGCTGCAGGTCTGCGACGTATGCGGCGCGTACCTGAGCCGGCTGGACAACGATCGGCGCTTGGCGGACCACTTCTACGGCAAGATGCACCTGGGCTACGCGCAGATGCGGAAGACATTTGAAGCCTTCCCGAAGGAGCTGAGGATGAGGAGGGCGCCGATGGTCAGCAGCGATGAGGGCGGTGACGGCCGGGATCGAGGGGGCTTTGATCAGGGCTATGGGGATGGGGGGTATGGGAGGGGAGGAGGCTACGGAGGTCGGGGTGGTGGACGAGGGGGTGGAGGCTTCAGAGGGGGCCGAGGAGGTGGAGGATTTCGCGGACGGTGGTGAAGCGGCGCTTAACTAAGACGAGAAAAATGGGAGCGAGATACATACGAAGTACCGGAAAAAGCACGGCGTTTGTGACCGGGGGGGGGCGTAATGGGTATGTACTGTATGTACAATGTAAACATACGAACAGGAGATGATATATACCAACCATGTCAGAGAAGGGAATGAAATGGAATAGAATGTAATTCCTACCTACATATTCTCTCTCTCTCCTTTCCCAATTCCAAATCCCCTCTCTCTCCCTCTCCCTCCCCCTCTCAGAAAAAAAAAAAGAGTATACTTCCCTTCTACTTCATACTCCATCCACACTTCACATTTTCCCTCCGCTTTACCATTGAACAAGCAAACCTTCTAACCTTCTAACCTTCTAACCTTCTAACCTTCTAACCTTCTACCCTTCTACCCTTCTAACCTTCTACCCTTCTACCCTTCTACCCTTCTACCCTTCTACCCTTCTACCCTTCTAACCTTCTACCATTCCATCTTATCCACCTACCTCATAATTTCATTTAAATCCAATACATACACATACACACGTATACATATCCAATACACATACATATATCGAATACACATACATATCCAATACACATATACATAGTCAAGCAAACCAAAACAAACGTAAAGCGGGTCACTTGTCTGCCGGCTGTTGGCTGGCTAGCTAGCTAGCTATAGCTGCGTTTACTGGGGACAATCTACTTCGTACAGATCCACTACAGTTCTTCAATCCAGTCTACAATCTCACCCGGTTCAAACTTCAAAATGCGTATTGCGTAGCGAACCTGGCGGATCCCAAGGCCGTATATGTCAAAGTAAGAGCAGGGCTTATATTTCTATTAACCTCTTTTCTTTCTACTATTCTTTTATTATTCTTTCACTATTTTCATGATTCTTCTAGCCTTTCTTCTTTTCTTCCACTCTCATTCACGTCTTCTTCTTCTTCCTCTTCTTCTCTTCTCTTCTCTCTCCCCACCCAATTTAAAACCACCGCAAACAGATCAAAGCTCACCACCCCTCCAGCCCCTCTACTCCAGCAGAACCTCGTACTCAAACCCCCCAACCTTCAACTCGTACTCGGGTAGCGTCGCCGGTCCACAGCTGCCCGTCCCGAGTCCATGATGCGCCCAGTCGAGACGCACAATCGTCTCATCCTTCTTGCACCGGTACAGCTCGTACGGATGCCGCGCCGCGTCGATATCCCGCGTCGTGTAGTGACCCGCCGAGAAGCTCGCCTCGGGCAGGTCCCCAAATGACGCCTTCAGGCCCGCCCCCGACCGGCCCGTGAATGCCACCCATCGCGTGTCCGTCCGGTTGCCGCCCTCCTGCGGAAACTCGTAGTCCACAAACAGCCCGTCGATGGAGGAGCGGTAGTTGCCGAACCGCTGCGCGAGCTTCTTGTCGCGGTACGACTCGCCGGGCCCACGGCCGAACCACTCCGCCGACTCGATGTCTGCGAGCAGCGAGAACGTGAGGCCGATCCTCGCGAACGTGCTGGGCAGGTTGACACCCTGCGGCTGGCCCTTGACTTTGAGGGAGAGGTGTGAGTCCGTGAAAGTGTACGTAAATCGTACGTCGACGCTCCATTCCCACACCGGCGGCGCGATGCGCGCGTCGACCGTCACCACCACTGCTTCTGCGGTGTTCTTCCACGACACGGAGCGGACGTGCTGTTTGGTCTGGTGCAAGAGAGCGCGGGTCCACGAGCGCCCGAAGTCGCAGCCGGCGTCGTTGTCGGTTTGGGCGCGGTAGAAGTCCATGACGGGCGGCCCTTGCAAGAGCTCGACTCCAGAGGAAGATTTCCAACTAGTGAGAGTGCCGTGTACGATGTTGAAGGTCCATGAGACGTTCTTGGGTCCGGTGATCTCGAGCTTCTGAGGGGACACCTGCTTGTATTTTGGGGCGTTGGGGGAGGAGGCTGCTTTGAGTGTTGCGAGAGATGGTGGGGGTGTGAGTGGGATTTGGCCGAAGGAGATGAGGTGGCCGGCGGGCAGGCAGTTCGTTGCGGCGTGCAGAGTGAAGTTCAGCTCTAGGAAGGATTCGCCATGGGGGAGGTCGGGAAGGCCTGAGATAGAGAGCTCGGCTGTGGAACCGGGTTGAACGTCTGTGTTATTATCAGTATCGCTCTTAAGCGAGGTAAAGAATAGGGGAACACGACATACCCTCGGGAATTTTGACTTCCTCGCCAATCTTTCTTAGCCCATCTGCTACCAGAACCCACTCACACTTCAAGTGCGACAAATCAACGTGATCATATCTGTTGATAATCGTCACCTTATCCTTATTGCCGCCCACGACTTGCACCGGCTGAATAGCTTTCGCGTACTCGATGAGTCCAGGATTGGGCGTATGATCTGAGAACAGCACGCCGTCCATCACGAAATGGCCGTCATTGGGCTCGTCACCAAAGTCGCCGCCATAGGCATAGTAAGTTTCGCCATCCTTGCTCTTGGTTTTCAAGCCCTGGCACTCATCAGTATCCTCGCTAATGCCAAGTTGACAAAAAGAGCAAACAACTCACATGATTCGCCCACTCCCACACAAAACCACCCATGAGTCTCGGGTACTGGTAGAAAGCCTCCATGTACTCCTTGATATTTCCAGGCCCGTTCCCCATCGCATGCACGTACTCGCACACCACCAACCCTTTGCTCTCTACCCCCCACTTGCCCTCTCCAAATTCCACAACGTCCTTCACTGACGGATACATCCTACTATAGACATCCGCCGTCTCGGCCCTATAATCGCCTTCATAGTGAATCAAGCGGGTCGGGTCATATTCTTTGATGAAATCGTACATCTTCTGGTGATTCCGGCCATAGAACGCCTCGTTACCCAGGGACCACATGATCACACATGCGTGGTTCTTGTCTCGCATAACAGCTTGACGGGCGCGGTCGACGTAGGCGTCTTCCCATTCCGGGTTGTCAGATGTCCAGCGCGCCGGGTTGCGGGTGCGGTAATCGAACTTCGTCAGGTCTGTCAAGGCGTCGATCAAGTGCAATTTCTCAAGCGGGATGGAGTTTTCATCAATCTCGCCAAACCCGTGGCATTCGAGATCACATTCGTCCATGACCCACAGACCAAGTTCATCAGCAAGATCGTAGAGCCGGATATCGTTGGGTTGATGGGAGGTTCGGATTGCATTGATGTTGTGCGATTTCATCAGGAGCAGATCTTGCTTCATGAATTCGAAGGGGACGGTCCGCCCGTGTTCAGGGTGGTGCTCATGTCTGTTCACGCCGCGGAACTTGACGGGCTTGCCGTTCACGAGGAAGACCCCGTTCTTGAGCTCTGAGCAGCGGAAGCCGACACGTTGCACAACTGCGCATTCGGGGGTGGAGATCACAAGTTGGTACAGGTAGGGAGTCTCGGCTGTCCATTTCTTGGGATTCTTGACTGGGATTGAGAAAGTGGAGTGAGGTGGGCTCCTCTGCGAGACGGTCGCTACAGTGCGGCCGGAGGCACCAAGGAGCTCGAGTTTGAGATTTGAGTTGGCGCTCAGCTCGACGCGGACAGAGAGGGTTGCGTCTTCATATTTGGAGTCGAGGAGGGTTTGGACCTGGAAGTCTTGGATGTGGACCTTGGGGAAGGCGAGCAGGTTGACGTCTCTGAAGATTCCGCTGAGCCACCATTGATCCTGGGGATTTTCGTAAGTGTGATTCATATCATTTGTCGTGGCACTCACCTGATCCTCAATGTAGCTCCCGTCACAGAACTGATAGACCTGTACAGCCAAGGTGTTCTCGGCGTCGAGGTTCACGCAGGACGTGATGTCGAACTCCGACGGGTTTCTCGAACCCTGAGAGTAGCCGACTTGCTTTCCATTGACCCAAACATGGTACGAAGAATCCACTCCCTCGAATCTGAGCCTCAACTGATGGTCTTGGAAAGACTTGGGCACCGTGAAGGTCCTGCTATAACTTCCCGTCTCGTTGTCATCATACGGGACGTGTGGTGGGTCGACCGGAAATGGGTAGATGACATTGGTATAGCTATACGCCTGATTAGTTTGTTTGAACGAAGCTGCAAACCTGGATTTCAAGAACTACTCACTGCGGTCCCTTCCCGTACCCTTGCATCTGCCACATCCCCGGCACTTCGATATCCGTCCATTTACCCACGTCGAAATTGGGATTCTGGAAGTCCTCCGGAGCGTCAAAGGGGCTATTCGCCAGGCTGAACTTCCAAGTCCCCGACAGCGAGAGCTGCTTCGATTTTTCGGGGTCACGTGTCAGGGCCTCCGCTGGGGTATCGTAGAGGGAGAACGAAGACCTCGGAGGGAGCACGTTCTTGTGGATGACGTTCAGGTTACTCCAGTCTGGCGTATCGGCGGGAAAGGTGTGAACGCTTGCTGCTATGCTGAAGCCGTCGCCGTCGTCGCCGTCGTCATAGTCGGGTGGTGTTGGTGTTGATGCTGGGGTTGATATTGAAGTTGATGTTGGGGTGGATGAGATGGGAGGTGATGTTGAAGTCGGTGCCGATGCTGGAATTGACATTGTTGTTGTCGTTGGAATTGCTGCTGATGTTGATGTTGATGTTAAGGCTGATGTTGTGATAGTTACCTCAACTGCACCAAGGGAATCAGAATCGACGAGCACGAATGCATCAGACGTAGCAGAAGGGTGTTGACCCCACGAGGGGCGCCGCTGATCTGGCGACATGATGATGATGATGATGATGACGATGATCGACAGAATAGCGGAGGGATGAAGTGGAGAGATCAAGTGGAGGGATGGGAAGTGGAGTTTGGAGAAAAGAGAAGAAGAGAATGTAGTTCGTCAATGAATCTACGGAGGTGCGAGGGATGAGTTATGTCAGCGCCTTCACCCTTGTCGGGACACGGCAGAATCGACGAATTTCGCTTTTACTTACAGTGCAAAGTCGCGACGCGTTCAGTTTGGTGCTCCCCTGGGTAGGCGGTGAGAGATTTACCCGTCGGGGTTACATACAATAGAGGAAGGTACGTTGTAAGATTAAGAATCTCTCCCCGAAGCTTAACCGTACTTAGCTAGACTCTTGGCAAAGACTATATTCCCCCGACCAAAACGAGACCAAAGTAAAATAAACAAGGACAAAACAAGCGAAAGATTCAAGGAAGCTTGTACGTAGTATATGTAAACAATGCTTGATTCAGATATAGGTAGTCGATGTTTCTCATCGGACGGTGCAATCTCAATCCAATCTCAATTCAAGGTTTTTATATTATCAGCGAGTAACGTCCGCACCCACGCATGCGTACCGACCTACCCAGGTACCATACCTCATATTACCAACAGCTATCCATACCGCAGCCCGCATGGACTGGCTCGTACATATACATAGTACTTTGCACTTTCCCTCTCCGCACTCCTATACCCCTACACCGCGGGCAATACATGAGTATACTGCAGTAGTACAGTAGTACATGCAATGCAATGCATCTCTATCCTACCCAACCAACTTTCAGTTCAACCGACCGAAGAGAACGCGACCGGCCTCCCCTCATTTCATTTCATCTCATCTCCTCGGCTGTCTCATCTCATCTGATCATCTAACGATCTCATCTCGCAATCTCATCTCACAATCTCATCTCACAATCTCATCTCATCCATTCAATTCCATTCAATTCAATTCAGTAAACCAACGAACACCAATTCGTTCCAACCCACGCCTGCCTGCCTGCCTGCCTGCCTGCAGCCAGATGCCAGCTACCGATCTGCTCCCGCCCCTGTAGCTAAGCGAGCGAGCAAGCGAGCCGCCCGAAACCAAACTCGGCAGATATGCCCGTACCTGAGGACCACGCGGAGAGTGTGGAGAGTATGGAGATGCTGGGGTCCGGGGAATTGGCCAGGCCCAGGCAGGCTCTCGATTTCCCTGCCGAATTCTGCTATGTAGGTATGTATGTATGTACTGGGGGAGAGAGAGAGAAAGAGAGGGACTGACTGGCCGGCCGGCCGGACGGACGGACGGATGTAGTAGTATGTCTTCGCGTGCGTGGTTGGGAAATGGAGAGGGGTATAAAGAGAGGAGAAGTAGAAGAGAAAGAGAAAGAGAAAGAGGGATCAGCGTCTGTGTGGGTTATGTTATTAGGTAAGTAGGGAGGTATGTATGTAACTAAACTTGACGATTTCCTTCCCTACTTGACCGTGTAACCGCCATATATATACATATATATAGATACATACACACAAATACGTATACACGCTCACCATGTCGACGGACACGGATGCAAAGACGGCTGCTGGTGCCGGTGCCGATGCCGGTGCCGAACACCACGAGACGGCGCCGGTGCCCTTTCACCCCAGCAACAGCAACAGCAACAGCAACACCGACCTCACCATCGACGAGAAGAACAATGCTACGGCCACACTCGCCCCAGCAGTCAACGCCAGCGCGTCGGCAGCTCTCGCCGCAGCCGTGGCGGCCAACAAGCCCAAGCTGCTATCCAAGAACATGCTGCACCTCTACTTCATCATGGGCATCGGCTATCTAGTCTCGACCATGAACGGATTCGGTACGTACGCTGCCCATTTCCATCTCGCCTATCTTCCCCTTCCAACCTTGCCAGCTAGCTGACCAAACCCCTCCCCCCAAGACTCCTCCCTCATGGGCGCCATCAACGCCATGGTACCCTACCAGAAGTCCTTCAACCTCTCAGGCTCAGGCTCCTCCACAGGTCTCGTCTTCATCATCTACAACCTAGGCCAGATCGCCGCCTTCCCCTTCTGCGGCCTGCTCGCCGACGGCTACGGGCGGCGGGTGTGCATCTCCGTCGGCTGCGCCGTGGTCCTCGTCGGGACCGCCGTCCAGGGCTCCGCGCACGCTATGGGCCAGTTCATCGCCGGCAGATTCGTGCTGGGCTTCGGGGCGGCGTTGGCTTCGGCGGCGGGCCCGGCTTACACGGTTGAGTTGGCACATCCGGCGTATCGTGGGACTATGGCTGGGTCGTAAGTCCCCCCCTGTCTCCATTTCATTTCCACTGAGTGAACGACACATATGACATATGTGTAGCTTCGGTTAACGCTCGCTTACTTACATGCATATGGTAGATACAACAACTTTTGGTGGCTGGGGAATATCATTGCCGGATGGACCACGTACGGTTCAAACAAGTACGTTACGCTTACACTTACTCACTTTACTCAAGCTCCCTGGCTGGTACCTTCCATCTCTGACTTGTACACCTGTACATACATACAGGAACCTGACTTCGTCGTGGGCGTGGCGCATCCCGACGCTGGTACAAGCGGGCATGCCAGCCATCGTGATGGTCCTGATCATGTTCTTCCCTGAATCGCCACGCTGGCTGATCGCCCAAGACCGGCGGGAGGAGGCCCTCGCCGTCTTTGCCAAGTACCACGGCGACGGCGATGAGAACTCCCCCGTCGTACAGCTGCAGTACCACGAGGTCATCGACCAGCTCCACGCCACGAGGGACGACAACCCGTGGTGGGATTTCCGCGAGCTGGTCAATACCCGCGGGGCACGGTATCGGTTGTACATGGTCATCGGCATGAGCTTCATCGGTCAGTGGTCCGGTAACAACGTCGTCTCGTATTTCATGGCAAGTTCTCTCTCTCAACCCTCTCATGATATCTCGCTCCTCCTCCTCCTCCTCCTACTCCTACTCCTCCTCCTCCTCCTCTCCCTCCCCGCTCACCCTCCCCCTCCTCCACCAAACCTACCACCCCTCACCTCCGACTAATCCGCATCCCGCTGCGGCAGCCGACAATGATCAAAAACGCCGGCATAACCGACCCCAACAAGCAACTCCTGATCAACGCCATCAACCCCATCTTTTCCCTGCTCGGTGCCGTCTACGGCGCCACGCTCCTCGACAAGCTCGGCCGCCGCTTCATGATGCTCGCCGGCCTCGTGGGCGCCCTCTTCTCGTACATCCTGCTCACGGCCTTCACGGCCGCGAGCGCGGAGCAGCTGTCCCTCTCCTACGGCGTTATCGTCTCCATCTTCCTCTTCGGCATCGTCTTCGCCTGGGGCTTCACGCCCCTGCAGACCCTGTACGCCGTCGAGTGCCTCGAGAACCGGACGCGCGCCAAGGGCAGCGGCCTGAACTTCCTCTTCCTGAATGTCGCCATGGTCGTCAACACGTACGGCATCAGCGTCGGCATCGAGAAGATCGGCTGGAAGCTGTACCTCGTCTATATCGGCTGGATCGGCGTCGAGATGGCCATCATCTATTTTTTCTTTGTGGAGACGGCGGGCAAGACGCTGGAGGAGATGGCGAGTATTTTCAATGCCAAGAATCCGCGGAAGGAGAGCACGAAGAAGACGAGGATTGTGGAGATTGATGATTGATTGATTGATTGATGCAGCGGACCGAATCATACATACTATCGGTAGTGGTTGGCGCTTGGCATAGGTAGACAACCGAGCGAGGACGACACATACCTTAAGGCTCAATCGGCTCGGCTGAATACTACAGAGCAGTATCAAATTATCGATTACTTGCCCTTCAAAATCTCCCCTTGTCTTCAGTACAGAATGAATTACCGGTAGGTTTCCTGCGTGTGAGCCGCTCGTTCGGAAATGGATAGGAGGGGAAAAAGGGGGGAGACACTTCGATTCTTGTGAAATGGTTTTTGCATTTGTGGTGGAGCAAGATGAAAGAAAGCTGCATGTATTAAAGGCCAGTCCCCTTTTGCCTTTTAATACCGTCAGGCCGATCCGTATCTTGAGCAAGATGGAAGCAAGTCAACTCCGTTTAGTCACTCCTCTCGTCCTTCAAGTATACTGCCAAGCACCAAACCCAGCATTCTGGGGCCAAGCGGTCGGCTTCAGACCCCCCAACTCCACACAGTTCGTAAGATTGAACTCCGGGGTCTTGGCGTAGATCTGGTACGTCGCCGTGCCATTCATGTAATAAGGAACGTCAGGACAGGCGAGGATACCTGCTGGTAAGAGTCAGCGTGGCTATTGACCTATACGGTGGGAAGTGAAAGAGGTACAAACCATCGTCCTCCGACCCATCAGGATCCTGCCAGGTGTACACCGCGACGTCTTCAATGCAATCCCCACTGAGAATCACGTTGACGAAGCCACCTCGGTAGGCACCTTCTGGGACGTAGGCTGAGTGGGCTTGGGTGTAGCCGAAGACACCATCGGCGCGGACGTAAGTCTGTTGGCCACCTGGGACGTTGACCTGCGTTCATTGCGAGTTAACATGTCTGCGGTTAGACAGGAAAGAGGCAGGAGACGATGACAGGTAGAGGATACGCACCCACATTCCGCCCATCCCTGCGAAAACGGTGTCTGTCTTGTCTGGGCAGTAGGGCTCAACGACGGAAGGGCAGCTGGGTTGAGAGGGTCAGCGATGATGAGATCGTGAGGCTACGAGGGCTCATGGGAGGGATGCAACGGGGGGATGCAGAGAGAAAGAGGATCTGTTGGGCCCAAAACGTACTACGTTGAAGGGCCGGAGAGACCAAGGTAGAAAGCCTGGGCTGAAGCGTGGACCTTCAATCCATCGAGTGGTGAGTCGGGGTGGACGACGGTGAGGGTGAACTGAGCTACTGCGCTGGTGGCGAGGATGGAGAGTCCGAAGACGAGGTTTGAAAGGGAGACCATGTTGGTGTCGAGTCAAGCCAAGTCGTAGAGGCTCGCGACGATGGATAGATACAGGTGCGTATCGTGGTGTGAGCTTGGATTTGGTGTTGGTGTTGATGGGAAAAGAACAGAAAGAAAACGAAAAAGAGAAGAGAAGAGAGGAAGAAGAAGAAGAAGAAGAAGAAGATGAAGAGAAAGCTCGAGCGGGGAAATGGCTCTTTCGATGATGATATAAGCAGCGAGTCTGGTACTTGCACTAGCCCATCTGTATCAAGCAGGTACCCTCCCGCGCCTTCCCTAAACAAACAATTTGAGGTCGCACTTCATCTCTCTCCACGGGCGGGGGAAATGATGGATGTAACGGCCGATCGAGCAAACTGGGCCACGACAATTCCGTACTCGAGCGGGCTGGTCTTACAGCGCCGTCTGACCAAGACATCTGATATACCTGTCGGTGTTGTGAGTATGGAGATCAAGCCGGGGGTGTCTGGCCGATGTGTGTTGAGGCGAAGCCGGATGTAGGACAGCGACGGGATTGGGTAACGGTGACGGTGACCTTGCAGCCCCTGGGATTGATAGGCGAGATGAGGTGAGGTGATGTAGGGAGGGAAGAAAGGGAAGAAAGGGAAGAAAGGGAAGCAAGGGAAGAAAGGGAACTTGACATGTTGGACGATGGAGGATATATACTTTGGTCTAAAGGAAGCTTGAACAGATATACACGTATCAAGATAAATACATTTATACGTACAGACCCAGATGCGAATCCTGACGAGGTAGGTATATACCATCCCTAGGTATCTCCTGTCCTGTGCTGTCCGGACAGGAAGGCTCTTCCTTCCTGCTTCGCTTCGCCGCACGTGACATGGTCATCAGCTTGGCACGACACCAAGTAATCTCTCAGCCTTCCGACGATTTGGAGGACCCAGTCGGCAGTCGCTATTATCTTCCCAGGCTTATTTTCTCCATATCAATCAAAACAGCTCAGCACCTTGTCTGCAACATATCATGTGATATACACGATCAATCCAACCCGGGATTCTGGGCACTACCTACCCCTACTACCCCTAGTACCCCTACCCCTACCCCTACCCCTACCCCTACCCCGTCCAGACACCGAAGCATCGCCCCAGCCGCCAAGAGAAGGCTTCCTTCCTCCACCCCAGTACCTCCTCTAGCCGCGCCACCGCCCCGATTGCGCGTCCGTCGACGAACATTAAGCCTTCAAAGTAAGTTCGACCTACAAATCCACTTATCTGTTGATCATACTTATATATCCTCCCACCATCCTCTCTGACGACTAATCTTTCAATTTTCTAGGTACTCTTCTTTCAACCCCAATACATTTACCCCACCCGCAACTTACAGAAGCGAACAAAACCAAACAAAACCAGATCAGAATCAAATTCAGATCAATCCCAGAACCCAACCAACAAACAACACTCCAAAATGTGCTCCTCCACCTCCGCCCCCACTCTTGTAAACCGCAACGGGTACGCCACCCCTCCCCTCCCCCTCCTCGTCTTCCCCTCCTCTTCTTCCCCTCCCCTCTCCCCCAACCCTTTGAAATCTCACTAAACCAACAAACACTACAGCCCCGGCTCCGCAGCCTCCTCTACTATCGAGAGCATCGTCAAGGGCGGCCCCGCCACAGGCAAGACGAAGTGCATTGAGTGTGACGGGTACGAGTGCTGCTGCATTCCGATTCCCTGTACGGTGATGTGATAGATACTAGGAGGAGAGAGAGGGGAGATGAAGAGGGGGGATGACGGGCTGGTAGTGTAGGGGAGAGAGGGGGAGGGGAGGACGAAGAGAGATGAAGCGATTTGATACCAGCGCGAGGAAACACCAGGGAGGGATTGCATGCGAGCGGTGACTTTGAACATACATCGAGATGGTCAATGGATTTTTGTTGATATTTCCTCGGGGCTCGAACCTGTGCGCCCATGCCTGAGATGCCCGGGCAGCGAAATACACGCCGACGCCAACGCCGCTCCATATCCCAAAAATTCACGTGACCACACCCCCAAACTGCCTTTCCAGCTCCTCCCAGACCTCCCTCCCTCGATCCGCCACTGGCTCTTCCATCTGCACATCCACAGCAAGATTCTCCACGCCCTTAGCAGCCAAGCCCTCCAACACCCCCTCGACCCTCTCTTTCATCTCCCTAATGCCCCTCGTCTCCGCTCGACTCCTCTCTAACTGTTCCCTCATCATCAAGATCAGACTCTCCCGCGCCTGGTGCGGCCGGTACTCGTTAAGCAGGTGGTGGAAGTTCACAAACAGCGTCTTGAGGTCGTCCACCTTCTCCACGTAGTGCTCCGGGTTGATGGCCATGATGCCCACCAGCTCCAGGAAGTTCAGCAAGAGGGACTTGGCAAGGCGCTTGAGCGTGAACGCCCGATCGTGGTGCGGCTTCGTGATCGAGGAGGAGGACGGGGAGGGTGAGGCCGGCGGCGTGTAGAGCTGGTCAATGGAGAGCTCTTGCAGGGTCGGGAGGGGGGCGTCAAGCTTTTGCGCGGGTCAGCATACTGTTCCAATTCCATAAGGTATAGCGGGAGAAGTGGGGGAGAGAGCGCTACCCAGAACTGATCTCCGAAACATCTGTAATGGCCATCTGCAGGTGGTTCTGGCGGCTGCAGGTTGCGCAACTCGGCGGGCAGATCCAGGAGTCGCAGCGGGAGTTTGGGGGACGCGTCGCTGGCTTTTGCCTGGGCAGAGGACAGCGCCGCGGCGCGAAGGGAGGCGATCTGCTCGATATTTGAGGGCGTGAAGGAGGTCCAGAAAGGCGGCGGCGATGGGAAGGCTGTTGCGAGGGAGGAGGGCTGTTGAGGCTCGTCCATTGTGCTGAGTGATGAAGAAGATGTGGAGAGCCAAAGGAATTCTGATGGCGGGAGCTTTCAGATAGTAAGGTGACTAGCCCCGCTACTCTTTCGCAGAGTGGTGCTATTACGTCTGTGACTGTCGCCGTCGTTGAGTTATTGTTACTGTTATTGTTATTGTCCATCCCGAAGTTCACACGAAAGCTGACTAAGCGAGGCTACCTCAAGATTCGAAACATTCCCGATCAGGTGCCAGATATACCGAGCCAACTCTTCACTTTGCCTTTTCTCCCACTCACTGAGTATATCCTCGAAATTTGTCGTCCCTCTCACTACTTCTAATAAAAACTCTTATTTGAGGGGCGTGCGGCTCTGATCAAAGTACAATTAGCGTGAATAATGGCTCGCAAAGCGCCGGCCCCTAGTCGTGTCCAGGGACTCGCCGCGCAGACGGGCTGCGTTGGATCTATGGCCAGGTTTTGGGAGGTTCGTCTCCTCCAACGTTACAATTATTTTGGATAATCTCTGACTTGGCGAAAAATATAGAAAACATACGCGCCAGATTACCTAGGCCTTGCGCTGCTATTCACATCTTATCTGCTGGTGTGCTATACCGACCTACCTACCCATCTACCTACCTTTCCAACTTCGGGTGGCGGAGAGAGCAATGTTAACAGACATCAATAGCTGGTCTTCCTCGTTCAACCCTTCCACCGCATGTTCTTCATCAACAACATCAACATCCAATACCCGCATGCCTTGGTCGAGAGGGTGCCGGTGAAATGGGGCATCGTGTATGGAGCTATTGTGCCGCTGTTCGTACTGGTGGTTTGGCTGAGTGCTTCGAGGGCTGGGGTACATAAGTTCCATGTTACTATCCTAGGACTGCTCATCAGGTAAGTCCTTCTGTCCAGCACTCACGTATATCTACTAAGTAACCCAGCATCTTCCTCACCCTCTTCATCACCGACTCCATCAAGAATGCCGTCGGACGTCCTCGGCCAGATCTCATAGCTCGCTGCAAGCCAGCACCCGGAACACCCGACAATGTGCTCGTCACAGTCGATGTATGCACAGAGACAGATTCGCACACGCTGCATGATGGATGGAGGAGTTTTCCCTCTGGACACTCATCTTTTGCATTTAGTGGACTGGGGTTTTTGGCTTTATTCTTCGCTGGACAGATGCATGTGTTTAGACCCAGGACCGATCTTTCCAAGGCTCTGCTTGCGATTGCGCCGCTGCTGGGAGCTGCACTTATTGCTATAAGTCGGTGTGAGGATTATCGGTATGTTCTGCTCCCTCGGACTTCGATCTGGGGATAGCGCTAACGAGACCAGTCACGATGTCTACGATGTCACCTGCGGTTCAGTCCTAGGCATGACCATTGCATACTTCTCATATAGACGATACTACCCTCGGCTGCACTCGGCTAAGTGCGATGAGCCGTTTCAATCGCGCGAATCGAGCTTCAATGAGGGATTCGCCAAGATCAAAACCGACGAAGAGGCTGCGGGGCCAGCCAAGGACTTAGAATTGAGCGATGATGAGATTAATTAGTTGACTAGCTAAGAATTTGAAAATTCTCTGTAGTGTGTATTCGAGATGAGAGTTTCGGCTGACCTGTCAAGTGAGTCGGGTATTTCTTTGTTTGTTGACATTATTCTGCTTTGGGATAGTTCCCTGTACCCTTTGTATTCTTCGATAACTTGCAATTCGAGTTCGTCGTTATCTTTGTCTGCGTCTTCGGATTTTCTGGCTTTGTTGGTGGTCTCAACTTCGGGCTCTCGTATTTTTGTCAATATATACCAGTCGGGACTGTCATAGGAGTCATTAAGGTGAAGGCAAGCATAACCTTCTTACGCTACTCGCAGAAAGGGAACATGGATGAAGCTGGCCGGTCGCGTGTGTCCGAACGAACAGTCAGCCGCGATGGACTTGAAATCTCGGAACGACTAATCGACGGGGTACCAATGGACGAGAACAACGCCGATCACCAGAAGGTTCTGCAAGACTACCTCGAAATCATCCAACGCATACGGGTGCGTGATACCACAGAAGGTTATGATTTCAACCGGGTGAGGGATCGACGCCGTGCCGGAGACCCTATTCACTACGTCTACATCGATGACTTCTGGTTTGAAGACTTGCCGGCTGACATGAAGGCTGCGTGGAGGAAAGCAGAAGCAGATCTCAACGAAGAACAAGCTACTGCTTGGCAATGGGCACACCTCACTGGCGCCGAGCGAGCAGCAGCCAGAGACGCCGAGATCCTGGAGCGAAGGCTGCGCAAAGCAGCGGAGCAAGCTCAGTCGAACCGCTACCAAGACGGCCATGTGCCAGGGAAACGGTATCAAGAACATGCTATCGACAGAGAAGTACGAGACCCTGTCCTTGATCTGCCAATCCTGGAGCAGATACGGGTCAGACAGAGAATGAGCGGTACGGCCGCCGACCACCAGCTTCTTGGGGAGCAGCTGCAAGCGAGAGAAAACGCACGGGCAGCCCGCCACGTACTAATGGATAATGCAGCGCACACTGCTGCCCGTCGCGCAATGGAGTGGGAGCGCATAAACGAGGAGATCAGACGGCGCCCTGCCATCGTGGAGGAAGTAGCCGCCGATCCACTCCTCTTGACCTGGAATTGGACCGCTGCCTTCATCAGAAGAACGTGGGCCTCCACGCCGTTGTCCTTCCAGGTCATCTTTACGGTGATCTTCCTCGTCTTCACCTGGTCTACGCTAGCATACAGCTACCGCTTCGTCTTCGGGCTCGCCTTCTATATCGGCAGCTATACCAGCACGTCGCTGGGCAACGACCTCGGGGCGCTCATGGCGTGCGAGCGGGTTACGAAGTATGACCGGCCACGGCTCGGGGACTTGGCTGAGAGCGCCCAGCGCTGGTTCCTATTGCAGAAGTGTCTTGGGACGAAAGCTGGGTTTAGGAGGCAGGGGACCCTTTCGGAGAGTGGGTGGCTGGTGGTGGATTTTCTGGCTGATCCGATAGGAAATAGCCCTCTTTTGGTAAGTTGCCCGGTGTGGTTTGGTGCGGGAGTACATCGATGCCGACGATTGTAGTCTTTGATCATATATGCGATCTGCTTTTTTTGGGTCTCACCGTGGGTCTCGAACAAGGTATGTTGCTGCTCCCCTCGCTTCGAATCCGTTGTTGATCCAGCCCAGGTTCTCCGTCTTCACCGGTACATGACCCATGCAGAAGCTCCATTTTGGGCCAAGGTGCTCTGGATCGTCGTCGTAAGTTCTATTGCTGGACTTGTTGCCTGCAACGATGTCGGTGGGGCCTTGAGCTCGCTCTTGCTCTCCTTAACCGTGGGCTTGACAGCAGCAGTCTTCATCAACGTACTTCTTGCAAGGCTCGAGTCGGTCTGGGAGGCCGCGTGGAGCAGCCTTCCCCTGCGCCCGATCCTCGCGCTATACCAGCTCTCCCTTAGGTCGGGTGCGCTTCTTTTGGATAGCCGGCAAAATGGAGTTCAAAATGGCCCCATTTGACAGGCTGCCACTGCTGTCACTACCACTGCTGGGAGATCATCAAGAATAACGATGAGAAGGCTGTGAGCGAAGAAGACTACCGGTATCCCAGCTCAGGCTATTCGGTACCGTTCTCCCAGCTAGTTAGGCTGGCTAGTCACCATAAGCGAAGCAGTATCTATTTATCTATCTATCTAGCGAACTAGTACAAATTTCATTTATTTATATATATATATTTTCGCACATTACCTGGTTCAGGCTTCGATGATAGTTTTTTGACTTCTCGATATAAAAGTTAAATCACAAAGCAGGATCTGAATGCCATTACATTTATATCAATTTCAAGATCCAGATCCGGCCCTGTTGAAAATCTGTCCCTCTCTCCCCCCCTCTCTCTTTGTACCCTGAAATCCACATTCAAAGTTCCCCCCCTAAAAAGCTTTCTCTTTGTGAACCCCCCTCTCAACCCAACCCGGCCCATCTCCCGCTCCGCTTCCGTCGTCCTCCATCCCCATCCAGCCTCTCTTTGTCCCCCTTTCCCCCATGCCATCCCATTCCATACAACCACTTTCCTTCTCTCAAGATACCAACCAAAACACGCACGCGAATTTTGCGAAAGAATCAGAACGAACCCCGAGACGAGAAAATCGAATATCCAAGGCTGTGTCGATCTGTCGATCTGTCTGATTGACTGACTACCTATCTGTGCTTGACATCTTTGAGGAAGAGCGGGCGAATCGAAGGTTCACTGATCACGGCAGGGTATGGCATGTATATGTCTGTCTATCTGATGATCAAATATCCTTCCTTCCTTCCCTCCTTCCTTCCTTCCTTCCTCCCTCCTTCAAAAGTCCAAGAGCGACCACGGCATCGGCGGTGCGGGAGTACGTCGTTGCCAGCCCATCCACGCTCGGCTTTTCGGTGATCTGCTGCTGGGGTGGAGTGATTCTACAACCCGGGAAAACAGTTGGGCGAGCACGAGCACGAGCACGACGACGAGGAGGAGAAAGCCGCGAGGGTGTTGAAGGCGCACAGCGAGAACGGAGCGGAGGGATTCTGCAGGGAGGAAGAGGAGGAGGAGATAAGCGAGAGGGGAAACAGGGGCAGTTTACAAACACCGTCCAACCATCGTCAGCAGCAGCTCAGAACGGACCTGGGCTTGGTGTCTAGTGGCCTCGGAGCTTGTCCCTTCTGCCGTGAGAAACTTCCCGGCAGTTGGAAGTCTGTGTTGCGGATCGGTTCGCAAGCGTGCGTGTGTGTGTGTATGTGTTTTGTGTGCAGGCTCGCTAGAGATTGGAGATCTGCTTGCTTACCGATATATATACACACACACACATATATATATATATAGCCCGTGCCAGCTAGAATCTCATCCGAGATGTCGAATTTATCAATGTTCCTCGTCGATATATTGGGGGACATGATCTTCCTCCCGCTGACGAAGCGCCTGTTTTGGGTCGTGCCTGGCGTACCTACCGTTCTGGGATATCTACTGTTCAATGTCATTTCTACAATTCTCGGTATGAGCGCGGTGATGGTCCTGGGCTACTTTCTCTTTCCCGCCGTCGACGATGGGGTCGACCTGATGCGGGATGTATTTTGGCTGAGGGGCTCAGAGACATGGGAGAGGTTCAAGAGGTCGGCGCACATCGTTGCACGACACCTGTTGTTGTCCAGGTGTGTGCATATGGAGACGGGGTGTGACTGCTTCAGACACCTTATGCCGTTGGCTGAGCTCGAACGGCTCATCGACGAAGCGCCGGCACGAGAACCCGAGAGGGAACTCGAGGCCGCGTTGACAACGATCAACGACACGCGGACCGCCAACACGGTCCTGACCGCGGAGCGGGACGCCTGGGAACGGAGGGCCAGGGATGCGGAGGACCAGCGCCGGGTGTGTATCTTGGAGCACCAGAACTACGGGCGTTACCAGGAGGCCAACGCGCACTACCGACAGCGCAATTCGGGGCTGATTCGGGAGATGGCCGACCTCCGGCGGCGGTACAACCGGGAGCGGAACGAGAGGGGCCTGGGGCCAATGTTTGACGAGCAGCCTGAGAACCTGGCCGAGGTGAACGCGGATCTCCTGCGGCAGATCAGCGGTCTCCACGATCAACTGTCGGGCGCCGGCTTGGGAAGGGAACCAATGTCGGCCGCGGAACGCACCAATGCGAGGCTTCATACCGATGAGCTTGAGCATAGGATCACACGATATGTGCAGCAGATCGAGGAGTTGGAGATGCGCGTCGCCGAGGTCGAGAGGCAGAGATCTCTGACTGATGACGAGGAGAAAGCGTCTTTGCGGCAGAGGCTTACCGATGTCAGGAACGAGTTGCGGGTTGTAAAGAGCGACATGGTGGAAGAGGAGCTGCGGCGGCGAAAAGCAGAAGGAGAACTGGCGAGGCTACGAGATAATGTGGAAGCTGGAGGCGGCGACATGGACTCAGATCCCCCGCGGCGATGCGACAGATGTAACACGTTCCGCAAAGACAGGAACGAGCAGCGAGAGATAGTGACGGAATTGCGAGCACAGCTTGCTGCCGCTGTACAAAAGACGATCGACGACACGGCAATCCTCAGGACAGCAGTAGAGCGTCTGAGACGTGCTTCTAGAGATGTCGACGGATTGCCAGGCAGTGAAGAGTCAGGTTTAGGTGACAAAGGAAGTCCCAGTACCGGGAGAGAAGGGATCCAGCTGCGAAGGGGACGGCGTAAGAATGCGCCCGAGCCAACAGTGACCAAGGACAAGGATTCCATGGCTCCGGGACCACCACGCACTTCCAGGTCTCCATCGGTAGCATCGCCAACGGAGAGCGAGAAGTCCTCTGGCACCAGCCCTGTGATATCAGAGAACCCGATTTTCTGGCGGATAGCAGATAGAAAATGTATAGAGATGTTCAGGCGGATCCAGGGCTATCAAAAGGGCCTAATCAAGCACGGCATCGACCTAAGCAAGTCCCAACAGGGCGGCAAGAATTTGGAACTGACGGTAGAGACAATTGACAGCCTCCGGCCGAGTGAGGCCGAGGCAGCGTTGACTGAATTCCCTATCCTCAAAAAGCAAAGAGCCACTTTGAGGGCTCAGCTACAGGCCCTGGAAGCCGTGTGGGCGGCTGGCCAACGATGGCCAAAGAGAGCAAGGTTGGGCCATGGCAGAATTCGCAATATAACCCATAGGTCCGAGTACTGAAGAAGCAGGACGAAGAAAGGGGAAGGAGAAGGAGAAGGAATAAGACCCGGTTTGCCAGAGGACCAACGGAGGGAGCAACCAAAGACTGATAGATAGGTGCTGTCCTTGTCCCTAGAGGAATAAGAGACAAGGCCAGCTAGACAAATTCCACGAGCTTTGGAGCTGGATCCGCAAAAAATCTTCAGGAGGAACACCTGCCAATGGTGGTTGAGGAAGAGACAAGAAAAAGCAGTGGTCAAAGATATTTTTACCGTATATAGAAACTGACTCGGGCACCTTGTGTATGGGAGGGATAAGAAGAGTAGGAAAGGGAGCTTAGCCTCCAGGAATTTGTAGGTCCACTGGACCATTTAGAGGAGCAAGTTTCATTTGTCTGGAGTTAGGAGTTCAGGACCGTGCGATACAATAGAAATTGCTTTCAAATGGATCATCACCCTTGTGATTGACCTTTGCGGGACAGATTCAAGCAAACAAAAGTTCCGCAATAGAAAAATAGAATAGTATGGTCGGCAAACAAGGCCCTGGGTGCCAGAAGGGTATTCTCTTGTTGTTACATGGCATCACGAGGTTCGAGAAGCAGAAATCTAGCTGACCACGCGATCTCCGCTATCAGTTCCGCTCTCGTCCTTGGCCAAGTCGTGCTCCCTCAATAATGTCGTGATCTCGTCCGCACCCCACAAGTGGTGGTAGATTCTTCCATCCTTCGTCTTTCCCACCGTAGCAAACTCGACTGTAGGACGTTAGCTTAGCGACATCAATTTCCACGAACGACGTACTCTTCTCGCTGCTCAGCTTGGTCGAGTCCATAGTCTTGCTTAGAACCTTGACCGCCATTGCGCAAGCCTCTTTCAAAGTACAATCCTCCTTGTAGTCCTGCTTCAGCAAACTCTGCGCACTGGCATTGTTCGCCCCTACGCTAGTAGCCTTCCATCCGCCATAGTTACCACTAGGGTTGCTCTGGTACAACTGGAACTGTCTTTGGGGGTCGTAGCCGGCATAGATGAAGGAGACGCCGAAAGGTCGCAGACCACCGTGCTGGGTGTAGCCCTGCTTGAGATCACAAAGTCGACGAACGAGCTGCTCGCAGGGAATGTCTTCATTGTAGGTGAGAAGGTACTTTTGGGCGGCTTGGCGGGCGTAGTTGATGAGGATGTTGGCATCGGCGGTCATTCCTGCCACGGCGCAAATCATGTTGCTGGAGCCATCGTGTTAGCTGCTACCGGTGTTTCTAATAATAGGAAGCGTACTCGTTCAAGATGTAGAGCTTCTCTGCTGAAGTGTCCTGCTCCAGGAGCTTGCTGGTGACCTTTCGCTCCGCTGCCAACACGATTCCATCCTTTGCTAATATGCCCAATGCGGTACCTGCGTGGGAGATGGCCTCAAGAGCGTATTCAACTTGGTAGAGACGTCCTTCTGGGGAGAATATAGTCGTCTGAATAGGGCATTAGCTTGTATGCATGGAGGTCTGGAGCTGGAGCTCAAGCTCACCCTGGAATCGTATCTTCTCGACATGATGGCGTATCGAAGGTAGACGTCAGAAAACTCTGGATGGTTTGGGTATGCGGAAGATATTCGAGGACAATTAAATAATCAATCCTGGTCGCTGGTGTTGTGAAGTGTTTGGTGATGCCTTACGGGCCCTGCAAGATGTTGCTCGAGCTCTGAGATCCTGCTCCAGGCATGAGCGCCGCGTCGAATCGCGCTACGCTCATCCTAGATCACGTGTAAGACCCGCATTTACATTAAAGCTTGTCTCTTAAACCAGATTCACGTCTACAGCTTCAAGTATGCAAAGATGCGACAGAATGCTGAAGTCAACACATAAGTCTACCGCGCCGCCGCTGGCAGAAGGGTGGACTGAGCACAAAGCTCCCACGGGACATCTATACTACTACAATGCTGCAACGAAGCAGTCAACCTACACCCGCCCTGTAGCTCCAGACCCAGTTGCGCCGACGCCTCTACCGCCAACGAATCCCTCAGAGAGCTATCTGCAATACCAGAGTGTTGGAGGTCAACCAAGTGCTGGGCCGACCTTCGACAATGGACCGCAGGGACATTTTCGGGGTGGGAGAGGCGGGTTTCAAGGGCAGAGAGGAGGCAGAGGAGGGAACGATCGTCCTCGACCACAACCCACAGACAAGCCCAAGGCTCGATATTCGATTCCAGGTCACGAACCATGGGTGCTGGTTTACACCAAGCTGGGTAGACGATTTGTCTACAATACGGCAAAGGACCAAAGTTTCTGGCGGATACCAGACAAGTTGAAGGATGGAATATTGGCCCTAGACCAGCAGAGAATCAAAGAAAAAGCCGAGGCATGGGCAAAGTCGAGAGAGGCGGTAGACACGGGCGAGGCGCCGGGTGCTCCTGCACGGCCAGAAGCACCTAAGGAGTCCACCGAAATTGTGGTTGAAGAGGAAGGGGATAGCTCCGAGTACGAAGAGGTCGAAGTTACGGATGATGAGAACGATGATGAGGAGAATCCTCCGAAGCGCCAACGGACCGAGGAGCCAGGCCCAGAAGAGCCCGTCGAGTTTAACGAGGACGACATTGCGTTTCAGCTTGCAGCCATGGGCCAGGACTATGGTTTGGATCCGGGCGAATACGGCGACGAGAATATGGAAGATTGGGATGAGGGTGTCGAAGGTGTAGAAGTAACACAAGAGGATGCCTCTGCTTTGTTTAAGGACTTGCTGAACGACTTCGGCATAAATCCGTACAGTCCGTGGGAGAAGCTTGTAGAGGAGGGCAAGTTGGTAGACGATATAAGGTATACGGCTCTGACGAGTATGAAGGCTCGGAAGGAAGCGTGGGAAGAGTGGAGCCGAGAGAAAATCAAGATCCTGAGAGAACTACGAGCCAAGGAAGAAAAAAAGGACCCTCGAATACCGTACCTCGCCTTTCTCCAGAAGCACGCGACACCGAAACTTTACTGGCCCGAGTTCAAACGGAAATTCAAAAAGGAACCCGAGATGCGGGATACTTCTATGCCGGACAAGGACCGCGAAAAGCTTTACCGGGAGCACATTAACCGCCTGAAGCTCCCCCAGTCGACGTTAAAATCGGACCTGTCGGCTCTCATGAAGGCGCAGCCACCTTCTATGCTCAACAACTCGACACCGCCATCTCACTTACCAGCCGCGATGCTAGCAGATATCCGATTTATCTCACTCGATGCATCAGTCCGGGATCCACTTGTCGAGGGGTACATCAGTACTCTTCCTCCAGCTCCAGACTCGGACGATGGCGAAGAGACGGAAGAGATGCTCAAGGACAAGAAAGACCGTGAACGGCGGCAGAAAGCACTCGAGGACCGCGAAAAACGCGTAGCCGAAGAGAAGCGTCGACAGCAAAGGAATCTCGAGCTCGGCAAGGGGCGACTGAGGGAGGAAGAAGAAGAGATTGCGAGGGCGATGAATGTTACGAAGAAGGGGCTAAAAGACCATTTAATGGATGTCGACGTCAGCGAGGCGCCTCTTTCACAGAAATAGATAATGAATTAATTGATACCCAGGTCTGTTGGCACACCTCGTCGGAATTCTCTAGCACAATGCAATGATTGGTATTGATAGAACTTTCTCGGCCGATGATCGTGTGTATAACTTTCTTCCTGGTTATATGAAAGCGGCCTGCTACTAGTAGTATTAATATACCGGTACCTGATCTGTACAAGCTGAAGCGAGCGAGCCTAATGCATATACGAGACATCATGTCTAGGCATATTCAGTTGAGATCATGTACGTCTCCGGAATCAACCAACTTTTCTAATTGACTCTGTAAGATATCTGCTGTGCGGAGCAGCATCAGTATGGTTACGCCTCAAGCTCCGCTGAAGCTGGCTGAGTGGAGCAGCTACGTAAGCTGTATGCTTGAGGCTCTACCTACGTGTTGGCTCACATGACCTCGCTTAAATATCGCACTAGCGCACTAAAGTAAATATATTTGTATCGTCAGTCTCTTTGAAAGAATTACATAAGCTTTATTTAATTTAAGGAATTCCCTCCTCTTTCGGTGAATTATTTGCATCGTAATCAAGAGATATATACGCTTTTACAAGCTATTCAATTAGTTTCGAACAAGCTTCAACTTTATTAAAAGCGGATTCCGTAGACTTTTTCACTTTTAGTGTATAAGATATTATTAAGGTCGGCTAGGTAGTCCTTAAGGAACTACGCAAAACCATAATGGAGGACTAAGCGTGAAGTATCGAAGGCGATAAATTCAAGCTTCAGACCGTCTATGAAAAGCTTTAAGAGGTAAACGCCGACCGGGACGTGCAGTACAACGCGATCTTTACAAACTACTTAAGGCGACACCCTGATAGCGAAGATAGCGATCCAAGGAGACCAAGGGAGCCACCACGAGCCGTATAAGAGTATATCAAAGAGAGCTATCTCATCTCCAAGGCGGAATACGACGCCGCCTTAGCCGAATAGGTTACTAGTGTTAAATACTACCAGATCAAGAACTGGATCCGACAGAGGGTGAAAAGCTCCGTTCTTCAAGAGGCTATCCTAACAGCCACCGAGAAAGACAATACCTCTCTGCAATTCCTAGTCGAAACTCTTCAATCTACCCACAAGCCATCCGATACGAGCTTCAAAATGACGATTTCGAGAAACTATAACAGATCTCTCCAGACCGCCAAACAAAGAAGCATCTCGCCAGCGGTATGGATCAAGGAACATCGGAAGGTTTAGAAGGTGGCCAGCATGCACAAACTGCATCCCGCAAAGCCCGTCTTAACATCACCCTTGCAGTATCCTCAATCACAGCGGTAAACATCAGGAACAAGATCTGTAACGCACTCATTAAAGCTTCCTGTAGGTTTGGCTGTTGCATCAGCAGCAACCAGTACTGGGAGACCTTCACAGACGTTGTCAAGGCAGAGCAAACCGATACATTCTCGCACTTCTTCTTCTCGTCACTTACCTGGTCATGGAAAACAGAGACACTACATATTGGTCAACTAGTTGCCACATTCAAGCCATCAATCATCTGAACCAGCGAGCCGCATCGAGGATACGATACAGTATAATGATTGAGGAAGTGGAAAAGATCAGACACGTGCCAGCCAATCAATCGGCGGACGGTGATCATGCACATGCAGCCCTTGCATCGGGATGAGATGAGATATCAATGTTCATCCGTGATAGAGGTAGCTCCGTGAACATTGCTAGCTGTAATCGAATCCGGGTTACGCGCATGATAATCTCAAGGCGTCTTTCCCTTCTCCTTCTCCTTCTCCTTCTCCTTCTCCTTACTCAGAACAAAACGGAATTTAAATCTCGATTTGGATGGTCATCAGGTGATATTCATACTCCTCGCGTAATCTTGAGTAACAAACAGAACATAAGCGATATACAAGCCAACCCCCAACCCAGAGACTCAAGAACTATGCGTGATATAGTATACAAAATACTCGTGCCTAGACGAACGGATTCAAAAACTTGATACGAGCACCCCTGGGCCCCAAACATCCAAACATCAACGCCCGACGGGCCGTCCCGCAGCTCCACTCTCGCGCTCAACCCTCTCCCAGAACCTCCTCAGTCCCAAAACCAGAGCCCGCGTCGGCTCCTCCCCCTTCCGCGGCACTACACCCGCCCCCCACCTGGGCACGTCCCTCCTCTCCTCCCTCCCCTCCCGCGCAAACCGTCTCGCCATCCTCCGCACATCGATCCTAGCCTCCTCCGCCGCTCCTTCTCCCCCGCCGAGGAGCTCCGCCCCGCGCCGCCGCCACTCCGCCACCCATCCCCTCAGCGTGTCCTTGACGCGCTCCCTCTCGACCCGGCGCTTGACGACCACCAGGCTGCCGCTGACGCCCCCCCGGACGCACTCCCACGGGAGCACGCCCCAGCAGACGAGCTCCTCGGCGCTCGGCCGGCGCTGCAGCCGGCGGTTCAGCTGGATGGCGACGAGGCTGCGGCCCAGGCGGCGCGCGGCGAGGGTCGTGCGCGTGAGGAAGATGCGGTGCTGCATCAGTTCGGTGAGCGCGGGCCGGACGGCCAGCGAGTGCTGCAGGGTGAGGGCGGCCCGGTGCCGGCGCAGGGTATGTAGCAGCGGGTCGAGGGAGAGGGCGCGCAGAGCGTGCGAGGTGCGCGTCAGGGCGAGGAGGTCCGGGATGTCGAGGGAGCTGAGCATGTGGAGGAGGAGCTCGGACGGGAGGCTGGTGAGGGTGATGGGCGGTGGCGGCGGGATCGGGGTCGGGGTCGCCATGTTTTGCTTGCCTCTCTTTTGCCCTGCTGTTTTCTTGCTCTTGTATCTGGTGGAACGTGGTACTTCGGATGAGAGACGAGACGCAAGAGACGAGAGACGAGAGACGAGAGACGGGATGGATAGGTCCAATGTCAAGGATGAGCCGTTGCGATTTGGTGCAGGAAGAGTATGGTAGGTCTGGTGTTGTAGGTAAGAGGGAATGTTGCGAGGTCGTAGGCAAGTTGGTTGTTGTTGTCAACGTCGTTGCTCTAGCGGGGTAAACGGGGGAGGTCACCAGTCACAACCACCACCACCACCACCGGGTGCAGCCGCTATCTGAGACATCTCAGGGGCAAACACAGACATCAATGAAACTCGGTATTGCCGCAAACAACACCAACAACATCGCATCTGGAAATCGGTTGGCTCTCAGCAATTTGAGATACCTGCCTGACGCGAAATCTCACACTGACGCCGATGTGCAACAGATGTCAAGTCTAGTAAGAAAAAGCGAGATGGTCACGTGATACTATCACGTGATATCACTTCCAACGACAAAGTTCGAGGATGAGGCGCCCAAGAACGGGATTGTCATCAATCAATCCATTTACACTTCATAGGGGGGAGTTGAAGAGAAGGAGAATACCGTCAAGAGCTACCATGTCTATCTAGGATGTCAAAGAAGAGCGGAAGAAGACTGTGGAAGCGTTGTCCGCTTTTCCTTTCCTCCCTCATAAAGCCCGACTCAGAATCGTGACACGATTGTCGCGACCACTTTCCCGGCCAGAGAGACGCAAAGAGCCCTGCCCTAGCCCCCCTCCGTCTTCCTAATCGAGCCTCAACGATATCCACCAAAAGGCCCGCAGGCAGGCGGCCATGGCTTCCCACCCCACGTAGGGCTATCAGCGGCCGCCTCAACGCCGCCTTCGGCGTCGCCAGCTCATCGTTCTCTTCGTGCTTCTTACCTGCGAACATGCACTCACTACTGGCCAGTCGCATCCAGCAGCCCTGTCCCTATCCGTACCAGTACGACCCCCATACCCACGAAGGCCCTGGCCCGTCGTCGCCTCGCCTGTCATTCTGCAGCGACAGTACCTTGCAAGTAATGGTAGCTGCTGGCGACGCCTAGCCGGCAGCCAAAGGGCACTCACAAGCAGCACGATACCAAATCACGCTGTGACCCACCTACCCCTGCTGACATAGGAGCTCGTGCGCGTGTTGAAGTCCTGGCCTTCCATCGACGAGCGGAGACCTGCTGGTAGGACCGTGAATCGCCTCCCGAGTCGCATCGTCCAATGGATGGCACTGGTGCGAGCTGGGTGAGGATGTTACCTTCGCGTGCACCTTGACTTTTGAACACGGCGAGATGGAGATGCTATTGGTGCAGCGCGGGCAGAGACTTCCGCTCTCCACATTGAATTTTAGACACATGATTCCTCGCGATCCCGAGTATTGGGTGTCACACAAAACATATAATTAGATTGGAGAGTAAGAGAGGTTGTCAGGGTATCTTCTTGCCCTCTCCGCTGACGAGACTGCGACGTTTCTGTGCCATGAGCTTGGGTGTTTGTTGATTTGGCTCGGACCTCGCGTGGTCGGAACAGGGGCCTTGTTTACCTCCACTGACACCTATCATTACGCGAAGGGGGGCAAGATGTTTGCAGGAATCGCTAAGGGGGAAGTCTTTCAGTAACCAATATCGGGTTCGGAGTAGGAAATGAGGAGGCGAGTTGAAGCCATAGCGACCCTAGCACTTCGCTCACATCAAAGCCACCCTCTGTCGACACGGGCCTGCGATATGTGAACAATATTCGGAGAAAGCCAATTCACACCGAAAACTGCCTCATAAGCATGCTCAGTCAGCTCAAGAGAGGCGTGAAAGAGTATTTGAATTATGTGCATCCCTTCGCCACTAGAAGAAGCGCCGTGGTTGATAACCCGGGCTTGCATTTGGGCAGTGGGAGGTGTGAAAATCGATCATCCGACTTTTGATATCACCAAAAGTTCCCCAGACGACTGCAACTGCAACCATTCAAGCCAGCTTCGCCTCCCCCAAGCATGAAATCCAAGTCGGACCCAGGAGAACAGATATGATAGAAAGTGAAATGATGACCAGAAGTCGACCCGGAGAAACCACCTAGCATTTTTGGAGTGTGGAAAAGCCTCAAGATCAATTGGGTAAAGATCAAGCAAAGGGAGGCAGCCAAGCTCTTCTTGCCACGTATTAAGGCCCATAGTAGGAAGATTCTCTGTTTAGCGAAAGTTTGATGTCCCCATCGTGTGGAAGAGTGGTAAGTTGGTTGGAGGATCTGCGATTGAGTACATCGAGCTCGTGTTGCTTTGCATGCACCATGATGAAGCACAGGCTCTGAACTGAAGCCATAGGTTGACAACGCACCGCTTTGTATCCTTGCCACCCGCTGGAGAACGAACTAGAGATCCACAGAAGCATGCCATTCGAAGCATGCCTGGACACACGTATGCGGGTTCTAAGCATGCAGGTCGATCAACCCGCTGCTCCAAGGTGACCATCAATCACAGGACCGAATTTCCAAGCCAGGAGACATGCGGTGAAGCCAATTGGAGGATATGCTGACAAAATCTGCCCATTTCCCAAGAATGAAGCCACCAACATGTGAAGAACGATTGGGTATGGGGACGATTGTAAGGCTCCGGGAGCTTGGGTAGCAGGACTCCCAGGAAGACACCGAGCTGATTCGTAAAACTTTGCTACAGCGTTGCTAATGTGCGAGAAGAAACACAACATGGGCTTGCTTCCATCTGCTCCGGTTGGGCAAAGTCCAGGGTGAGGGGTTTCTCTGTCGGTCTTGGTCAGAGCATCTTTGCACGAAGATGACGGGTGCTATCCTTGAAAGAGGACCCGTCCCGTGGCCAGAAGTGAACGGATAGGACCCACATCGTACGCCCACATAATCAACTGCTAATGTGGCGGGCCACAGGAGAAGAGAGGCTTTGCATCAATACACCATCTCGTGATCGAATAGCTCGCCGCCTGCATTGACCTTGAATCGTAGAGACCAACGTGAAGCCATTGCAACCAAGCCGAAAGATGTGTTGGCAGTCGATCATGGCCAGTCATCCAACCCTATCCAGCTTGGAGTGGCTCGAGGGCGGCCAGTCTATCCGAATCAAGATGGCTATGGAAAGAACACAAGGAGTGACGAGTGGGCAAGGTTGCCATCGGAGGCGGCCTTCCAGGGAAGTATGCAAGTTGAATCACATACGTTTGATGCCCAGTTCCGTGATGAGCATCGTGCAGATCGTGCGTTGTCCAACGCTCAATTTTGACGGCGAAGGTTGCTAGAAGGCGTGGGAAACGATGGGTTCGAGCGGGGTTGAGAAAGCGTCGACGAAGAAGTGAACCATTTGCATCATCCCGCTGAGCTTTCCTCAGGAGATAAATACCCAAGCAAAGCCAGGTGTCGGAGAACATACTCTTCAGCATCAATCAGCCTTCCACATCCACTGATCCCTTCGACTGCCGCAACATCATCAAACACCCAGCCTTCCAACACGGATCCAACATTCTCCTTCCGTAACTTTCATCGTCATATCTCCACACCTTTTCTAAATCTTTCGTCGACAGCCTGTAAGTTTCGAGACCCGAGCCAGATGTCGTTTCATGTTTGACCGATGCCGGTCAAATTCGGGGCCATGCTGAAAAGGTGCCTCCCAGACTCGACCCAAAATGTGCTTCTATGACAGCTACGTTATGGCTTGTAACTGTGGAAAATGGGGACACTTCAGACAGCATTGCAGCAAAGGTATGCTTTCCCTGATGTTCGAGGCTCCTGGAATTCCCAAGTTTGAGATCGTTTTTGTTCCACGTGACTGTCAGGATAGTCTGGTCTGGTCTGTTGGGACCTGGTCTGACATCGGCGACAGAGTACCGCACCGGTGAGACCTGCGGGATGAAATTAGTCATGAACAGATACTCGAAGCCCGAGAAGTGTAAGATTTGCACCAAGATCGACACGAAGCAGCGTGGCATCGTCAAGGAGGAAGACAAGATTCGCAGGTGGAAACGTGAGACCAACCGCGTCAACTCGATCGAGAAGGCCGAGGAAACCATCGAAGCCCTGAAGCAAGATCTTCAGCGGCTCATTCAGGAGCGGGAGAACAAGAGGAACTCCTTGAACTGGTAAGCAACCAATGACTCGTTGAGATAGCTACACATACCGATACTGATCTCACTTTAGAACGGACAGCTAGCATAACCGCCAAGGACTGAGAAGGGGAGAAGGTGGGATTCGGGGTTTGCGATGGCCTCTTGGATTTTTCTCTCGTAATTTTTTCTTTAACAGATTCGGGTTTCTGTTTTGGATTCAATCGAAGCGCTTGGGTTGACAGGCTGTGGTAGGCGATGGAAAGGGCTCTGGACCAATGTAGCAGTAATGTGTAGTGCTGAAACGGCCTTGAAAACATCCGCCCTTCCAAGTGACCCAGTCTCCCCAGCGTGGCGGGCCGGTCCAGGAAGGCCTGACGTCGTGTCCATGGTGTGTGAAGAGCAGAGTCGCCGGCGCTTAGCCAGTTTCAGAGGCTGTAAGGAATCGTCGTAGTGGCTGGTGGCAGCATTGGCGAAATGGTGGATCTTTGGTGCACTATCTAACAACTATCGTGATTTGACCGAAAGGAAGCCTGGGTGAGGTGGTGGGAAAGGGATGGGAGAAGGATGGAAATGTCGAGCGGTGTTGAAGTCGCTTAAGCATGATCAATCTAGCCTGCATGGAATGAGAAATGCGCAGCATAGCGGTATAGATCAGCACCAACAGAGCCGCTACCACAGAGAAATAGACAGAAGAGAAGACGAGAAAGAGGGGGCAGGTGCACTGCTCTTTATGAGATGAGAATGAGAGACTTGGTGAGGTGTAATTACGGAACGTGGCTAATGCCGTATGGACCTTATTCGGAGCCTGACTGCAGAGAGCGTGAGAGCAATCTGATAGGACGAAGGGCATGTTCGAAGAGCCAGTGAACAGGCGATCTTGAGAAGGAGAATGCTTGAATGATACAACGCATAGCCAGTTCCGCTGATGTGAGCCAGTCAGAGCCCTATTTCCAGCTTCGCACGCTAGCCGGCGCGGCGGAATCTAGCCCTACGTAGCATCGATGTGGATAGTCTCCCCGATGCCGTGAAACCCGAATGATCGAGAGAGAGAGAGACAGAGAGAGATCAGATCCATGCTCACTTCATAGCTAGCTCTACATCTGCGAATCCTCCAAGCAATCGGCCTATGCCGTCTGACTTGACGGGGGTATAGCCCTTCGATTCCTCTCCCTCTTCATCGTCAGACAACCAACCATCCGACACAATAGGCGTAAGGTCTGGGGGTAGTTGACTGTGTTTTCCTGAGGCGTCGGCTGCAGAGATTTTTGCCAGAACGTCTTGATACCGTGTATATCTGGCGTCTTGGGCAGGGTAGACTGTGGTCCTTGAGGGCGGTACGGATGGTAGATGCGCGTTCTGCGGTATCATAGCAAAAATATCGACCAGGTGACTGCGAATCATAGATTAGCTGGGAGTCCTTATTAGAAGCAGCAGGGGACAGAGGATGTGCAGGTTTCAAGGCCTGGTGTCCCTCCCTTCGAAGAAGCTGGGGCAGACGCGCAATCTTACTTCGACGTCATTGTAACCACCTTCTGCAGCGCTTCGGTCTCCCGCTGAACCTCTTGCGGATCCGTCTGTATTGCTCCTGGATTGTGGTCGCCGAAGCTACCATAGTGATTTGCGTGGGCGTCGTCAAAGAGAAGTCTCGTTTGTTCGTCCTAGCTACTGGTCACTTCCTCGCCATTTGCCCTGGAGTTGACAGCGCACTCACTTCTTCGGACACATCACGGTCTCGATTCCGGCCGAGGCAGGAGGAGCAGACGCCCATGATTAAAGGGGGGACAGGAGATTGCCTGCAGCGAAGGGCGGATGAGGTCAAATCAAATCAAATCAGCTCCTTCAACATTCTCTCTCCAATTGAACTCGGGCTCGGCCAGCGCATGAGGTGCCAATAACGAGGCCAGGGGTACTAATAGAGAAATGTACGCAGGGCGGCCTGGTGGGAAGGGTGCATGTTGTGTTGTTGTTGTTGATATCACCGACGATGATGAGGCGAGCTGCCAATAATTTTTTAGCCTACCCTGGCCGGCGCCCGAAAGGGCTAAGCGTGATATTATTAATTTATTATTAATATTTTGGACACCTCCCTAATATACGGAATATGAATGACATCCCAAGGAAAAGATGTTCACCCTGCTCTGCTTTTGATATCAACCATCCAGCAACCAGCGAGGGAAGTCTTTGAATCTGTCAAATTTGTCCGCTGAAGAGGTCCTGTCTGTCAGTGAACACCACGTGACCTTGCATACTTGTCTAAAGAACAGAAAGGAGGCATGATGGCAGTTTCCCCTTAGCCATTTACCAGCTTTCAACTCGGTGGGCTCGTGCTATCCTTAATGATTCACGGCTCTTGATGAAGTATCGAGACTCCTTAACAAGCGAGCCATCGAATATTTTATTTATTTACTCCTCGCTTCTTTCTTCTTGGCCCCAACTTCGAGGAAGGGCCCGGGGACGAATCGATCAGGACTCCTGATTGCAGCAGCAAGGAAAAATTCAACTTCAACTTTAGATCAGTGTCTTCATGTTCATACGTCCAAATCATGCCTTGCTCGTCAGTCGACCTTCTCAAGGTTAGGCTCGCATAGGAAGTCCTTGCTCTTCGTCTCCAAAAACCTCGGCAGCATTTTCACTCCTACCCATCCCATGCCTATTCATTTCTTCAGATGTTCTCGCCCCGTTCGCTCTCCTTCAATCAATAACATTTCTCTCGGATCCAGCCTCCTGGCAGTTGCCATTATCCGACTCTCTGGATAAGCTGTTGCTACCTATGGCCAGTATTGCAGCTCGTCTGAGCCATCAAACACAGCTACACTTCAATCGACGATTCCGTACTCGACCACGGCCAAGGAATCTACAACCCCACCTTCCCCGTCGCAATCATATTCAGCCATCCCGCAAGCCTATACCCGGCCTTCGCAACCTGCTCCTCGACCGTGTCGACGACGCCAGCGTAGTACGCGCTACCCAGGTCGGCGCTGCCCTCGAGCGCAGCCGCGCCGTCGGGCATGACGTCCACGCACACGAGCGCGTTGGCTTCGCGCGCCCAGAGCAGGGCCGTCTCTTGCGGGCTGGACAGTTTCATGCCTGTGAGCCAGGACTTGGCGGAGGGGGCGTAGGTGCCGGTGCGGATGGCCGTCGTGAGGTTTGTGGCCCAGGATTGGGCATCTGTGAGGGCCTTTTTTGGGGGGGGAAAGGGGGGTTAGTTGGTTTGAGGTGAAGGGAGTAGTGGAGATGGGAAGAGGATGGGACTTACGTAGCCGCCGACAAGCTTTTCGGCGATGGCGGTATCCCACTGGGGAGGTGTGTTAGTCGAGTCAGTTTTGGTAGCGAATTTATGGGAGGGTAGAGGGAAGGGTAGGTGGGAGGGGATGGAAGGAGAGGGGAAGGGGTAGAACGTACAACTGAGTGGAGGTTCGTGGCATCGCTGTCAAATATTACGTCGATACCGTTGCCGCCTGCTTCTAGATTCTCGTCATGGAGTGGTTGGTGGATGTCGCCGACGAACTGTAAGACCATCATGAGCTTACTGGGTTCCGAGAGTAGGATGGCAGTAACGGCTCTCTGCATGACCAGGTTTCTCCAACGGTGCCGGGTGAGAGAGCGCCCGCAGGGCTGGAGAAAGAAAAGAGGCCGAATAGTGAGAATTCACAATGGACAGACATACGTGGATGATCATCTATCCCACTCGTCAGCATCAAATCAAATCAACTGCTGCACCGGTAGCGGTAGCGGTAGCGGTAGCGGCATAGAATCGAAAGCAAGCAAGCACTGAAGTCACTTCTGAAGAGCAGCACGACGCACGACATACCTTGGCAGCAATAATCCTATCCGCAGAGCTCAACGTAGTCTTTCGCACTCTCGCCGTCTAAAAACCCCATCAGCGCGTCCCTCTTCTTCTTCTTCTTTTTTTTCTTTGTTTTTTTACGACTCGGGGTAACCGCCCCCAGCACTAACTCAGACCACTCACTTACATAATTCGTGATCGCAGAGACGATACAGCCCTCCGCTCCACAATCCCGCGCGTAGCTCAAGTCACAGGACGCGGGCGGGTCATCCATCGCGTCAATGTAGTGATACGGTGCCGAGAACATGCCCTCTGTGGTATAGCGGTATGAGTCTGCCTGGATACATACACCCACTTGTCAACGAAATAAACACGACTAGGTACTTGCTCATTGACATTTAAAGTAAAGAGTAAAGAGTAAAGAGTAGGGATGGATGGATGGATGGAAGACCAGCCGTACCCATGTTGCCACCGAGGCGAGGTAGTTGGCGCTGGTGTCGCCGAGCAGAGTCTGGAAGTGGGTCTTGGTTGCGGAAGAGACTGATATATGTGTTAGCAGCGGTGGGACTCGGGTCTCGTGAGATGAATATGATATGACATCAGGATATGGTACAGCAGAGGAGAGCAGAGAAGGGACTTTTCTGACCGAAGTTCGTAGCTACATATGCTATCGTATCATGTCCCAAAGTCCCCCACGCGGAGCCGAATGGAGCTGTCGACGCGAGGAGCAGGACGGAAGTTGAGAGCAGTGATAGCTTCATCTCTATAGGTAGATTCCGGCGTTGTGTGTCTGTCTGGGAAGAATCTGTACTCAATCAATCAACGCAATGATTCAGCTCTTGAAAGAGAGTCTTGGAGAGGGGGGCTATCATATACTCATATAGGTATATAATATATTCAGAGAGAGACATATAAACCTCTTATCTCAACACGAAAACGACAATAAAATCACATCAAATCAAATCACATCACATCAAACCAATCTTCCCACCCAAAAGACCATCCCAGCAACGCTCCGACGCCGAGGATACATCGTGACTCGCTCGGGTCTTCAGTCCCAAAGCAGCAGGAGCTCAAATCCCGGTATATACGATGATACCGGTATGCTCCATTCCATCTCCCTTGCCCATCCGCATATCTTTTTCCCTTCCGAGATCAGCTCAGATCAGATCAGATCCCACCCCGGTCGGCCGGCTAGTAAACACATTTGCATGGAAACCATGCATTTACTCTTAGCCTAAGCCGCCGAGTCGATTGAGGATTACCTACCTACTGGATTACCTAGATAGCTCGATGAGAAGCTGGGTGGTTACAGAACCCCAAATCTCAATTTCGCACCTAAACCTGCACCTGCCTGATGCGGTCGGTCAATGATGCATACGGCTCGCTGCGCTGCAATATATGTACTATGTACCATGTCCCATGGCCGATCGGTGGACATCGAAACGAAAAGGGCAGCTGAGAATTTGATATGCTAAGTATTATAGGTAATGTAGTTGTGTGTATGGTGCTCCCGATAAGTAAGAAAGCAAAGATACCGAAGAGACGGGTGATAGATAGATAAGCCATCTCGATAAGACAAGAGTTTATTTAGCCGAGGGCTTGACAACCTATGCTTATAAAATCTGATTTCCGTCATCGTCGTTGTCATCTCATTCCAGGAGCATAAACACCAACATATTTCACGGTATTTGTTTATCTGTGTGTAGCCCCGAATCATTCTTTTACATTTTCATTTCCCAATGTCTTAACCACTCCCCCCTCGTACAGTACTAGGTAACTGCTAATGCATAAAACCACTTTTCGCACCAAAACTAAGGGTCAACACTTCGAAAAAAAGAAAATTACTATCAGCCGGTGTTGATCAATTCTATTCTTCGAAGGAGTAGGTAATCGAAACCGTCCAGCTTAAATCCGCTTCTTTAGTAGCCCTAGATACAAAAGATAAAGCCGAAGTCGCTTCTCCTCAAGAACTTCTTCTAAAATTAGGCAAAAGCCAGCTCTCTGTACTTCTGCGCTGGTTAAAATCTGTTTAAGTGATGGATGTGGAATGAAATCATCTTGTAGTGATACGGACGCTATTTCTTGTCATTATGAGGCTTGAAATTTGTATTTACCCTCTGAGGCTGACGGTTATGTAAAGTTGCAGCTGGCAGATGTAACGAGTTCTGGTGCGAGATGGAAGTTCATGCATTGGCAGTTCGAGGTCCTATTCCCCATCTTCAATCTTCAAACCTTCTCTCTCTCTCTCTCTCTCTCTCCAAAAATAATCATCATCACATACCTAACCATACTCCCCTCCCCTCCGCTCCCCTCCGCTCCCCTTCCCTTCCTTATTCCTTAATCCTTCCTCATTCAGTCATCTCATCCAGAGCTGTTGTGGCCTTAGGCCACCAGGCTACTACAAGGCGCACAGACCACTTGAGAGGGGTATATAGCCTCACGTTGCTCTGAGCTTCCTCGAACATCATCTTCTACTTTGCTCATCTATCATTACCTTTATTGTCTGGTGATATACGCAGAGGAGCTCGACTGCAAATTTCTCTCTTTCGATTCTTAGTCAAGGCGATGAAACATTGATCGAACCCAGGCCCAGCTTGTTCGCAGCTTGCTCGGGACCACGCAATCGACTGTTCCATTACCCTCCTTTCTATCGACATCTCCTTTTTTATCGGTCGATCTCTACCTTGACCTCTTTCTCATACCAATTCAAGACTCTGCAAACGAATCGACGTTATCGGTTCATTCCTCATTCGAAGGTTTACACGGCCTATTCGATGATTCTCGACGTTTTCACAATACAATACAACACATACAATCAAAAGGGACGATACGAGTGGTCGGGTCTTGTTTAGGACTACGGCCAGCTGCCTGGAGGCTCCACATGCGTTGTTGCATACGCTAGAGGTTTACCTTGTTGGTGTACAGCTTGAACGGGGTTGCAAATTAGTTGCTATGGACACTGATACCGATCGATTACGAAGGATTCGAATGGAGGTTTCAGAATTGGCTTAGAAACCTCTAGAATACAACCCGCAACTTTAAAAAACTGGCAGAATTCGTCGTATATCGAGCAATTACGCCGCTGCCGCCGCAATGATGAAAATTCAAGACGTTCTTAACTACGAACCTCAAAAGCTACCGCGCTACGAATACTACGATGAAGTACTTGATTCTCAAGCTTCAGCATCTTCAGCTTTAAAGCTAGTTCCGACCTCTCAAGCTTCTACGCAATCGTAAGACTCTCGAGACGGCCCTCGACCTGCTACGCCAACGCCTTGCGATCAGCTTCGCTCTCCTTCAATCCAAATGCCTCGCACGCCAATTATACGAAGGCCTATACCATTAATGACTCGATCTGATCGTATTCGAATTAAAACAGCGCTATTCTTCGAAATCAAACCGAAAGAAATACAAAAGAAGTTAAGGTATACGGATAGACAAATCCGTTTTGCTAAAACTTCTCCAGCTACTCCTCAAGTTCATCGACGCGGACGTAACCCTGCTCTCGATACGCCAAAATAATAACGCCTTAAAAAATAGCTTCTCGAATCTCCTTCACGCCGCCGAATTGCTTAGCGCCATATACCTCATCACGAATCCCTTCCTATCGAGCTTCGCGGATACGATGAATCGGCTATAAAGACGAGTTTAAATCGCGTAAGGTATGTTCGGCGAGCAGCAAGAAAAAAGGATTTTCTAATGATCCTGAAGTTTAAGCAGAACTGCTTTGATTCGCTCAAGAAGCTATTCAATGGTCTACTACAGTAGAAGAGTTGCTCAACAAGCTTTTTCAGATGAGGTTTGAGCTTGCGGAGGAGCATTTTCACAATCGTACCACGGTACAGGCCTAAGTATTACTGTCGGTTCCTCACTCATTGAACTCTGAGTCATTGACTTAGTTGTTGATGAACTACGAGTCAAGAGGGTAGGGATCGATTGATTACCTACCCTGGTAATTACCCCTTTGGTATTTACCGAGCTACGCGAGGAAAATACTCTTGGCGTTATTGTCTCGGAACCCCAACTTCCGTCATACAGCCTCTTCGGAGCTACAGATCCCGAAATTTATTCACCCCTTAATGTATTCGATAGGAATTGTATACTCTTTTATAAGAGAATATACCTTTAGCCAGATATCAATGAAGAATCATGATGACCAACTTTCAGTACTGAAGAGACCTTTATTTGTTACCTGTTGCAATACACAGAAGAAGCTTCATATATTTGGACGTTTGTTTTTACCGGCAAACCAACATTTACCCCTCGAGGGTGCCTCCAAAGTTTAGTTTCCACTTTAAACCCCCTGGTTACCCTACCCTCGAGGGGTAATACTTACGCCTGGGACGTAGTACCGTATATAGCCTCATGCTTGCTCTGAACTTCTAGAACAATACAACTACCGGTAACCACCTTGCGCATTCTATCATTACCTTTATTGTCTAAAGCCTTAAAGCCCCGAAGAAAAAAAGAGAAAAAAAAGAGAAAAAAAAGAGAAAAAAAAGAGAAAAAAAAGAAGAAAAAAAGAGAGAAAAAAAAAAAGGGGTTCTCATCCCATCCCATCCTATCACCTCCAATAGCTTCCTTCCCGAATCCCCTTCATTCTCATCCTCATCCTCATCCTCATCTTCATTCTCACACTCCATCTCCATCTCCATCTCTGCCCCCACCCATCTCTGAAAGCTCTGCCAGAAAGAAAGAAATAGCTAGCCTTTCCCCTTTCCCCTTTCCCTCTTTTCATTCTTGTACATGTCTTACACACACTGTAATGAGAAGATTACCTAGTGGTGGCGGCCATGACAAAGTTGAAGATGGGAGTAATCTACCAGTCAGTCAGTCAGTCAGTGGCTGGCTTACTTGCTTGCTTGCTTGCTTGCTTGGGGGCTTGGTCGGTCGCACGATAAGGTGAGGTAAGGTAGGTGGTATGTAGGTAGGTAGGTTGGTATGCTAGGTTCCTAGGTAGGTAGGTCCTTTTGTTACATCTTATCCCAGCTCTCCGCTACTTGACCAGTACTATTGTCCCGAGGCGAGCAAACCAGATACAAGACATGAAAAGAGTTCCTACGTTGTTTTATTTCGTTGCGAATACGTACCTAACGTACCTATGTAAGGTGACATGCACTATGTAACCTACCTACAGAAAGTATCTTGCCGATACAAGCCAAGCCCATGCCCAGGGTATCTATCGGCTGGCTGTTTTGTCCCTTTACCAACCAGTCCCTACATAGTAAACACCATGCGATGCTATTTTGAACTCCAAATGTGCAACCCGTCTCTTTCCCCTCGAGCAAGGACCCGGCTCGTCGTTCACTTTTTCCCCTCCGACCGGCTACTCCCTCCATTTCCAGAAGTCCCCTCTGCCATCTCTTCCCTCCGAACCCCCTCCCGGACGAGCTTCATCTGATTCCGCAACTCCAGCACCTTCGCATCCAGCTCGTCCCGCAGCTCCGGCGTGCCCCCCGCAGCCATGATCCCAGCCATGCTCTTCTCGCTGAGGCCCCCCACCCCCTTGAACACCTGCGGTCTCTCGCCCGCAACCTCCGGCAGAGCTACCCGTATAGGGACGGGTACCGCCCTGCCCACGCCCTCCCTCACCGGCAACGCTAACGTCCGATCCCCCGCAGCCTGTGCCGCGTTCGGAATGCCACCCAGCCGCGGCGGTGGCACGTCTCTTGCAGCATTGCCGGCCGTCTGCCTCGCCGTCTGCCCCGTCCTCTCGCTACCAGCTACCGCACCCGCACCACCATTCCGGGCATTCGCTTCAGCCTGCGCCCTAACAGCCGCCTGCGCCTGCACTTGCGCCTGCTTAATCGGCACGAGCTCTTTGACAAAGTCCTGCGCCTCTTTACACCCCTCCATCAAAAACTTGATAGCCAGCGTTGCGCGCTCCTTCAAATACTCGTTATGACCGTCGTACACACAGCAGTTCAGCAGCGGCATGATACCCTCATGATCCAAAAGCTGTTTCTGTACGGTAGGATTACCAGGGCCGTTGCGACGCGCGTTGGTGGGCGCAATCAGCGCAGTGAGGATGATCAGGATTTGGATCTTGATGCCAGACCACGGGAACTTGTGGGGAGTGTCATGTAGGGGAGACTGGGTTTGGGAAGGCGGCTGGTTGGGCATGGGTCGTTCGTCAAGGGATTTGCGGGCGACGCCAGCTTCGAGGGCTTTGAGGAGGGCAACAAGCTCGTAAACGGTTTCCCATTCGATGAGGAGGTGGCGCATCTCGGTGATTTCCGCAATGACGGAGATGAAGTCGAGATATTGTGACAGTCCGTCTTTGGCACGCTCCATATCCCATAGGTCGACCGGGAAGTCGCTGTGATGCTTCTTTTGCTGGCGGATTTGGGCTTGGGCGTAGATCAGTGCCAGGCAATCGGGTACAACGCGAGAGCGGAAGTAGTTGTAAAGGAAGTGGATGAGCTTCGCATCTCGTTGGTAATCTTTGACATCGTCGTAGATAGGACTGTCCTTGCGAGCGCGGAACATGTAGTTGATGAGACGCAGCAAGACTGTTTGTGCTGGCGATACGATATCCTTGAGGATCCGTAGCGAGTTCCACGCATACGGCAGTAAAGCGTTATGGTGGAAGGACTCGATGATCTGCGCGGTGATCTGGAAGATGAATTGCTGGTCCGTCTGCTCCCAAACAGCAATAAACACCAGCAGCTCTCTCAGGAGGTTCTTGCCACAGTCCAAAGCCAAGAACATCTTGCATCTCGTCTTCTGCAGATTCTCTCCTGCAGGCGTGAGACCTGATCCCATAGAATCAACAATGCAGGCTTTGACTGTCATATGCAAAGCCTCAATCTGTTTCGTGTCCAGGATATTCGGGATCTCCGTCAAGAGCCCCCTCAGCGGGCCCTCAGCATACGATTCATCATCGTCCTCTTCATCATCGTCGTCCTCGCCATTGTCTCCTTCAATCGAGCGCTCATCAATCTCATCAGAATGCACTTGACCATGGCCAAGCTGCTCATAATGCTCCTCCTGGTCGTAATGATCGGCTTCCTGCCCTCTCGGCATGTAACGATGCATCGCATTCTCCTTACAAGCCGCCGCCCTTTCCTGGGCACGCTCCACTGTCTCCATCTGCACGACCCAGCCATCAAAGTTCGCATCTCGGACTTTCTTCCACCACACATCGATTTCATGCGATACCCTCGCGTATAGCCTATCCTGCTCATACTTATCCTCCAAATCCGGTTTCCATACTGGAGATGTCAATGCCACCGTGCTGGAATCGACATCGTCGTATTCAGGTTGAGGTAGCTTTCCAGGCGTGTAGCCCGAGGAAACTTCCGCCGAGTACTTATCTAGCAACTTGGCAGCGAGCGGATCCTTCGTGTGATGTCGCCTGATCCAATTGCTCACCTCGATATGCACCTTCTCGACGTCCAGGTCGTCAGGCGGCATCTCATGAATGGGATCATTCTTCAGATCCTCGTCAAACAGCATCTCATACCAGAAGGACATCTTGAACCGATCATTGCCCATGGTCCAGTTATGCGTATGCTGCAAACAAGTCACCAGAAGTTTCTTATCTGTTCCCAGTCAGTCGCTGCTTCCCCCCAAATCTGCTTCATCAGAAGAGTGAAACAGGCAAGACGTACAAAGCTCCGTAATCTCATTCAGCTTCTCTCTCCGCCCAACATCCACTGTCTCCCCATCATACCCCTTACTCGTCACATTCACACACAGCACCATCAGTCTCTGCACCGCCCGATCAAAGCGCACTGCCGCACAAATATCCTGCGCCGTGTCCTTGATTGCCAGCATATTCCTACTTATAACAAGCAGATTATTAAGATAGTGCAGATCCTCCCTCAACGCATCGTAATTCTTCAGAATGAGTTCCGCAGACTCGGAGACATCATGGCCGTTGCGCACGCCGTCATGCGAATCGAGCTTGGAGCCGCCGCCGAGCGACCACTTATCAAGGGAAGGGATAGCCGTGTTGAAAATCTTCTGGAGATGCATCCAGACATCTACGTTCTTGGCCAGGGTTTCTCTGTTTGCATCGGGTCAGCGCAGTTCTTGCCAATGAACCCCCACCGGATTTCCTCTCCACTGTTCTCTCCAAAAAGAACCACCAAGGAGGGACTTGCTGAAGAAAAAGATGGAGCAGACACACCTAACCTCCGCCTTATTCAGACTCAAATCCAGCGTCCTGGCCACCATCTTCTTGACCTCCACCATAGCCTTCATCAGATACGTGCCCGGACGCTCGAAATGCAGCTCGAGCGTCACCAGCGCGGCGTTGAAGTTCCGCTCCTCCTCCGTCTGCTGATTCCGCCTCTTGCTCATACCCTCCGCATCACCAAACCCGACCCCGCCAACAACGAAGCCCGCCGCACCGCCGTATCTGAGCCCGCCTCGGCCTTCCACAAAGCCAGCCCGCTCCACCAGGTGGCTACCGCCCCCGCTCCCGCTCGCATTCATGGCGTACGCGCTCCCCGTCGCTGCCGTCTTGGGGTAGGCGCTCTGGCGCTCAGGGGGCACGGTGGTGGACTCGCGATTTGTGCGGCTCGTCTGCGTGCTCTCGTCCCACCAGGTCGAGAGAGGCGTCTTGCATTTGCTGCAGATGGTGCTGGCGTCGCGCGGCGAGGGCAGAAGCTGCCCGCATTCGACACAGTACATGGTGAGCTCGATCAGTCAGTCGCGTCTGGGCGGACTCGGAGCTAGGTCGGAGATGAAAGAGGGCGCTGGCCTGCTTCATGGGCAGGTCGGAGTGAGTCGAGCGGTCGACGCGTTTTGGAGGATATAAATCGGCAAAATTTCGATGGTGGAAGCTCAACTGACATCCACAGGGAGAAGTATCTGGCGCTTGGGCCTTGAAGTGGGGGCATGCGCTTGGAGCTTGGAGGAGGGGTAGGTAGGTAGGTACGGTACCTAGATGTCTACCGGTATATGGTATGTAAATAGAAAGAAGGGCTGGTATATCGTTCAATTAATTACAGAAAAAGGATCATGATCCAATATTCAACATCAATATATAGGTCCAGTTCAGGCGTATTTTCTACCGGACCTCTTTGCAAGGAATATTTAGAAGATTCCTGCACCTTCACACCTAGTAACTCACATAGAGTGAACAGTCAACAGTCCCACAGCGCAAAGCCTCGCTATATCTAGGGACTTCTACTCACTTCCTAGGACGGCACAATTCCTAGCAAAGCCGCGATATCGGTAGCCTCGAATCATCGCAAACCCTGCCGTCCATACCATACATATCTTTACAGCGAAAAAGGGAAAAGCAACCCGAGCTATGCCGCCAAAATACCCAAACAAAACCAGTACTCGATTCAGCTACCACCCTGAGCTGAAGTACCCTCCTCTCCGCCCGTCTTCGCCTTCTTCTTCCGCGTCCTCCTCCGCTTCTTCTTCGCCTGCTCGCCCTTAGCATCATGATCGTCGTGCGAATTGCCCTGCGCATCAGATGCATCAGATGGGGCACTGGGGCGTATTTGGGCAGCGCTGTTACCATGGTTACCATTGCTGCCATTGCCGCTGCCATTGGAGCCCATCCGATCATCATCACCCGAGCTATTGGTTTCTAATACGACTTTCCGGAAGCCACCCGAATCGATGATATTCTCTGTGATGCTGCCACTCCGCGCAACTCCTCTCTTTCGCTGCGTGCCACTGGCGGCCGACTGCAGGGAAGCGAGTGTGTCACTGCTTCGCTGGCTGTCGTCGCTGTCCTTCCTAGACACCTGTTTTTGAACAGGCGATAAGGATCGGTTTCTGGAACTGAGGAGTGGCGCGTTCTCGTTATTCGGTACCTCGTCCGTACTCTGGAACTGTGAAAGCTTGCTAGGGCTAGTAGGCGCATTCGGGCCAAACGAGCCATACCCTTGATGCAGGGCAATAATTCCGTCGCTGGCCTCTCTGCCGGCGTTCTTCAAAAGACCTTCGCCCTCGCCTCCGTTCGGGGCGGGGTTGGGATTATCACGGTACGGCTCCTCGACGACGGGCTCAACAATGATGCTAGAGTCGGTCCTAGATTCCGAACGACCTAGCAAAGCAGACTTGATTTTGACCGTGTTGTACCGGGTCGACTTGGGACGGCTGGCTAAATTTGATGGGCCCAGATGCTTCAAGTGTTCTCGCATATCATTCATGTTACCTCTGACCGCGACCGTGTTCCCATCTAATCCACTCGAGCTTCGTCGGATGAAAGTTGTCTTTGGGCTGGTTCCAAGATTCGCTGGGCTCTGCAATTGATCGTCGGCGGAAGCGATCTTCTTGGCCGTTGGTTCCTGCTCCTCTGCAAGATTGATGAGTTGATTCTCGGGCATATGCACCATGGGTTGTTCCGTAATGCTATTGCCTCGATGAGCACGTGCTTTGGGTGCCGGTGCCATCCGTCGAATGGCTTTGTGCACGTCAATGTAGACATCCGATTCGTCAATGATTTCCCTGTTGCATGTCAGTGGTGTCACAGGCCTCTATCAAATCGAAACACTCACTCTCCAATCAATTCTTCAATGACATCCTCCAGGGTAACGACTCCGATGGCGCCGTAATTCTCGCCGGGAAACTCTGATACCAGGACCATGTGCGACTTTCCTTCTTGGAAGAAGTTGACGATATCCAGGCAGCTCGTTTCCGGTCGCGTTTCTGGGAGGGTGGCCAGTGCAAATTCGCTGACCTTCTTGCAGTCTTCGGGATCGTAGGTGATCAAGATCTTGACCAGAAGCATACCAACAAAGTTCTGCTGGTTGCTCGGCTCGTAAATGGGGATCCTGGAGTATCCAGCGCTGAGTATCGTATTCATAGTATCCTCGTCGAGAACGGTATCCGCCGACATGGTGAACACATCCTGCATGGGCGTCATAATGTCTCCAACGGCCTTGTCCTTCAGGTCCAACACCGCGCTGATGATCGTAACCTCATCTTGGTTCAGTCGTTCCGTGGGGCTCGACCCCAAGGTCTTGTGCAGTGTGACTAACGTCTTTAATCCTGACTTCTTGTAAACCGTTCCATGATCCTCTCCCAATAGGTAGTCGAGCAATTTCGCCATAGGCCATGCTATCGGTGCCATAAGCCACATCAAGCAGAGCACTGGAGGAGCCATGTACGCTCCAATCGAGAGACCGTATCGCACGCAGACAGACTGGGGGATCACTTCACCGAAGATGACTATTGATCGTTAGCACGAGCTCTCACACAGTAGAACCTGCAGGTGCCAGGGCATACCAATCAACACGGTGCTGCCGAGGACCGCGGGCCACCCGCCTCCCAGCGACCGATCGAGGATAATGGGCAACGTCTCGTTGACAATGACATTGCTCAGAAGCAGCGTAACCAGAACCCAATGTTTCCCCTTCTGCAGCAGATGATAGACCTTCTGCGCATGTCTCTGCTCCTTGCCCTCGCCAGAGGTAGCAATCACCTGCAGGTAGACCCCATCCTGTCCCATCAAGCTATTACGCCTCCGTTAGCCATCCACACGCCCAGCTCGCGGACCAGGCCTACTCACGCAATCGTCAGTCCAGCAAACGCACCACCGAGCAGGACCAGCACCGCAGCCACGGCCAGGTAGAGCCACATATTCGCATCCTCCGCATCGCCCGCGGGCTCGTCGTTCTTCGCCAGCCCCAAGAACTGCTTCAGTGGCGCGGCCGAGGCGTGGGAGATCTGGGCCAGGACGAGCAGGAGGATCTTCGCGACGCCTTGCACGGCGGGTCGACGCGCATTTCCATATTGACCAACGGCAATGGGAGATGTCGAGGTCATCGTAGTGCGGAGCTCGGAGTGGGTTGCTGTGGGTTGCTGTCCGCTGCAGCAATGGGAGGTCGCTCTGCTGGCAACCTTGGATTCGTGGTGGTTGGTGGTGGGGGGAGGGGGGATTGTGTTGCTTCCGGGGAAGGATATTCCGGGACCCGCGACAGCAGAAGGAACGACGGCGACGGTGAGGTCGTGGTCGAGGACGAGGACGAGGACGAGGAGGAGGAGGTTCGGAGGGTCAGAACTCAGAAGGATGGGCACTTGGGTGAGGATGGATTAATTAGAAATTAGACTTTCCAGGTCCTGCAGTAGGTAGGTACCAGTACTGTACCTCCGTAAGCAGTGCGCACTGCGGAGGAGGGCAGTCAGTGGTCCGTGTGGGCTCTACAAAAGAAGCTTGGGGAACAATACCGGTATGCCGCTGTAACGAGGAAAATGACGACTTTGGTCCGACGAACAAGGCGGCGGCAGATCGGAGGCGAAATCAAAACAATCAACTCCCATTTCCCGACCCGACCAAGATATATCTCTTCATCTTTACTCCGTATTGTCCGGCTCGCTTGCCGAATGATCTCTTGATCATATGATCCATTCATGACTCAAACTCAATCCGTGCCCGGAGAAGCGTGGCGAAGGGACGACAGTACAGTAGTAAGTAGTAAGTATACCTCGGTAACCTTGCCTTGCCAGCAGTTGGAAGTAGGAACGCAACTCTAACTCAACCTGCAAACTAGTGGGGTTGTTGATGGGGAATGGGCACAAAGGTAGAAAAGATACTATAATGTCTATTATATCTATTATCTGCGCCGGCACTACATCCATGGCGGGATAGCGGTGGCCGAGCCTAAAGTCAATTCCACATCTCGCAGATCAGCAACGCACGTGACCACAACGTCCGATGAAAAGAATTAAGATTCATTGCCGTTGGGGAGAAAAGGTAGGGCCGCAAAGGTACGTACGTAGTAGTATGATGAAGGAAGCTCTGTTAGGAAGCACGACGGGAAGTATTTACTTTCTTTACTTGGCGGTCGATGCGACTCTCTACACAAACCCATACCATGCCCATCTATATGCCCATCGTCTCTTCAGCGCCGCTCAACACCCCAACTCATATCTTTGATCCCCTCACATAAAGCCAATCCTACTACTTACTTTCCCTCTGCAGCCTGTTCAGAGCCTCCTCAAACACTACCGCCTCCTCTCTCCCCCCTTCCAACCTCATAACCGGCACCTTCACCCCCTCCAACCACTCCTCGTGCATCCTCCGACTCCTCCCCTCCTCCAAAGTCGGATCATCATACCTCTCCGCCCAGGTCAGAAAAGCCTGAGAATCATCATACATATCCCCTCCCTCCCTAATCCTCTCTCCATGCCGCTGATACTCCCTCGCCTCCAACCTCGCCATCCGCACCGCCTACCAGCCGATCAAAATGCATGCACCTTCCTATTCCCGCCCAACTCTCACGAACTCGCGAGACCCCAACCGACCAGGAAAACGGATTGACTTACCGTCGGCGCGTCAACGAAAACCACATGCTCGACATCGGCCATCAGCTCCGCGCCCCAGGTGCCGATCGAGCCCGCAAGCACCCATCCCCCGCGCTCTGCTTGCGCGCGCGAGAGCAGCGGCTTGATGAGAGCGATGCGGTCGGGGATGGCTCGCTTGGTGGTGAAGGGCGGGTCGGTGGGCATCCAGTAGTAGTCGTCGACGTCGAACACCGGGACCGAGAGCGCGGACGAGAGGTTGGTGCCGAGAGTGCTGACGCCGCTGCCGGAGGCGCCGAGGATGTGGATGCGTGCCGGTCTCGTCTCGGTCTCTTGTAACAAGGTTGCGGTTTGGATCTGGGCCTGCGTAGCCATGATGGGTTTGCCTGCTGAAAGGGGTTTGGATGGATGAGCAGCGATATATGGAACGGAAGTATTTCGATGGAGCTCTCGGTTGAAAGAAACTGATGGCGGCTTAAATATGGCCTATGATGGACGGAAAACCTGTACTGTAAGGTAAGGATGTGTTTATCAATTGATAACCAAAGAAACCGCATGTTTGTTTTCTTGCTTACCTACGTAAAGAACCCGTGTGACTCAGGCCGATGCACGATAATGCACAATACTACCACTTCACCTTATTCTAGATCCATTCCTCTTCTTCTTCTTTTTTTTTTATCATACTATTTCCAAGCACTGTCTACAATCAGGCTCTGATCAACAAGGAAATGGATATGTATATCCAAAGATTTCTTTCCCTAGCCCTTCTTTCTTACCAGTCAGACGAAATCGCATTAGAGGTTGCCAGAAAGATACAGTATCGTCTATCATCTGCTCCACATCTGACGTTGCCCACTTTCTACCCCGCACTGAGACCATCAGGGTACCGGTATGATCGGCTCCAGCCCGTTTATTAGCGAGAGCTTGTGCTTACTTAATGTAGAATTCTTGGCCCAGGGTGGAGAGATGCCAGGCCTGCTCTGCTCTACCAACCGCCTCCATTCCGAGACTATTTACTGATTTGCTGAAGTGTTGACTGGCTGCCGTTATCTCACCCATATTGTTCACAAGATCTTTCCAGGCGCTCAAGTCTTCCTTTCCGTGCCGTTGAGATAAAGTCAATAATCACGGCGCGGACGGGAGATTGGTTTCGCTGCTTCCATAATTGGCTCCACCAGTATTGAGGAAGGCAGCTGTTGGAGTAGGCTGGGCGATAATTCTGGAGCTCATTTTGCTGGTCGAGTAGAAACAAGCGGCTTCAAGACAGCAGCCTGATGTTCGACCTGTGGCATCGACATTCACCCCCCTTCTCCAGAAGTATTTCAGCGGTAGTCTCGTCTTGGTTGAGGGTCGATGCTGGAGGATAAAGCTTGCGCTCATCTACATCTATATTTCGAGATCAAATGGTCTTGGTGCATTGGATTCAACGGTTAGGTAACTGTAGAAAATACTCGACTTTTTGGACCTCGGATCTATCTTTGGAGAGGACAGCGCTTTTGAAAGCTGTGTAATCGTGCAGGTCGATGCTCTCTATTACCTGACTGTATGCAAGCTCTCTGTTTTCTCTACCGTAGAGCATATGGCTTTCACCTCTTTTTTAAAAATGCTATCAGAAATTGCCGTTACACGATGGTCAACACCCGCTAACTCGGCTAAAAAAGGGGCTCGGTTAGCTCATAGTCCTCGGTTAGCTCAGACTATATCAACATATCACTACCAACTCCCAAACCATGACATTTGATGATCCCATCACGTCTTTCCACTTGACTTGATATAGAAGGAAAGGGAATTTCGAAAACGAGGTTCCACTAGATTCCACTAGTGCTCACACTAGTGAGTGGGAGGGCTAGGAGGAGGGTCCCCACATATATACTCACGAATCTGTTCCGCCCAGATTTCCCACGAGCACAATCAAGACAACAACCAAGATTGCAAAGGTAACTCAGAATCCTTCTCGCTCACTGGTATTGATTGACCTGTCCACTGCTAACGGCGTCTTTTTCCTTCCAAGTGCATGACACATCCCAAAGTGGCACACCCCAGAATGCCTAGTTTCAACGACTTGACGCCTGAGTTCTTGCAAGAGCTCTTCTTCTTGCTCCCACTCAAAGATTGGAGTGCGCTCATGTACACTCAAAAGTATATGCGCGATTTCCTGAAGGCCAACGGTAGAGACATCTGCAACAGAATCACCCAGGGTAATCTTGCGCTCCCCCTCCCCCCCCCCCCTCCTCTCTCTGCCTGATCGTAAGCTGAACGCCAACCCTTACAGAGAAGTACTCCGTCCAAGCCTCCCTCCTCAACCCTGATCAAGTCCCCACCGATGAGGCAACCTGGATGATCCCACAGAGCAACCTCATCCTCAGCGCCGAACACGAAGTGCGGACCTCCATCCGTGAAGACTCCCAGCCGGCCACTCTGCGCGTCCAATACCGGCTCTCCGACCCCGGTCCCGCCTTCGTCTACCTCCTCGACAAGTACGCCATCTCTCTGCGTGTCGCTCGTTACATTTACACCGACCAGCAGGACTTTGAGAACTGGGTCAAGGAGCATGTCATCAAGCACGTCGTCTACGGTTTGATTGACGTTCGCTTCCAGCCTTCCTCGCTGCTTGACCGTTCCGTCGAGCCCATTCTTCCTAAGGGAGCTTTGAACTGGTACTACGGTAAACATGGAGCTTTGAACGCATGATGGGGCACCGGACAGGGTTTCGGAGGAGCACGTTTGGGGGCAGGAGCGAACGACGGCGTCGCGGAGAGACTTTCCAACTGCAAAGTAGAATCTCTTCTCCGGCGGGTAGTTTCCACCTGAATTGAACCAACACGTCAAAAGAAAAGAAAAAAGAGACAGAGAAAACATCGAAGCTCGCACGTGAACATCGCAACAAGATGATATATGAGATTGCCACTAGCTGTTGACCCCAATTTCCATCTACGTAACAGGTTCGACAGTCCCAGGCTGCTCAACAAAGTTCTCTGAAACCAGTTTCACACAGCCATCGTAACCCGACGTCAGGCTTTCGTAGCCTGACGAGGTAGAAGTGTCAGCGCACGAGAAACAGGTTCTCCCCGTTCAAGTCAAGTTTAGTTGTGTTTCTCAGCTCCCAAAACGAATTACCAGCAAGAGCGTTTCCACACGCGTCGATGATAGACTTCACAGTCGCACGCGTGCCAGCAAGCACGCATGATGCGCGTGTACCACATCGCCTTCTGTTCAATGGTGCCATCGTGTCTGTATGAACCGCGATCGTACAGGCGCAAGGCTCCCGGCAACATAATAGCCAAGGGTGCAAAGCAAAGCACACCGATGCTGTCAACGTGACTAGGTAGTTGAATAATCGGGATGGCTTCAGCAAGGATGAAGGAGAGAAGGGAAAGAGCGAAGCCAGGTCGCCCAGTGAGTGCACCATGCTGTTGGTGCGGAGATGCGGGGAGCTGCGCAGGATAACGCACGGAGAGGTACTTAGCTGCGACGTGGAGGTAGGTAGTGGCTGAGATGATGAGGCCGATCGTCCCAATGCCGCAGGGGATTTTTTTCTTCATAGCTGGACCTGCAGATCCGAGGGAGGTGGCTAGTTACATCGATACTCCAAGAATTCCTGAGCCAGCACAAAGAACATATGCCACTGAGAAAAGTACACCACAGATCTCCTTGAGCATATCTTCGCCGAGGACAACTGCCATATCTGCGATAGAGTGACTTCCAGGATACGAGTTCCGGAATTCTCCTTGGACAATAGCGGTATATGCGTCGAGAGCTCCCAACGAACCCAAGTCAAACATGGCTGAATGTATACTGGGACCACTGGTAGCGAAAATGACTAACACTTGATAGAGTTTGCGTTTTCTTGTATTGTAAAAAGTCCGTACTTTTCAAGAAGATCACCAATCCTCTCGGCCATCCCACCGTACGAAATTCGATACACTCGCTGTTCTCCCTGAGCACTTCATTTCGCTCGAAGGCATCATCGTAAGTCTCAACAACACCAGTGGTCAGATCAAGCTGGGCCTTCTCGTCGTACGGGCTGGTGTCCTTGACCAATCCTGCACGAAAAAGACGTGATGATCGACCTCAAAAGGTTGATATACTTTGAAAGTGGAGAGTAACGGATGAGAAGGACTTAAGGAGGGGATAAATGATCGTTCGTATCGAAATCCTGTATATGCTTCTAGAGCTATAATGATACAACCCTGCAATATTCATGAGATAAGGGCTGATATTCTCTCACTGTCTCCGTGTTCTTGACCTCTCCTCTCCACACTAGGTTTGAGCCATTGTACAGACGTATGAATGATATGCATGGATTGAAGCCACCGTGGTTTGATTCGTAACAGAGGATATACTTGCGCGATATTCATAAGCTGTCTCAAGCGTGCGGATGAAGTGATTGCCATGTACTTGTGTTGACAAACCAATAGGCGACTACTAGTTCGGTCCTTACAGAAAAAAAAGAAATGTCTCGTAAAGGTATCCGCATGGGAATTCATACAATACAAGAAAAGGGAGAGGAGATACTATCTGCTACCGTATCCCGGGTGGTTTAAGTAATATGAAGAAGAAGAAGCGCCTCTTGAACTATCGGAATTCCAGTATTGCCGGCTCAAACCAAGTACCCACCGGTACTATAAGCGATCGACCGGAGGATAGTTTTCTCTCTTCTGGGCTCGAAACGCAGTTTCCTTGCCCTGCCATACCTGAAGCCTGCAGAGCCCCATGATTTCGTCTCATCTATGGGATACACGATCTGGAGGATGGAGAACCCGAAATTGGGAGATTTCGACCTCAGGTGGCATTCGAAAGACAACATCTTCTTATTGAACAGCTAATCGAGCTGGCTATGCTTTTGACATACTCGAACATTGTTTCCCCGAGCAGTGAACTCGCGTCCAGAAACTTGCCTTCTATTCTGATTTTTTTGCTTTCATGGAGCGTATGGGTTGTGGAATGCTGTTGCTTCGATTTTAGCTTATTGCAAGAAGCTACTGTGGTGAGTGAGAAACCGCAAGAGATGGATACTGCCAAGCGAATACAGGTGAACATGTTGGCCAAAGTCCTCATCTTGAATTTGTGATACGGAATAATTTTGAAAAAGAACTCGCAACCCTGAAAGGTGGGTTCTGTAGTCGGATATGGGAATTTCAACGCTCAGGCGGAGGCAGCGAGAGACGAAGAGAAGATGTTGACTAGGTGTGGTGGGTTTGGTGTGGTATGAAGCGAAACCAACTTTTACAATTGCCAGTTAGTTATGCAAACTCATCGGGATCGAACTTTGGAAAGTATCTTCAACTAATGCCGCCAGCTAGGCAGTCGCACCCAGCCTGATCTGTTGCTGCACAAGAGCATCAGTCTCAGCGGCCGAGAAAGAGCGGCTTCCGGTCTCTCGCGTATTGTCCTCATTGCGAGCTCGAAACCACTTTGTCGGGAAGAAAACATCCGCCAAGTTGTCCCAGAACCCCAGGTCATACAGATTCTCTACATCAGCCAGCCTCCAGACCCGCTCCCACTCCCCAGCGCCAATACCTCCCGGCCCTCTAGGAGGCTGACCATCTGCCGTCCGTGAAACTAGTTGCTGGCTCTCGACTGGCCAGCGTGTCCATGCTGGCTCAATTCTCTCATCTTTTTCGCGGTCTGCGGGTAATAAGCACTTAAACGCAAAACCGTCGGCCATCTCAGCTTCCCAGTCTGACCACTTCATTGACTCGTTGGTGGTGGTCCCGGCCCAAATAAGATACACGTGATATCCGAGGAGTCCAAAAATCAAAGGGGTGGTCAAGAGACACAGAAGAGTGACAGCTCCGATACGAGTATATTCTTGAAGCACCCATGCCCAGACATACCAGAACTGGAACCAGGTAAGCCCCTGGCCTCGGAAAGTCCATGACGGAATCTCCTTTCGGGCTTCATCGGAGAGGATCGAGAAACCGACATACGTCGCGTACGCCGTCAATACTCCAGTTGTAAAGAGAAGAAGGAGAAAGTGGTTCTGGTTGTTGTAACCGACACAGTTATTGATAAAAATGCAATGATGGTCAAGCTTCGAAATGCAACGCTTACAAATGCTGCAGTGCTTTGAGCGAGCTGGCTTGAGTATATTGCAGGTGTAGCATTTTTGGCCAGGGTGGAAGATTGTGAAGTCGTAAGGATATAGGGTCATTGCCTGGGCATGATTGTCTGACCCGATGTATCCAGGATCTCGTGCAGCTGAGGTATACAGGAAGATGTATGGAAGCGAGAGGAGAATCAGGCCTGTTATCTTTCTAGAACCACTAAGCATATGCCATGCAGGAGGTAGGAACATGATCTCGGAGACCAATAGAAGAAGGATGAAGAAAATCTGGGTTTCGTTAGTTCATGTCTTGTGCTGGCCCGCTAGCAACTCGAGTTACCGGAAGAGCTGCGGAACCACTAGAAAACGAAGACTCAGGAATGAAGAGGGAAAAATGGGCACTGGTGCCCTACGAATGACGAGGAGACCTGGAAGCAAGTTGAAACCCGTGACACGCAAACAGCATATTTGTCGTGGACTTCTGTAGCAAAAAGGCCTGGACCAATACCTTCTTACCATAACTATTGGGTGCCTATCGTTCCATAGGATATGCGCTTGCCGCATGACCCAGGCACTCAGACGACCCTGTGTTACTCTTTGGTCCCAAGCTCGAAGGGTTGCTGGAATATGAAGCCATATCAGTCTATGCAGTGCCCCGATAGGCGTATTCCTTGGAAAGCTGAGGTTAGCTATAGTTTCTAAACAAAACGACAGATGTTATTACTCACCTGAGAGCTGGGAGCCGTCCGAAGAAAGCAACAAAAGTAAAGAAAGAGATGACCAATACTAGTATAGCCACGTTCCTAATAGCACCCATTGTAACGGTGCTGAAATGGAAATAATCGTGACGAAATTGATAGTGCGGCACGAGAGATATCAAATACCAGACATAGTTGTGGTTATACGTCAGGATTGTCTCTATGCATCCGATTAACAATTAACGATTTGATTGAGTACCGATAGATGAATCCTGGTGAAGCTGGCTGGACAGTCACGTCTTGTCGTTGAAGCAGCGTGCCCGGGCCGACCTTTATCCGTCAGGTCACACCTCACACCTCACCTTAATCACTCACTCACGCACTCACCTGACACCGTATCGCGAAACGCGTTTTCAACCCTCCAAAAAGCAACATCAACAACCCAACTCCCCCAACTTGCAGATGTTCGAGCTTGCTTGCAGGCTTCCGAGATAGCGTACTAGCTTGTGCTGCGCTGTATCCCTCGGCCCAACTCGAACCAGAGCTCCCTCTGTTCCTAGCTTGTCGGGCCACAGCGACAAACAACGAAACCCGGGGATGGCGGCCAGGATCGTGTACGAGGGAGCTGCTGGAGGGGGAGGGGACTTGTTTCTGGGAATGAAGTTCTACCTCACAATGCGCCTACCCAGCCGGAGTATGTTCAAAGATTACATCGAGGTAAGGGGTTCCTCTCCTCTCCTCTCCAGGCTTCCACACATACTAACTCTCGATCAGTCAAACGGCGGAACTGTCACAAAGCTAGATACCCAGGCCCATTATGTTATTGCCGACCACGCGCGAAAGGATAGTCCGGTGGGCTCGATATCGTGGAAGTGGATTGAAGATTCCGTCAAGAAGGGCAGTCTAGAGGACTTTGATAAATACCCCGCGGGACCGGCAAAACAAGAAGTCCGACCTGCTGCATCCGGGCAGCCCACTCGCAAAGGGAGAACTAAATACACGGCTGAGGATGATAGGATCCTTATGGAATGGTGTATACGGGCTGAACGTCGTGGTGTCTTGCTGGGAGGAAACCCAATATGGCATGACCTTGAGAAGAAGGTACGCCAAAAAGATATACTGCGAAGCATTACGCTAATCTTCACCAAAGTATCCACGCCACTCATGGCAGTCATGGAAAGACCACTGGGCAAAGATAGTTTCTAAGCGCCCAAGACCAGAGATTCCTGAAGACGATGAAGACGAAGAAGAAGAGGTGGAGGAGGAGGAGGAGGAGGAGGAAGAACGTCAACCGCTGACTGCATCTCCCCGACCAATGAAGCCTCAGAATCAGCGACCAGTTCAACGTCCAGCCCCGCGTCCTTCTCTACGTCCAGCTCCAGCTTCAACAGCCCCGGCAAATGCCCGAAAAACAAACACTTCTAGGTTACCAGCCATTGTTGCGGCAGCCAGCCCTGTCGACAGTGAGAGGTCACATACTTCAAGTGTCTCTAAGTCGCTCGAAGCCAGACCGTATTTGATGAAGTCTGACGGGGGTGATGTTTTTACTGAGGAAGAGACGGCTCGTCTTTCCGATGCTTACGAGGCGATCCTGAACCTGAGTGAGGATAAAGTCATTGATGCCTGGATAGCCTGGTCTGTGGAGGTAGGTATCACAGCCTCATATTATTGCAGTGCTGATCACACAACAGAACCCAAACCATACCCCGCAAGAATGGCGCAACTATTTTCAAGAGCATGTCGTTCGCGAGAAAGAGGCTGCGATCAGAAGAAGTGAAAATAAACCGGTGGATGATTCGAACCCTTCTGAGGCTAGTCGCCCTGAAAATATATTGCAACCAAAGACAAAAGCTGCCAAAGCCATCCACCCAGAGGTCATCTTGCCAGTAAGACCAAGCATTCCGGAACAACTACTACCGAGCAACTTGACGTCTCAAGAAAGAGGAGCTACAGAACTACAAGATTCCCAGGGCTCTTCTGGGCAAACGGTCGCATTTCCTACCGCCAAAAATAATTCCAGCCCATACCAGATGACACTGGAGGAATTCGAAGAAAAGTTAAAAACTCTTGCAGACAAGTTGGAAGTTCAAGTCAATTTTTTGCCTACTATATGTGGTCGCCAAATATCCCTTTTCAAACTATGGCAGATAGTCACCTCAGACGAGCTTGGTGGCTACGATACTGTTACTGGCCTGCAAAACTGGTGGGAGGTTGCGAACAAGCTCGGTTTCTTCCGTTCTGACAACCACATGGCAGCTAGTAATCTCAAGGATTGCTATGGAGATATTTTGGTGGACTTCGAAAACATCATGAGAGATTATGGCAACCAAGAATTCTCAAGTTCGCAGGATGATGAACTGATTGATCAACAACTTCGTGGAACTTTCCCACAGATCAATGAGAGCGATCGAGAAGAAGACGTGCTAAAGGAGCACGGTGATCATGCTGAACTGTCAGAGGACGAAGGGCGGGATGAAGAACTCCAGGAAGAATATGAACACGACGATGATCTGGAATATCCACAGAGCTCGCCTCCTCGCCCAAAAATCCCGCCCTCTTCTAATTGCAAACGAAGATTCGAATCTGACCCGCAAAGTCAACGTCTCCGGCACAACAAGCGTCAGCGCATCGACAAAGGCAAAGAGCAGGAGATCCCGTCCACTCCCGAGGATGTCATTAACAACAACCAGACAGGTCACACTTCTCACCAACCTTCGCCACTCAAGGTCGTTGACGTTCCCTCTGATTCAGACGATTCATCGATTGAAAATGTCCAGCCTATCAGGCTTCCGCGACAGAAGCCACCACAGCAGGCTTCTGCTCTTGAACCCGAGACCCAGGACTTTCATTTTTCGCAGTCGCCTCCACTTTTTCTGCCAGGTCTACAAGAGGTGTTGGTCGACGAAGAGGAGGAGGAAGGCAACAACGATGCCGATGTCATACCACGGTACGTACAACGACCAGCGTCGTTTGAAGACAGCGATGAAGACGAGGAAATCATACTCGTCCGAGAGAGCTCGCCACTAGCTCCCAGAAGGTCGCCCGAGAGGAGAACTATCAGCACGACCACAACACGGGGCACCTACCACTCTTCAAGCAACAACTATGAATCATCCACCCAATCCCAAAACGAGTCTCAAATCGCTGCTGAGTTTGTCTCCTTCATCGATGAACAAGTCTCAAACGGCTATGCATACGAGCACGTCCTCGAAGCACTAACCGTAACGTGCTTTGGTTTAAAGGAGGCTTTGGTTGCTATGGAGAGCCTTGCAAACGACGATGGTATTCCGGAAAATACTCCAGGTATATGGACGAAGTGGGACGATGAGGCACTGGGCAAGGCGAAGTCCTCGGCGGACTGGCAGCGTATTGTGAGGAAGCATGGAATCAGCAGGATTGTGAAGCGGAAAAAACACCTTCATGATATAGAGAGGGCGGATAAGGAGGGCTGAGTATCTGCTGAGATGGGTTTTGTTTCGTCCTTTCTAGGCTGTGAAGTTTTGGCGTGGTGGGAAGTGGGGCGATGGGCGCTGCTTATACTTTGCTGAGATACCATGTTGCTTGCCAATGAATCGATACTTTTACGAGCAATTACTCGTCCCTGCCGTGACCGACGAATGTGTGTCTATTCTGTGATGTTTATATATGTATGTATGTATGTACGATGTATCGAGAGCGTTGCTAATTAATAACCAGATGGATGATCATGCATTCGATAACTAAATGGACAGATGGGAATGGATGAGAGGAGTGGGAGGGGGGATGAAATACCTTTTTTTTAAAAAAAAAAAATAGCTAGCCAACTGGATTGCTGGATTTTGGAGAGGGAGAGTGAGAATGAGAGGGAGAGGGATATACTATGTTGAGGAGGTAGGTGAGTAGATGAGCTTGGTTTAATTCCTGCTTGGGGGATCTTTGGATGTAAGGCGAAGGGAAGGGGAGGGTGGTTGTACTCTCGCTTAGAGAGAAAACAAAAGAATGGGGATTGAGGGTGGGGGTGGGTAGGAGGGGGTAAGGGGTAGGGGTGGTAATGAGCACAAATTTGCAGATTTTGTGTGGGTTTTCGGTGCACTTACGCATGCGGCTGGCTGGCTGGCTGGCTGGCTGGCTGAGACAGACCGAGTATACGGAGCACGGCGTTGCAGAGCCATAGAGTGCGGATGCAGAGAACGAGGGGACACATCGAGAGGCATGAGAATAGGTGAAAGGAGCTTTCTCGAGGGTGTGGTGGAATTATTGTAAAAATTTCATCTGGCTGCGCTATTTACCAATAACCATCATCTCTCGGTTCCGAATTCCCACTTAGATAGAGTGCACAACAGTCGTCTCGAGAACCGTCGTCCCAACCTTCGGCGTCCCCTCCGCAACAGACACCTTCTCCGTGGGCAACGCCATAACAGACATGCCCTCCATCACAGCAGGCACCACCTCCTCGTCGTCCCCGAACGTCTCCCTGCCCTCCTCGAAGACCTTGTCGAAGTCGTACTCGCTCCACCTGATATCGGGGCTGAGACCGGCAAACTTCCATACCCCGTCGACCTTGCGGTACCAGTGCTGGTTGGTGCTGTGCGCGTGGCCCTTGACGGCGACCTGCTTCTTGCTCGCGTCCGTGTACTTCTGGTGCGGGACGCGCAGCTGGTGCCAGCCGATGATCTCGTCGTCGGAGACCTTTTCCCAGCGCGTGCCGCCGATGAAGTGTTGCGTTTTGAGGAGAGGGTTGCCGAGCACGGCTGGGTTGGAGGCCATGATTATGAATTCGTCGGAGGGCATGGCTTCCCACATCTTGTCGAGGAAGGAGCGGTAGTCGACCTGAGCAGCCGGATTAGATTTGGAGGTGAGGAATTAGGGAGAACAGTGCTTACACGAAGGGTTGGTGCGATGCATTTTCGTAGGCGCTCCCAGTCCTTGGAGTCGTAGCTGTCGGCCCACTCAAAGCAGGCGGACATACAGCCCATCACCTCTGTATTGTCCATTAACGATGTCCCAGTCTTTCATTGTTGGAAGTACTCATACCATCAAAAGTAAGATCGGTCTTTGCGTCTGAGCCTCCCATTTTTGCAGCGTGGTGTGTCTGATCCTCGGGTACCTTGAGTATGTGGATTGAGTCTGAGCAGAATTCAATGGTCTTTTACAGCAGCAGCGGAAGATATACTCTTATAGAGCCCATCGAGCAATGAGATCATAGCTCTACTGATTATTGTTCCGTCGTCACAGATTCACGGACTCGACGGACCCGCCTGAGCGGACTGCGTGGGGATCTCCGGGGTACACCGCGCGCTCGCTCCTGTACTGCGCCCGGCATGACTTTGATCGAATAATGTGATAGGTCTTCCGGATCTTGGGCTGAAGATAGTTTGCAGGCGCACACATTGTTACTCCATTCAGGGGCGGCAGCGTGCAGAGGATTTGGGAGCTTCCGGCGCAGGGACCGGAAGCATGCGAGCCGGCGAGTCCTTCCGTAACTAACATGAATGAATGTATGATTGAGTGACCTCGTGTAATTGCTTTAATCGGGAACTCTGTTATGAAGTGTCTTCTTCAACTATTATATCATGATATTTTCCTACAGGAACTGGCTTCTTGCGAGAATCCACTGGTGGAGCGCTGTCTCTCGAGTCCACAGACTAGAGTAAGTATCGACCGAGACAACCTACACGCTCGAGCCCAGGCCATGGTTTTGAAATAGCATCCGATCAGACGACAACAAGCGACGATGAAACGGATCCCGCCAGGACGATCATCAGAACAGATGGGAAATTTCTTGCTCGTTATATTAATCGAAATTGTTGGAAATCGGTCTTGCCAGAACTTTGCAACACAGGAAATGGGATTGATATTCGTGAGAAAACCAGTGATCTGGTAGGAGCCAGAGAGAACTGAGACAAGAACCAGGCTCTGATGAGCCCCATCACATACCGGTAGATGCTGTGTCTGTTTGTCGATCTGCTTTGCTTCAGAGGTTCGTGGAAACAATACCTACCGGTAGCTGCCCTGAACTCCGATCACATACTGCTGGCTGTGACTGAGCTTTTACCGAGGAGGTCCGACCTGTCAAGGGATCAAGGGGTTTACCTTTCGCCGACTTCTTTCTGCACAGCTGTATATCGGGCTGACAATAGAGATTCAACTGGCCTTGTGTAGCCAAGCTGGAGAAAACTCGCTTGATCTGCTGGAAATAAATCGACACCTTTGCAATGAATCATGGGCACTTAGGAGATGCCCGCTGATGGATGAAGCAGCTGAGACCAAGAGTGACAAATGAGATCTTCCGGTATGGTCAATCCGCTCAGGTAAGGGAAGAAAAGGATACAGCTCTGGCGGTCAACGAATGGTAAGCACGAGACGTGTAACAGTGGATTTGTATGGTATTCGTCTCCAAGCTTACAAGAACGATGATCGAGTGGAAGTACGCAGCAATATAGATAGGTGGGTAGTTTAGGAAAAGGATGCAAAAGGAGGAGCTGATAAAACAATGGTGCATTGATGATACACAAAGCCCCTACAAGTTCCACAAAACAAGCACGTGATAACCACGTGACGCCGCCAAATATTGTTGCGAGTGATGCGACGGTGCCACTCATGCCACATGAGCTGAGTCGGTAGGGCCAAAGTTTATCAAGGAGTAGAGTCCGAAATGGACAAGTCCGAAATGGAGCCTGCTTAGACATGTGCGGTAGTTGTACCAGAGCGAGAGTGGCTGCATATCCGGGTGATTGCCGTGATATTATATTATGCACATCGTCTCTCAATTCATTGACCGTGGCATGAAGTGTGAATACTTCGGAGGTTCGGAGGTACCTACGGAGCATGTTTGCGAGGAAGTGAGTTTTTCTATGCCAAGACTTAGGGTCTCGAAGGTTTCGGCAATCGGCTCCACAGTCTCCATTTTTTTATGCGGGGCTATCCCCGCTATCATATCCACTTCTGATGAGACCCGAGTTGAACCAAACCCATTTGATCTCATCTGAATTTCTGAATTGTATTATGATATTTTACTCGGACCTGACCTGAATCTGACCTGACCTGACCAGAGAGAGAGGACATCGGCGTGGATCTGAAAACCATCTTCAATCCGTCTCGCTACTCGTACAAACTCGCATCGATTCACCACCCTCCGTTGGCGTCGTGAGACAACACATATCTACGCTGGCACCGCAAACCACCATGTCTCTGCGGAGCTCTATCAGTACGCAGAGCTCTCAGGAGAGCCGGTTTACAAAGAGTATCCTGCCCAAGACCGAGACTGTGAACGAGATCGAGTCTTCGTCCAGCATTGCAGACATGAGGGTCAACGAATCCCCGAAGCTTCGAGTCCTCATAGCGGCGAATGGATCCAAGGATGTTTCCCAAGCCCTCGCACTCATCGTACGACTGTCCCAGACCTCCAAAATCGAAATGACGGCCATTGTGGAGCCCGATTTGTGGCCGGCCCCTCGGTTCTCCCACGAAATGCGGGTGCTGCAAAATCAACATTGGAGGGAGGAGAGCAAGACCCAGGCCTTCTACAAGCACCAGGCTTACGAGTTGTGCGGTTGGGCAGATATGATGGTGCTGGCGCCCATCGACGCGGACACGTTTGCGAAGATGCTGCACGGCATTGCGGACTGCCTGCTCCTGGAGGTTCTGCGCGGGTGGGACGTCTCGAAGAAGATCTTGCTGGTGCCCGGCATGTCGACGTCGATGTGGGAGAACCCGATGACCAAGAGGCAGTTACACAAGGTGGAGAAGAAGTGGCAGTGGGTGCGGGTTATGCAGCCCATCCTTTGGGATTACGATCACGGCCCATTGAAGTGTGTACTGGCCTGGGATGGATTCAACGAGCTTGTGAGTGTGATCAAGAACCAGGCAGAGCTTATCGCCATTGGACACGACGTGGATATTGCTGCTTCTGGGGCTGCGAGTCTGGCACGGTACAATGTTAAGACGGAATGTCAGCTACCACCCGAGATTTGGACTTTGATCTTTGAGCATGTGGGGGACTGGGAAGTGGCAAGGGCACTTGATGTCTATGCGAATCTACCGACTCCTTCGGAATGGAAACCGAAGCCTGGAGATGCAAAGGATGAACTTCACACATATATGCGCTCCCTGGAATGGACGATCCTCACATGTAAGACGGACAAGATTATCGAAAAGCTCAAAATGGCACCCCCAAATATGAAGTTCCTCTCGAGTCTCTGCGTAAAGCTGGTAATCAAATTCTGTCTCACGGATCTCCTCACATATCTGGAATCGAATTTCAAAGATGTCTTCTGGTCATCCTTTGGCCAGAAGCTGCTCCCCACCAAAGCCTCTGCGGTATATGGACGCACCGAAATTTTGGAGTGGTGGCGAACATCACCAAGCTTCCTCTCCAAGGACTATACCGCGGAAGCTATTGACGGAGCCTCAAAATCTGGCTTCGTACACGTTCTGGACTGGTGGCGACGCTCTGGTTTACCTCTGAAATACACCGAATCAGCGCTTGAGCAGGCATCCTCGAAAGGCCACATCATAGTACTGGAGTGGTGGAAGCAGGCAAGCATGCCTCAAGGCACGTATCACGCGGACAGTGAATCCCGACCACGGCACGCCTCCCCCTCGAGAATCAAAGACGGAGCTAGCACCCCCCCCGAACTTCAACCCGCCCTGCGTCTGAAGCCCGGCAAGTCTCTTCTTGCAGCCGCGCAGAACAACCAGTTCCTCGTTCTGCGCTGGTGGGACAACTCTGGCATCTCCATCTCGCATTCCGAATCCGTAGCCAAGATCGCCTCCGCACACGGCCACGTCTCCGTCCTGGAGACCTGGCGCGAGCTGAAGGGCGAGAAGATGGCGTTTGACTGTAAAGTCCTCATCGAGCCGACCAAGAACGGCCACTTGGACGTCTTGCAGTGGTGGAAGAATCTCAGCCGGGGGGAGGACGGGCGAGCCAGCGCACGGGTGGAGTACAAGACGTGCGATATCGAGGAGGCCATGGAGGATAGCGTGGGCAACGAGGGTACTGCGTTTGCAGTCAAGAAGTGGTGGGCGCAGAATGGGTTGAATCTCGGGGTGCAGGTTAGCGAGTGGACGAAAGTCAAGGTTTTGTGAGGGGAGGTTTGCGTTACTACTTAGTAACATGGTGAGGTCTACGGAGTCGGAAGTGGACATTTCCACGAGATGACTGCAAATCGAGTAGCTTGAATTTGGATTCCCTGACCAAGGAAATTAACGGGTCTCCGTGTTGGGAGAGATGGATAGGCCGATGGAAGTGAGTGCTTGAACTGTATGTATCCTCTGGCATGGGGTAAGCCCGACAGAACCCCTTTTTTGCACTTCTTTCCCTCATCCCAGCAATTGATACGAGCGGCTTTTTTCAGGCCTCCAGCTCGAGTGAGTGTGGCGTCAACGGACAGGTGCTGTCTGTCTGTACCTGCATAGCTGCAGCTGCATATCATCATCTCACCATCTTTCCCCCCTTCGATCCGCTCGTCGCCCAGCACCTGATCCGCATCCTGGGGACTCTAATTCCTACACCGACTTTAGCCCATCTCAACCCAACGCCTCCCAACGCCTCCCAACCCATCCTCCACCTGCAGCCCCGCGACTATTCGCCCACGTGCGGGTTGCACGGGAAGTGCAAGTCGAATTGGCATCCATCCATCATGTGGCCACCCGGTTGGAACGTGCAGCTGGTGTTTCAGTGAGCATGCATGTAGGCATGTGTATGCATGCATCTCTCTCTACAGCACTGTACTGTACTGTACGTCCGGACCTTTCCTTGCGGCCAGCTGCTTGGGCATGCATCCAATAGGTAGGTAAGGTAGGTAAGGTAGGTAAGGTAGGTAAGGTAGGTAGGTGGCTTGTTCGCGCGCATGCTCGCTCCTCCTTCTTCGGAGAGTTTACGTAGGTACATACATGTGTACGTGTGTCTGTCGTATGGTACTACTGTATGTATATATATATATATAGGTATATATATATAGGTATATATATATAGGTATCCTAGGTACGGTGAACGCTCTCTGCCGTGTGCTTGTTTATGTCATGCATTTGTCGGTTCTATTTTTGTCTGGCTGGTTGCAGGTGGGTCAGAGAGAGGGGGAGAGAGCGAGGGAGGGAGGCTGATGAATTGATCGCATCGCCTGTTTGGGATACAGGTATACGGATATACAGATATATAAGGTAGGTAGGTAGATCTACCGTACCACCGCGGCCCAGTTGGGAGATCAGTGGGCAGGGCTCGCCTTTCCATCGGCCCCCCTTTCCTCCCCTAACGTAATTTTTTTTTTTCGAGTACAGGGAGGAAGGAATCGTCTTCTTGCGAGGCTTCCTCGGTTGGTTTGCGACTGCGTATCCAAGCGAGGGGAGGACACTTGCTTGCTGTTTGGAACATGGCTTGTTATTGTTGGTACTAGTATTTATTGTATTGTGTATTGCGTATTGCGTATTGTATAGCCTATTTCGGGATACCGATACTGATACCGAACTTACGGAGCTGTTCCAGCTGTTGTTCTCTGTGCTCTGCGCTGTATGTGTACCGGTATTTCTTCTGGGGGTAAGAAGGGGAAGAAGGGTTGGGTTACAATCATTTGGCACGCATAGCACAGCACACACAACAGAGCGAAGAGGGTTGTGTGGTTCATATGGCTTGAAAGAAAGAAGGAAGGAGGGTGCGAGGAGGCGATGACAGCATAATTTACTCACTCCGTATTATCTATCGCTCGTTGAGATTCGTCATGAGGTACTGTCGCCTGTAGTATCATTCATATACCTACTGGTATGGTGTCGTATATCACATTACCTATGGCATACTCTTATTAGCGAGCGACCTTACCTTACCTGACCCTACCCTACCCTACCTACCACTCGCTCAGAAATAGTCTGGGCGAGTACGAGGGCTGGATCGATTTGATTTGATTTGATTTGATTTGATTTGATTTGATTTGCATTTGATTTGATTTGCATTTGATTTGATTTGCATTTTATTATGTTTCCTGTTACGTACGTGTATATGTAGGTATTTATAATTGGAATCCCCAGAAGCCATGGATGCATGCATGCAAGTACGTATGGGAATGGTCTGGGTATGGTGGCACCGCATGCAGCAAGCGCAGCGAAGCACGACAGCAGCAGCATCAGCAGCACACAGGCCGTCTTGTTCCAAGAAAAGAAAAGGGAAGGAAAGTCCTGTTTTCTGGGGTTGTGATTTGTGGGTTGTGATTTGTGGGTTGTGGTTTGTGGTGGTATGGGATGCTGTAGGATGACGGATGATGATGATGATTATGATTGATGATGATGCATGCGCTGCTCTTTCTGCTCTGTTCTCCTGCTTGCTAGGGATGTAAATTTACAAGGTATACGGTAGCTCTTGATCTCCGTATAGTAGTATGTATTTCGTTTCCATAAATTTGATTTGATTCGCCTGTCCCCACTTTGGGAACAGCGTCGTATATTCGCATTATATAGATGGATTATATCGTGTCGTTAAGCATTGTTTGTGTACATTAGCAAACTACACATTTCATTTGATTGCACCGCCGAACGAAACAAAGCCTTCCCGTAGTACGAGACCCCTTGTTTTTGTTTTTGTTGTTGTTGACACGGTTGTACTCGCTTAGCATGTCAAGTACCGAAAGCTAGCTAGCTACAGTAGCTAGCTGTGCGCGAATAAGCTTCAGGAATGGAAAAGTGGGATGCTAAGTAGCTATGGATGGCGGGATGGATGGATGTCGCGCGATTTGATTTGCTTCGCTTTGCTTTGCTTCTCGTATGTGGGTAATGAGCGATGAGTGATGGGTGAGCAGGCTGTTGGTGTATTTTGCTAGGGAGGGAGCTCATGTGGTTTTTTCGTCGTCGCAATATTTGTGTTGGTGCAACGCTGGGAAAATTCTAAATCTAACTTTACGAGCGGGAGGCGGGAGGCGGGAAGCGTGCATCGTGCGTGCATCTATCTTTCGGCTGGTTGAGAAATGGGGAGGAGAGGAGGGTTACGGTAGAGTAGAGGAGAGGAGAGAGCAGAGACTTGGTTTTTCCCTGGCCGAGAAGCAGCTTCGCTGTCTCCAATCCGCGATTTCATATTGCCAATCACGTCAACCACAGCTGCGCATGTTCTGTGGTAAACATATAGGATAATGTGATCTGATATAATAATGTAATGTGATGTTGATGGCCCCCTTCATTGGAGAAAGGATAAGCGAGATCATGTTCGCGGCTGAAGCCGGTCGCGCCGGGCTGGAAAGAAAAGATTCCTGCGCAACCTGCACCATGTTCTGCCACGCGCACCCAAGCCAACCCATACAGTATCGAATCGAGCCCAGACCAAACCCACGGACACAGGAGTGATCCGGAAGATGCTGTGAATGTCAGTGAGTCGCATCCTTTCTGCGCCGGCCAGAGACTCGGCTCCACTGCCGTCGCCAACAATAGCAGAGCCGGGAAAACCACACTGGCAGATCCTCCCCCCCACCTACCTTTCCCACTCACCTCTCCCACCAGCTCCGGATGCCCGTCCTCTCAGTGTCTTCCCCCCTCCATAGCGAGATCCATATATCAAAATTACAAACACAGATACACACGCGCGACGATTGAGCCTCGAAACGGAACAAGGAGACAAGACGAGCAGAGCAGCTAACACGCGCTCGCAGTGGCCACTACCAAACCCGGAGCCGGATCCAGATCCAGATCCAGATCCAGATCCAGATCCAGCAGCAACTAATTTTACGGCCGTCTGGAGCATCAATGCCCCATCTGCTGCAGAGCGAGCAGTTTAATCGATTAGGGTCGGGTACGCGCATTCAGCATTCATTCCACGGGACGTTGCACCGCATTGCCTCGCTCGCTCGCTCGCACGCTCGCTTGCCCGCCAGGCGCGCCAGCAGACGAATTTCCCATTTGCGCAGCTTCACGCCGTGGCGCACAGCCTCGAACCGTTCGGCTTGCTCGGCGCGTGATCTGGGACGGGGGGCCAGCAGTGGGGGCAAGAGAGCAGACACGGAGGCCGTGGGATTGGTCGCCGACTGCGAGACGTGGCTACTGCGACCTCGCAGTGCCCGGGACGGACACAGGAACCGACGGGGGGCGCCGTGGTCATACTGGACATCGCGGGCCTGGGTAGGACTAGACGCTGGTTGGGAGCGAGATTGGCAGGCGAGGGAAGCATAGGGCAGTAGCGATACAACAGCGGCCAGCCAAACTGGCGCATGCGAACTCGTGCCTGTGTGCAGAGAGGCACGCGGCGAAACGTGGTAAGCACTCCAGAGAGCAGAGCCCGGGAACTTTGCCTGTTGCTTGCTGCTTGGCTGCTTTGGGACGGTGCCTGCCCCCGGCGCATCTGGGTATACAGGAGCAAGGTAGCGAATTTGCAGCTGTGAAGAGAAACAGGTTGCGGCCGTTGTGGAGTCCGGCAGGGCACATACTACAGGTCTGGCAGCTGGGGAGTCTCTTGCGACTGTCTTCGAAGCTGAGTGTTGGAGTCGCTAGACAAGGCCCCTTGTCCTTTGTGGTTGCGCCAGGCGGTGGACGGCGCCCACCAATCCGAGTGGGCCTACCCTTCTCGTGCTACAGAGCCTCCTGCGACCAGCTCGGCTCGAGGGTCTCTGGCAAACGAGGCAACGGCAGGGGCTGCTATTGTATCGATTGACGAGGTGTGGTGTCGCAGAGACTCGCTAGCCTCGACAAAGATAGCCCCGAAGTGGGTTAATATAAGGCAGCATGGCGGGAGATACTGAGATAGATGACCTTGAGGTTTCGGATGGCGCTTCGGAGAATGATTACAGTGATCATGATCATGAGCTTGACGTTTTAGAGGATAAGGAAGACGATAATAACGACATGGCCGGGCAGAAGTCCAGACCGGATGTTGATGAGAATGGTAAGGGCGCGGGATCTACCGTGACAACAGCGAGGCCAAAGTTGGATCCGAAAGACCCATCGAGACCCAGAAGGAAGAAGGCAAGAAGAGCATGCTTTGCTTGTCAAAGAGCTCACTTGACATGTGGTATGTTTGCTTTTCCTCGCTTGGAGCAAATGGTTTGGTCCCAACTACGTGGATCCACTACCAATCACCAGACTGACCCCGTCAAACATACGGCCCTTCTTTCTCTCTCTTTTCGACGAGTGCTAACGGGGCCTTCCAGGTGACGAACGTCCTTGCCAGCGATGCATCAAGAGAGGCCTTGCCGAAGTCTGCCAGGATGGCGTAAGAAAGAAGGCAAAGTATCTTCACGATGCTCCGGCAGAGGCCCTCCGTCCAGTCCTTGGTCCAAATTACAACGCCAACAGCAATAATCGAACCGTACCAACAAGAAACAGTTCTGCTTCGGACACTTCTCCCGTGACTGGTGATTTATTCTCACAGCCCGAGGTATCACCTTCATATCCCATCTTTGCACCTCAGCAAAATCCGATGCCGCCTCCTATTCAAGCAAGGCTCTCTTATGGAAGTCAACAACATTCGCCCATGTCGCCAACCTTTCAGAACCGAGTCAGCCGCCAACCATCGATGCAAGCTTTAGCACCACAGATTCCGAATCAGAACGATGCACAAGCGAACTTTGGTGGAGCCCTGTTTGATCCGAGTAATCCAGCACTGTTCAACTTTGACCTAGAAGGCTTGAACTTTGGCAATCACTATGGAGCTTTAGAATTCGGCATGTTAGGGCACATGTCTTCGGGAGCCACGGAAGCATCGCCCAAAGATGCGCCCATGTCTGCGCAAGGAATGGGCGACGTCAACTACAACGGTGGTGGTGTCTTTGGCAATAACATGGGCCCGTTCAACCAAATGTACGGCCAAGATATGCCTATCGACTATGGAGGACTCGAAGGCCAAAACAGCCAAATCTTTCCCCTAAACCCTGGTCTACCACACGCCTACGCAATAGCCACTGGCCACCACAGCCCGAGCACAGACGCAAGTCCATGTGCGAGTGTGATGGGCTTCGAAAGCTCGCCTACTGCGATGAATTTCGCCGCAAACGCCACCCATCAAACATCTGCTGCTCAACGGCCAGCTAAGCGGCAAGATACGAAATCTGCCGCCGGCAAGTTTGGACCTGCTTCTGCTGTTGGAAAGCGCAGTAGAGATCCCTCTGCAATCTACGACACGGTTCACGAACCCTACTCATACACTCAAGGTTTCCATAACCTGACTGCGTTCCTACAAAACCGCTTCTCTGCTAACAAAACCCTCCGAATCGCGAAGTCGCTTGCTTCTATTCGTCCATCCTTCATATCTTGTACCAAGAATCTCAACAGACAAGACTTGATCTTTATGGAGAAGTGCTTTCAAAGAACCCTTTTCGAGTACGAGGACTTTATGGTCAACTGCTGTACGCCGACACTCGTGTGTCGGCGGACAGGTGAAATCGCAGCTGTCAACAATGAATTCACCCTACTCACTGGCTGGAAGAAGGATGTTCTCTTGGGTAAAGAGCCAAATCTCAATGTCAATACTGGCAAAGGCGGCTTGGCGGAATCTGGACCCGTTAGCTCTACCAGTACTGGACGAGCAGGCGTCGCGACACCGCTCCAGCTCTCGACCAGTCTCACTAATCAACCATCTACACACGGCAAACCACAGCCTGTTTTCTTGGCAGAACTGCTCGACGACGACAGTGTGATTGAATTCTACGAGGATTTCGCCCGTCTGGCGTTTGGCGATAGCAGAGGAAGTGTGACCACCCGATGCAAAATGCTGACGTATCAAGCGAAAGATGGTACCGAGTCGTCTGGACAGAAAGAAGACGCCAGACTGAGGAACAAGCGGCCCGAGGTCACCGGTGGAATAGGTGGCCTGGGCAACCGGGTGCGAGAAATCGATGGCGAGCATGGTATCGACAAGTTGCACCGAGACGGAAAACTCGACTGCTCCTATTGCTGGACAGTCAAGCGGGACGTGTTTGACATCCCCATGTTGATTGTGATGAACGTAAGTCACGTCCACAGCCTACCAACCAATCTTTGTCTGATGAGAGTCTAGTTTCTGCCCTGCATCTAAGCTTTATTTTCGCTGCGCATTTCCTTCAGTATACCTCGCACACTCACCGGCGCACTTGGGGATTTTTGGCATGGCTGCATAGTTACGGGCTGAGAACGTATGCATGGATGGATACCACAAAAAAAACAACAACGGCGTGTACGGGTTCAGATGCATTGATGAGGACATGAATCATGGGTGTTGGGAATACCAGGCAAGGGCACGGCACGGGATTATAGGTACGCCCTCTCATGGGCCGGGCGGCGTTCTGGATTCTCATTTGAATTTCCTTACTTGAGGTGGATGGTTGTGTTGGGCATCGAGAGGATGCTCTCGAGGTGAAATTGGAGAGAAGCTAGAAAGGGGGGAGGTGGGACTTGCGTTGTGCATAACTTATTTTCTGGTGTGGATATTTTTTGTTGGCACAGATCTGTCCCTAGGGGGAGAAGGGAGGTGAATGCCACGTACATTTTCCCATTGCTTTCTTTCATCGTGACGTGGTTTGTGACTTTGATGCCTATGCTAAACAGTTCATGAAGAAAATTGGCGAGCAAAGCACACTTGGTGAGCCAGAGTAGGGAGCAATGGACAAGGCTGCCAAAGTCAACAAAAGCCTCGCCAGGCAAAAGGAGGGGTAGATGATTGACTTAACCCCGCTGCTGATTAAACAGCCGCAGCCTTGTATTGCATCATCAACATCTTTTTTTCTTTTCTTTTTTTTTTACTTTTCTTTTTCTTTTTCTTTCTTTGACCAGCTCAATTCAATTGAAGCATCCACGAATTATGGTGGAATCAACAGACGCTCGTGTATCCCGACCTGGCATCATCGGGCCCGACTCTGGGCCTGAACCGCCATTCCCCCTCCGCATGGGGGGGACAGTCGTCTCGGGGTTTGGGAGAGGGTCGAAAGAGGTGTGTTGTTCTGCCCCCTTCCCACCGTCTCTTTTTCATTATGATACTACATTCCTGTGCCTCTCAGCCATCTCCCACAGTGTAGCTCGACTGACAACTTGCCTACCTACCTATCCAGCTCGGCATCCCCACAGCCAACATCCCCGTGGACACCACGCCGTGGATCTCGTCGGCCGAATCCGGCGTCTATTTCGGTTGGGCATCCGTCAAACTCCCCCCGGACCACCCCTCCCTCTCCCCATCCGCCGAATCGGCCTCCGCCGCGGAGCCCTCGACGAGCTTCACGGCCCCCTCCTCCGTCTCGGCCGTCCCGGCCCCGCGGCCCCCGCCCGCCGCCGCCGCCGCGGGGCTCGCGGAGCAGGGCTGGCGCGTCTACCCGATGGTCATGTCCATCGGCTTCAACCCGTTCTACAAGAACACGGTGCGGAGCGCCGAGGTGCACGTCATGCGGAAGTTCGCGCGCGACTTTTACGGCTGCGAGATGCGCGTGCTGATCTTGGGGTTTGTGAGGAAGGAGCTGGATTACGTGTCGCTGGAGGCGCTGGTGGAGGATATCCGGACCGATATTGAGGTTGCGGGGAGGAGTCTGGGGAGGGAGGCGTGGATGGGGACGGGCGACGATGGGTGGCTCTGGGGAGAGGGGGAGATTTGATGCGGATGGATGCGGTGAGGAGGGATCGGAGACTGTGTGTGCTGAACTTTTGGTGAGTTGGAACGACCAGAGAGAGAGAGAGAGAGAGAGACCGGTGAGCTTTCGGATTGCAATTCAGCGTTGATATTACTACCTCTTTTCCTCTCAATTTTTTTTCGCTACTTTACTTTTCATACTAAAGCAGTAAGCGAGCACCTTCTTTGGTTCGCACCTTCTTTGGTTCTCACCTTTGAAGGTACTACTTCTTTATTTTCGTTGCTGCTGCTCTTTTCATTTACTTGCCGCTAGCCAGGACCCTTCTTTACACGTGTATCTCGCTTACAGATTTCCCTATTTACAGCCTGGCAAAGCAAGGCAAGGCAAGGCGGTCAGATCCAGATCCAGATCCAGATCCAGATTACTTCACCTAGTACCTCCCAAGCCTGACAATTCGTTTCCACCAGCTAACGATCTTGTCATATCTCATCCAACAGCAAGCAAGCTCCCGCTCTCTCTTCCTCTACCAATTTCTTCTTCTTTCCATCTAGGAAAAGACTACATGCACTCCGTCATCCGTCATGCGTCATCCGCCGTCCGCCACTCGCTAATCTGCCAATTCTGCGTTCGAGACAACTACTCCTGCCCTAGTATGACTATACCTGTGTTTAATTACTGTATGCAATACCACCGATGAACGTGATCGGGAAGCCGCAGCCGCAGCCGCAGCTTACAGTTTACATATACATATACACATAGACATTATATCCGCAGGCCGCAGGATAGGGCGCATGGAGGACGCAGATTACAGATTGCAGATGTGGACAGGAGGACGGGACGGGGACGGGGACGGAAATAGAAACGGCTGTATGCTGTCTGCTGTCTGCTGTCTGCTGTCTGCTGTGCTTGTTTGTTGGTTTATGTATGTATGTATGTATTTATGTAGGTATGCATGTAGGGGGGTAGGGGGGTTATTTGGAATTTTACCGTTGTGCGGCAGGAATGGATTGCATGCGTATGTGTGTGTGTGTGTTTGTTTGTGTGTATCTGCTCTGTATATGCTGTGCTTGGGTTCGCTTGGGGAGATGGTTGTGCGAGCGTGCGAGCGTGCGAGCGTATGTATTCATGTTTGTATGTATGTGTGTATGTGTGTATGTGTGTATTCACGTACCACACGGTATAGGCGTAAGTATTACCCCTCGAGGGTGTCTTAAAAGTGTAGTTTCCACTTCAAACCCCCTGTTTTCCCTACCCTCGAGGGGTAATACTTACGCCTGCGACGTAGTATATATGTACGTGTGACGTTACACGTCCGGAAGCTCAACGTTGTGCTTGGTTGGGTTCGCTTGGATGGGTTTGAAGGGCAGGAGGAGGGAGATGTATATACGGCTGTGCTCTTTAATTTTCTACCCTTACATTTCCTTTTTGCTGTATCTTCTTTTTTNTTTT